GCCTTGGCTTCGTCGCATGGAGAGACTGGCGGCACTCCCAACGCAGAAAACTCGGGCAATTGAAGGTATTTTCCTATAGCGGGGAATGTTGGTGTTTTGTAGGACTCTATACCTCCCACCGCAAGTGATTTGCCGTCAGCAGGACTCCCACAGGGCGGGATAAATTAATTTGTTCATCCCTAGCTGATGCAGCCCTGCAGGGCTGGCTGGGCCGGAAGTGTGAAGTGTCAATTGGCCCCAAAAACACCGTTAAGTTGTATACTTTTAATAGGACATCCATATCCTGACATCATCAGGATATACATGGACGTTAGACTTAACTAGCTTCCTGCATGCTCAGCAGCTAACCAACCTAGTGGATGACGTGGTCAGCAAGAATGTTTTAAATCCACCTGGAGATCTCAGATGGCTGGGGCTGTGGGCCAGGTGGAACGCGACCCGATGCCCGATCGAGCATCTGCCCAAGAAAACTCCGAATCGGATCCTGGTCTCGCATGCATGTGTGCATCTAGCTGCTTACCACGCGGCTTCTGGAAAGAAAAAAGAAGCAAAATAAATCCTGGCAATTTGATAGGTAAGATAAGCATTGCTGCATTCCTTCCCTTCAGTATGTACACAGAGGAGAAAACGACAAACACTGTAGAGTCTCTTGTGCTACACCGAGAAAAAAAATAACATGGCATATTCATGACAGAAGCCCGGTGCAATGGTAATCAAACACCAACACAAGATTCCTTTCCTTCCCGAAGGGATATACGGCCATCGAGGTATACCCGGATCCGCTTCGTGCAACGACGAGCAGATGCGTTGTACACGGATGCGCGACCACATCTCGCCAGGCAGGAAATGATAGCCCCAAGTGGCCTAGATAAATCGCACGAATCACATTTCGCATTCCCAGTTTCCCCAATAAATCGCATCGTAGTCCCATCCATCCCATGCCGCCTGAACCCATGAGAAAAACCATGAAACACCGAAAAAACGCCGGCCATGACCGCTAAATCCGAACTGGAGACAAACCCCGCCGTGGAGGTGCAAGTGAGCGACAAAAGCATGATATATGGTATACGTGGTGCGGATAGAGGACGAGGGGAGAACCAAAAAAAAAGGAAAAGAACAACAGATTCACAACGGACCAAGGCGGTCGTAAGGATGGGATCTTAGTGCTCTCCTGCGTCGTCCCGCTGGTTATCACGATTTCCTACTGCCGCTTCATAACTGGGGATCGGTGGTTGGTCCCCGTGGTCGAGAGGACCCTGAGAAGGTGCCTCCCCGTCGTTGCTGTTTCGTCGACTCATAACCGGACTGGCATACGCCGGGGGTGGACTCGATATAGCCATCTCAGCCGAGAGGAGCGCGGGATCATTGGCAGCCCCCATTCCCACTCGACTGGATCCTTCGCCAATATCCTCATGAGAAGGGATGTGCGATAACTGAGCAAGGGAGATATCGGTGGGAGAGCGCAGAGGACCGGGGCTGGTCGGTGGCACGAGATGTGATCCTCCGCCTCGATTTCCAACACCCAGGTATCCGCGAACGGGCGGTGCTGGACCGTCGCGGCCGGTTTCGAGCAGAATGCTCCCCTGCTCACTGCCATACGGCGGCGGAGGCGCCAGGCTGCCTGTCATCGGAGCCAACCCCCATTTCTTCACGTTGGCCTCAATGAAAACGAAGCCCATCTGACCAAAATTGACGTGGACGGAACATGGCCCGTTTGCACCAACGGTGGGGAAGAAATTCTGCGATTTCAAGCCGTGCACCACGTCATCGAGCTTTTTCCCGTTGCGGGTGAAGAACAGCGTCCCGGATCGGGGCCGATATCCGACCCCGATAACATCCCCTTGACTGAATTCGGGGCCGTAACTCGTCGCCGAAAACGGCTGATTATATCTCCTGTGGCCAGTCGATTCATATGCGACCGATGTTTTGTGAAATCCTGGAAAGTATTTAGTACTGATGTTACGGATCACGCGACAGTAAGGACGAATGTACCTGGTAGTCTAAACAACGGATAAGGCTTGGTGGTCATCCCGATGCTGATCAAGGTCGACTCCGGTTTATCGTAGATTTTAGCTTCCCAATAGTAGACCTCGTTCTGTTTGGGTACAGGCAAGTTCGTCTGGACGCTGCATTCTGAATCGAAAAACTCGATCTCCGTGCGTGCCTCCACAAAGCAATTTGCAATCTCCAGTTCCGGTTCGAATTCCCAGGCTGATACGCCTTTTTCCTGGATGGCGAGGAATTGCGAAAGGGAGATATCGGTCTGCATCGTCTCGGGAGGATTGGCTTGTATAAAGGCTACATCCATCGCAATATCCAGGTCAGCCAGCGTCACCAGATTCACCACGCAGCACGATCTTCCAACGAACCTTTGGCTCGGAGATACTCTGCCCGGGATATTTCATCCATCGTCTCCAAGGCCGCAGCCTCCTCACGAGCAAACGCCTGCTCATCGTCGAATTCTCCCGGCCTCCCTATTCGATCGAGAAGGATCCTCCCACGCCGAGTGTACTTCAAGAAGAAGAAGACGGCGAGTACAACGATGGCGACGCCGGCAGAGCCAAAAGCAGAAAGGATCCCGATGAGGATGCCCTTGCCGGTCGAGCCGACATCGCCACTGACGCCGACCATGACATCCCCGACATCTGGGAGAGGGTTTACAGCCGCCAACACGGGCTGATCGAAGCCCTCAGGGCGAAACTCTGGTCGAGAGGTTACCTGGGGATGCGATGGGGGAAGAGTCGGTGACGTCGTCAGGGCCGGCGTCAAGCTTGCCGGGTCATGCGGGGGCATTGCTGTTGCATTAAGAACGACGGAACGTCGAGCACCGGATGTGCAAAGGAAACGGGAGGGCTTGACTAGGACCAGATAGACGGCGCGACGGCAATTCGAGATACTTTTTCAAGATGCCACGGAGGGCAGGCGATGGAAAGAGAGAAAAACGAGAGAGAAAAGCAGGCGGAGGATGGATGATGGATGGGCTGGGCTGCTGAGGAGAGGCGTGACAGGGAAGCGATCGCTAATAATAACCCAACCAGCCACGCCGTCTGCGAGCGGCAAAGGGAGGCGCCGGACAGGATGAAATCATCCATGGCAAAAGGCCGGGACGGGCAGTGGGGTCGCTCAGATTCCGCAGGGGCCTGTCGCATCCGGCCAAGGGCATCACCCTCGCTGATACAAGTCGAGGGAATCGAGGAGATGCTCGTCTATGCCAGGGACTTTGGGTCTGCTCTATGATTCTTGTCTATATTCCTTGCAATGGGTCTATCATTCTCGCCATATTCCTTCTACTATGCTTCTCCCTCACGAGAATATCCCTGTCAGTGCGCAGTCTCTTTGCCCACTTGTAAATCTCTATTCACTGAATCAGATATGATAACATGTGCTAAGAAATCTGGTTTGCATAAAAATGCTCTCGAGTTTTGACTATTATTGTAAGAAGTATTATTACCTAGGTACAGAGTAAACGGCCAAGCCTCGCCCGCTTCGTCCTTATCCGGCAACCTACAGGACGAGCTTACAACGCGCAATGTGAACTACTCTGCAGTTACCGCCCCAGGCTTGCTTCGACTCACCCCTTTGTCCAAGACTACCTGAACAAATCCCCTCGTTCTTCTCTCCCTCGTGCTTCCTTGCATCATGAGTGACTGATCTCCAATTCTTCGTACGGACAAAGCAATAAATAATGGGCGTATCCCGCGCGAACACTTCTCCCTCAGCCTCGGCGGACCGCCAAGGCGACATTGACACGCGTGCCATCGATAGATACCAAATCCGTCTCACAGTGACAGGCTCCAGCTGTGACAAATACCCTGGTTAGTATGTAGATGCGACGGGAACCGTTGTCCCTGTCGCCTCTTACCGTCGCGGTCGGATCCACTGTCTCGTCTCATGTCGCATTACTGCTATCGTCCTGACTGACACTCAAGGGTTGTGAGAACAGCCAAGCAACATGCTCGCAAGGTCGCAGCACAGCTGGGGGCCACCCACGGCCTCATCTACCTCGTAGGACAGCCAACCATCCTCCTCGATGATTCTGATCAAGCCATTGCTTTCCGTCAGCGACGGTATTTCTACTATCTCACTGGCGTCGACGAACCGGACTGCCATGTGACCTACGACATTAAGAACGATCTCTTGACCTTATACGTCCCGGACTTTGATCTGCGCCAAGCGATATGGATGGGTCCAACTCTCACCGTGGAGGAGGCCCTGGAGAGGTAGGAGGGTTTGCTTCTGCATTTCATGGGGATTATATTGTTGACTGAGGGACTTTGTTGTCAAGATACGATATCGATCGTGCGAAATACCGCTCCTCGCTGTCGGGGGATATTGAAACCTGGGTTCGCAAGTACAACGCAGATGCTCCTATCTACATTCTCCATGATTACCAGCGACCTGAATCCGCTGGCCAGGCGCTCCGGCTAGACTCGAAGCACTTGCAGCCGGCTATGGACACGTGCCGGGGCGTCAAGGATCAGCACGAGATTGAATTGATACGGCGTGCGAACATTATATCTGGATTGGCCCACAAGAGCATCTTGCAAAATATTGGCAAGATGACCAATGAAGCCGAGATCGAGGGTCTCTTCCTCAACACCTGCATCTCCCATGGGGCCAAAAATCAGGCATATAACATCATTGCTGCCTCGGGGGAGAATGCCGCCACACTGCATTACGGGAAAAACAACGAGCCGTTTGGAGAGAGACAGTTGGTGTGTCTGGATGCCGGGGCTGAGTATAAGTGCTACGCGTCCGACGTAACGCGCACTTTCCCTCTCAACTCCAAGGGTGAATGGCCTAGCGCAGAAGCCCGTAACATCTACCACGCCGTCGAACGGATGCAGGAAGAGTGCATTCGACGGATAAGAAAGGGAGTCCGGTTTCTGGATCTCCATGTTCTCGCCCATGTCATCGCTATCGAAGAGTTGCTGAAATTGGGCATCCTCAAGGGAGGAACGGTGGACGAAATCCGCGAGTCCGGGGCGTCGACGGTGTTCTTTCCTCATGGGCTCGGCCATCACGTAGGTCTTGAAGTGCACGACGTTTCGGGCAAGTCAATCATGGCGTTGGACGACGAAGATGCAGGAGTATATTATCGCTCCGTGTTGATTCCGGACACGTGTCGTTCTCCGTGCACGCTGTCAGCTCCAGCTTTGGAAGAGAACATGGTTGTAACCGTCGAGCCAGGAATATACTTTTCCCGTCTCGCCATCGACAATGCGCGAAAGCTGCCCCTGTCTAAGTTCATCGACTTTGATGTTGCAGAGAAGTATATACCCGTGGGGGGCGTGCGGATCGAGGATGATATCCTGGTCACGGCGGACGGATATGAGAACTTGACAACCGCCCCGAAGGGAGATAAGGCGCTCGAGATTATTCGAAACGGGAAGTAGCCCGACCTGTACATAACAGAAGCTTGGGTTGGCCAAGTTTTCACCGATCATGACCGGTTTTGTGGAGTCTCTTACTCCGTAGGCTCATGCCGCCAATGGTATGGACACGAAGACTACCTGAGTATATAGTACAGGGTAGGTGGTGAGTCAACCATCTGCAAGGACACAATATAGTACTTTTGTAGAGAATGACACGCAATCGCGGGTTCCAACAGCGATGTTGAGTGCCAATGTTGGCAGCATTGACACGAAACGATGTTGATTCACACTGGACCACTCCGAGCCGGAACCAGTCACAAGGTACCACGCTGCGCCTGTATGCAGGTACCAAGTGGCATGTCCACGGGCACTGCTCTACGTATGCAATCCACAGGAAATGGGGGAAGAAAAAGCATGGTCAAGCCTTACAAGTAACATCTCGTGTCATAGACACGCATCAGGTATACACGTATTCCTGTATGTCAGGTCAGATCACCGCATGACTGTTGAGTCACGTTGTCCCATCGTCACGCCACCACATGATTCAGGTCATCTCCCTAAGAAAAAATTTCGACATTTCTCGCCTCCCTCCCTGGTCACCCGGTGGGGTTCTAGAAATCATAGGGCTGAATAATTAGTTTATTTGCGGTCGTGATTTTGTGACCGATCACGTAATTTAGAGTTCTGATGGACCATGTCATACAACATTCCAATTCTACATTCTAGAAGCTGCCGGATTTTCGTCTTTCAGTTTTTCGACAAATCACTGATGAAATTCTCCGTAAGGCATGAGCTAATAATAGCACGTGATTGCATGCTACGATGAAATCACGTAGTCTTTCTTCTCCCCCCTTTTTTTCCTTTGGAGTCAATCAATTTCCTGTCTCTGCTGTACGGAGTACTGAGCTGCTATGTATCCGTAGGCTATAGGCTATAGCTCGAGTTGCGTCAGAGGACTGGAGCCAAGGAAATTGCTGTGATTCGCTCCGGCGAAAAAAAGAGAAATTGGCCCGAAGATCCCATACATGATTTGTTTTAAAGTTGTGCTTCTAGAGCACTTGGCTGTGTGGATCACGGGTATTGAGTCAAACTATCGGGTGATGGTGTGCCTGATGACTCACCTGATAGGCTCCGCTATGCTCCGTACAACCAGCATCGGCGCTCCTGATTTCGGAGACGTTAAGACTCATACTGCTGATCGAGTCACGCAATGCTATGTTATAAATAATTCCCAGCTCCCTTCGAGTCATCGCTTTTCTTTTTTGCCTCTTTCCTTGACCATCATCCCTATATCTTGGGGATGATGATCTCTCCTCTCCCCCAATCTTCATGATGGTCCCGTCTCCTGCTACGCCATTATTTCCACAAAAGCATCTGTTCACTGCTTTACTACCGATTTGATTTCCGTGACATCACGAAAAAGAAAACCTTCGAAGAGAAAAATATCTTGTGTACCCCATGGGCCAAAGGCACAACAGACGCCGCACTAGAAGACCTCGATCCCGAAACCGCAACAGCATCGACGTCGTCCCTCCATTACCACCGACAAGCTTCCCAGACACCAATTACCTCCCCGCTGCCGACTATGACATTTCACCTACTTTGTCTCCAAGCCTGTCTCCTGTTAGCACCTATCGGGAATGCATACTAGAACCATCCGCCCCGACCTGGCACAACCGGTTCATAGCATGGCAGGACCGTGAGCGCGAACAGCAGCAGGAAGCCCTCATGATTGAGGCTGAGCAGTGCCGTCTATTTGGCGGCGAGCCTGGAGACGACGTGGGCCTCTGCTATCGAATGCTGGAATACTTTGACCAGCTCGATTACATCGACACGTGAGGAGCTTGTTGGTCATCTGAGTCTTTCTCACTTCGGAGGTATCATTATGCGGTCTGCAATCTCTGCTCCTGCCTTGAGCTCTGAATCACAGTCTACGAGACGATTGCAAGGGGAGTGGAGTTTGCTGGACTGGAAACAACCACCGACACATTCAAGCCTGCGACGACTGTTACGGTGCACGTGTCGGCGACACAGGAGTCCACAACGCATCGCTTCGATTGACGACGACACCAGAGACATGGGTTTACCGAGCCTGTGACTTGTAGCAATGAAGATCACTGCCCAATTGCCTTTCAGGCCCTAGGGGCGGTGTATCGGATTGGTCCATTAAAGGCTCGCCATTGTACTCTGGAATATCCTCCTTGCGCCACGAGGCGCTCTGCGAAACGCAGGACAGTCCGTGACGGGGTCATTCAACGAGGCCCTCGGTACGACGAGAGAAGTCAGACTGCGGCTATGCTCCTGGATTCGAAACGGCTTTCGCTCAGTGGGTGGTGCTCGCGTCCGACATTTGTGATGTTGTTGATGCTTGAGCTCTCCACGAGACAAGTCGGCTGTCCAGAAACTTTCCCAAGGGGTACCGGTCGTACCTACACAGGTTTGAACACGGGATGGGGGGATGTCGTGTCATTTTGAAGGTCGTGATGGAATCCTGTGAATGGGCCTTGCCCTCTTCTGTGAGGTGTGGAGGTTTGTAGGATAGAGTGTTTTAGAAAAAGAAATGGAATAAAAATTGGAAACTTCTTAATTCAGCTAGTCTTTCAGCTTCCACAGAGGAACAATGTAATAGTCACCAAACGAAAGCTGAAATTGTAAAGTAAATGCATCAGATAACAGTCCTGACAAATATTCTCATTTGTCGAGAGCTTGGCAACGGGACGATCTTGGGGGCGGTGACGCTAGTCCATTTGAGGAAAGCGGTCTGCGGAGCCCGAGCAGTGAACCGTGTCCTTAACAGTAATCGGATCGCGATACTCACAGATAATTGTCACATAATCCTAGAATTCCCTAAGAAACCTGCTGCTGACTCGACGGACGGCTTGTTGTGGTCGCTCCTTTGCCGTCTTCTGCCTGCTAATCATGCACAGGGTCTCCACACTTTGACTTGCAGTTCACTTATTTCAACGTTTTTCCCCTTGACGCTGCTGCAGTCCCCGGGGGCGAAGTCGCCGTGATTCCGATTCACGATGTCTTCGAGAGACTATAACTACGATGAACAGGTAGAAAGCGGAATCTACGACACTCGTTGTGGCTTCCAGACTGCTAACGCCTTCCTGAACAGGGCCAATTTTTCCCATTCTTCGTCCTAACCCTCACCAGCCTGGTTACTCTTCCTCTCACGTACAGCCTCCTTAAACCACAGAAAAGTGAGTCTCTTGCTTTGCCTCTATCGTCCAGACGATCCTCTTCCTTGCTACTAGGCGTGTCTCTAACTGTTCTGTCTCCTTACAGAACTCGAGAGTACCGCACCGCGAATAAAGTCGGATTTCAAGCCCCAGCATGACGACCTCATTCAAGCGCAGAAGCGGAAGCGCCTCCGTAAAGAGCGCCGGATCAAGCGTGCCATTGCCGTGCTTGTGGGGTACGTGATTATGGCTTGGATGATCTACCTAATCATCATCTCGAAGAGGACCGCACCGAAGATATGGGATCCTTATGAGATCTTGGGCGTTTCGAGGGTAGGTTTTAGAGAGTTCGTCCTTGGAAGAAGCTAGAGTAGCTAACTTGCTGTACCTTGTAGAACGCGGACGAGAGAGCCATTACCAAGCACTACAAGCGATTATCTCTCATATACCACCCGGACAAAGTCCGCCCCGATCCTTCCAAGAATGAGACTATGGAGACTCTCAATGAACGCTTCGTTGAGCTTACGAAAGCTTACAAGGCGTTGACTGATGAGGAGATCCGTAACAACTACTTGCAGTATGGAAACCCGGACGGGAGGCAGAGCATGAGCATTGGCATCGCCCTGCCCAAGTTGATCGTCACCGAGGGCAACGGTAAATACGTCTTGTTGGTCTATGGGGCTCTTCTTGGCGTTCTTCTGCCATACATCGTTGGCAGGTGGTGGTATGGCTCTCAGCGATACACTCGGGAAAAAGTCCTCGTCGCTAGCGCTGGCAATATCTTTCGAGAATATAAGGTCGACATGCTTGGCGGCCGGATTGTCAGCGCCCTTTCTACGGGAGAGGAGTACAAGGACATGCTGAAAGGCAAAGCCGAGTCAGGACTCGCAAAGGTCGAGAAAAAGGTTCTTGAAGACAGCGAATCCGGATTGACTCCCAATGACCGGGAGACGCTTCGAAAAATAGATGACTCGTACAGGAGAAAGGCCCTGGCGTTGCTGTGGGCGTATTTGGGCAGAATCGACCTGGAGGATGCTACGCTGAACGAAGGTTTGTTTTGCTATTCCCGCAACGACTTTTTGCAGATCTAGGCTGAGAAATATACTGTAGAAAAATACGAAGCTGCGTCTATTGCACTGACTTTAAATGACTCCTTTACAGCCATTGCTCTCGCATTTGGCAACCTGCTGCCAATCATTGGAGCGTACCGCATTGCCCAAAACCTGATCCAAGCTATCCCTCCTGGCTCTTCACCGCTCCTGCAATTGCCTTACTTCACGCCAAAGGTTGTCAAATCGGTTGAGGGCGAGGATGCTAAGACCCACCTGACTATTCAGAAATACATGCAGCTTCCTGAGGAGCGCAGACGAAGCTTGACGGTCGGTGTTGGCCTCTTGTCCGAGAAGGAATATGAGACAGCCATCGCTGTGGCAAAACAGTTGCCAGCTCTCGACATTTCCAAGGCGTTCTTCAAGGTCATGGGAGAGAAAGTTATCACTCCTAGCAGCTTGGTTCAATTGGTGGTTAAGGGTCGAATTATCCCCCCGGGATCTACAAATGTTCCAGAAGTCAATGAGGCTGATTTGGAGGATATTGATCCGGATGAGGACGACCTTGATGCTCTTCTTGGCCGGAAACCTGCGAAGAACAAGAAAGTGAAGCTTCCAGACGGGCGAACGGTGGAAGATAAGGAAACGCGGGTGCAGCCCCCCCTGGCTCATGCACCTTACCTTGCACGCGACTACTCACCCAAGTGGCATATTTTCCTCGCGGACCCCAAGCAAGGAAAGATCGCGGTTCCTCCTTTCACTTTCACGACCTTGGACAAGCCTATCTTCGATGAGAACGGCAAGCCAACGTTCAACATGCAAACGTTAAAGATGCAGTTCCAGGCTCCGCCGCAAGTGGGCGATTACACGTTCGTGCTTCATGTGATCTGTGACAGTTATATCGGGTTCGACACGAAGATGGAGATTACTCTTCGTGTGGATGATCCTGCGAAGGCGGCTGCTCTGGACGAGGAAGACGACATCAGTGAACCGGACGAAGGTAAGTTGCGAACTAAAATAGTCCGCATTTATTATGAGGCAAGAGGAAAAATCCTAATATGATTCTCTTTTGCAGATTCTCTGGCCGGTCAGATGCAGGCTCTGAAGACTGGCGTACCACCGAAGAAGAAGAAGCCTACGGATGAGGAATCTAGCGAGGAAGAAGAGAGCGATACGGAGGGTGATGTCGACGACACGAGCGAGACAGACACTGAAACAGATACGGATGGTGAATAGAGAAGGAAAACAAAATAAAAAAGAAAAAAAAAGGCAACAGGACAGGATTTGTATTGCATGAGGATATCGTATTTGCTTGTCGAAAGTTTTAGGGTTAGCATCCGTTGATTCCTACCAAAGCAGAGTTGAATCGGGTTTATCGTTACTTGTACTGTACTATTTATTTTCAATAATGGCAAGTTTGCTCTAACTATTGTGATGGCATATATTTTTTGAAGTTTGTTTGCTTGGTGCTCGGTATTTTTTTTCCTGCAGTGGAAGCTTTTTTTTTGCCCCTTTTACATCTGATCCCAGCAGGTCTAGTCCAGTCATATAATACCTGTCAAGCTGAGCTGGTCTGATCCGAACCCGAAATCTGGGTTCTCACCGGGAGGTAGCATCGAATAATCGAACCCGACAATCTGGCCCGGTGTCAACGGGGGCAGGCGCAGGGAGATGACAGATTGTTGTTATTATTGGCTAGATAACTATGTATGTATGTAAGGTATGTATGTATCTACCTGGATGCAGAGCTCCGGGAGCCTGCCCGTCCGTTAGAATCTCTTTGTTGAATCTGAATCTGCTACCTAGATAAGTATGTGATAGTTCACTAGAGTATACTGTTGATCGCCACGGGGAAGGGGCGAAAAGATGCCATGTGAAAGATATCAATCAATTGATTCGACGACAGAAGCCGGGAGAAAGAGAAAGAAGAGGATCAAGCAGGTGGTTGTTGGTTGGTTTGTGGATTATTATACTATTTATATTACCGAGACGGATGAGACAAGGCATGACGGAAACGAACGGACGCACCGTTGAACGGAACGGGATGGAATGATATCGATCGTTAGTATATACAACTAATCTGTATGTATTACAATGTGTGGAATTCGGTAGTGGTGGGCACTTCGAAAAAAATTGTTCCATGGATGGAGCCCTCTGACGACTGACGAGACCACTGCTTACCTCATCTGGAATAGCATCAACATCCAGCAAGGGCTTCAGCTTTGGAGGATGAGTCTGTGTGTGCTGTCACGTACTTCATGGATGCTTTTCCCCCCTCTCAGTCTAAGAGTTAGTTGGTTGGAAAAAGGATCCATTTGCGTCATGCCAAGTAAACTTTCTTGCGGTGAAGGTTGGAAGAGGGGGGAAAGGAAACTGGGAAAGACTCGCTCCAAGGGTGTCCAACAAAAAAAAAGATCGATAGCCGTGATCAGGTACCTATCTGGTACTATTGCTTTCTGCCCTATCCACTTCCTCCTATAATAATCAATGCGAACAAACAACCTTTGGATTTTTTTTAAAGTTCAGATCCATATGGGATAGAAGCGGAAAGCACTGGAAACATCCATAAGACAAAAGAGCCTGCTCTGCGCTAAGATATCGGTCCGAACAGATACCAGGTATTCCGTACCCAACCTTGGGTACCTACTTACCCAGGTGATGACATTAGGACGGAAATCTGGCGACAAGTTACTCCGTAGGTAGCCGACAAAGAGGAAGGTTCGCATAGATTATTGCCCAGTAGGAGACACCTGCCCTAGGAGGTAGGTACATGTACTGTACAGTACCTAAGGCACTGATTATTACCTCCAGCATCCAAATTAGGCGGCCGAAATGCTGAATAAGCATTTTTGCAAGGTATCCAAAACCAGGCCTCGAACCGGACTAATGGAGTTTGGATTTTTTTTTTGGATTTCACTTTTTCTTTTCTTTGCCCTGTTTTTTTGCCCCTTTCAATCCACTTGTCATTTCGTTGCCCACTGGGAGGGAAAACAGAAAAAAATTCTGCAGGGCAAGTCAAGCAGGACGACGAAAATTACTTACCTACGTAGGTAGGTACCTTGTCACCTTAGGACTGCCCGAGTCACCGTCATTTCCATCCCGAAATAGGGTTAACCAACGGTGGATGGGACTGACGGCCCGCTCTTGTGCCCCGTCTATCGTGGGCGGCCCGAAACTGGTATGATAATGCGGGTCATAAGTAGCCTTAGAGGCACCGGCATATACTTGACCCTAACCAGGATCCAATCGTAAATACCTTCCTCGTGGGCCGCGGGGATTGTGCCTTCTGCAGCATGTCGTTCCAAACTCTCGCTTGCACCGGCGTGTCTAGTGCTGATGGTCACATGCCGCCATGATGTCAGGACGGATGAATCGATCCATGTAGGCATGTCCCAAGATACAACCAGTTTTGTCAAATTTCACCGTCCATCAGTCGATCTAATAGTTCGCTAAGTAGGAAATCATAACACAGGACCCCTCAGGTACACTTACCCTGGTATCCTTCGCGACATATAATAACTACTTTGTATTTGTTTCTTTCAATTTCACAACAAAGTACAGGACATAGGGGCAGGGAACACACAGACCAACCAGACGACGGCAATCGTACAGAGTACTTCATCATCTGAGGACGCTTTGTCCGTCCGATGGACCGCTGTCCGACGTGTCTCTAAATACCTACCAACCAGGCAGTTGCGGGGCTAGGAACCAAACAGATACATCTCCTTCAAGTTGGGCTCTTCATGTTAGTGAAGGACACACGAATTAGCATCGTCGATGGAAGCCAATAAATAGGTCAAAGAGATCTTTGTCTGATTTTGCGTGGCATTCAGCATTTCAGCTGGAGGACTGGTTCGGCGATTGCTCTCTCTTGATTTTTTCAGTCAGTCGGGAACCCATGGATTGATCAACTTACGTCCGCTGTGGGGGAAGTTAGCTGCTCTCCAAAATTGAACGCGGTCGAGATTGGCCCGGAAACTGGCCCTCCGACCAACCAGCGTTCCGAACGCGGTCCTTGTACCGAGATTATGGACAACTAACCATTGCTAACCATACTCCGTACGGAGTACCTAGACCGAAGACCAGGATGGGTTATTAATATTGCTGCCGCTGTTGCTCCACCTTCGCATGAGATCTCGTTCTTGGGCCACTTGGAGAGTCCGTTGCGACTCACGACTGAGAAGGCTTTCCCGTTTCCTGAGAGACCATGCGATCCTCCATTGAACCTGTTTCAGATTTCATTTTTCGTGTTGTTGTAAAGGCTGAAGCGGGCCGCAAGGCTTCTTTTTGCAGTCAATCTGCCCAGGTTCAATTATATATCATGTCCTATCCAGGTTGCAACATTTCTGGGACAATAGTAGTTTCAACAAATTCGCTTGCGCCTGCAAGACAGTTGCAGCCAATTCCTGGTGAAGTACTACCGTCTGATGCGTATTGGACCTTGACAAGTCTCATCCCACAAGCTAGACGGAGAACGGGGAACGGCATCCTCTCTTTCTCTCTCTCTTTTTTTTAACTGCACTCATTGTCGTTGCTGACCTTCTCGTCTGGATGAGACTGTTGTGTAGTTAGTGTACAGAACATGTGTTTATCAGCTCTTGGGACTGCGTTTCACCAGCAGCCAACGTGCAAAATCTGGTCTTTTCACTAGCCCACTTACAGGTCACCAAAGATGTCTTCCCCGGCTTGGAACAATCGTTATCCGTTGGAAAATGACATCTCAGTGTTAAGCTTCAATTGAAAGATGCTAGGCAATAATATTCCGTTCTGCAGCCTGTCATTGGCTCGACCTTTTGCGACATTTCGTTCATCTGAGAGAAGAATTACCACTTTCCCTATATAGATTGCGCTGAGTACCGATTCTGTCCTGATGCATAGCAGAACACCAATAACGTCAAACCTTTATACTTTGTAAGTATCTCAAGCAAAAGGCGCCACACACCTCATTCAGCAGCGTCACTAGATCAACAAGGCTGCACTATGATAGATATTAAGTCATTTAGTCCACTTGGCCGACGCTTCCCACCTCGCGATTTGCCATGTTGACGCGGATTCTCGCCCGCATTCCTTAATCGGCTGTCGAATGCCCCACTACTTCCACACGAAACTGGGCCGGTGAGCCATAGCCATGCATGCCATAGTCGCCGTTAGGTCCTCATAATCATGAATATGCCGCAATGAAGAGGCTTGTCTGCGGGACAAAGGGTCTCGAATCAACTCAAAGGGTTCCATTTTGCCGGGACAGCGGAAGAATATCCATATATCCAGTCCTGATGAACCAGAATACCACCGCACTGGTTCGCTCGAGTTTACCATGGATGAAGGCTGGAATAATGAAAGGCGACCATCCCAGATCTATTACCCGAGTGTCCCTAGTCCGCGATCTCTAGAAGGAGGGCCGGCCTCAGCACCGACTTCTTCCGAATCCAAGGTCCCCATTCCAAGACTCCAGCGGCCGACTCCAGTGAAGGCGTTGGTCCCAAGTGAACGTCAGAGGGTTAGCCACGCGTGCGAACCATGTCGACGTCGCAAATCCAAATGTGATGGAGCTCAACCGTTCTGTTCTCGTTGTAGGGACCATGGACTTGTTTGTTCTTATGCGGACGGCAAGAGAGAAAAGCTGAAGAGGTGAGCTGCTGACGTTTTCAGAAATTGCGAGGTGAATTTAAATGTGGCCTTACCGCTATTGCTAAAATCGAGTGTATATGCTGTCTGCCAGGAATGCGAAAAATTTAGCTGCTAAAGTGACGCTGTACGAAAGTCTTCTGATCGATCTTCTTCCAAGTCTCGATCCTGCTCGACAGCAGGTTGTTAGAAACACCATAGCAGAAGTGTGTTTGGAGATCAAAATCGACGATAAACCTTTTTGTTTCTTGATTGACTCGACTGACTCGTCAAGCAGAACAATCCTTTGCACGAGACCGACCTTGCGATATCTGGAGAAGGAACTATGTCCGGAGAAGATGTGAACGACGAGGATTATCCAAGCGCGAGCTCTCCTGAGTTCCAGGATTCAGCACAGCAAGATGGTCCGGGCTTCATTGGGCCTTCTGGATTTCTTGGAAGGTCGTCACCTGTTCGATGGATGGAAGAGGCATCGATGAGAATGACTGTGACTTCCCTGGATTCAAATGGTGCCGATTCGCACCTGCCGTTCCCGTGGCGCATGCTGTCAGCTGACTTGAATTGCAGTTTCCGGACTTCAGTCAATACTCCAGCAGACGCTGACCAACATGAATCGCGCCAGCAGTCTCGACGAATTCCATCAACTTCTGATGGAGGGTTGTGATTACTTCGCCAATCACCTGGACGTGTCTGATTTCGGGGTATTTGGCGAAAATGTCGACGCGTTCCAGCTCCCTCCTCGAGAAACAGCCGATATGCTTGTCCATTCATACTTCTCGACCGTGCATCCTTTCTTTCCCGTCCTATCACAGAGCGATTTCATCGCCCAGTATCAATCGTATTTCGAGACACGACATCCTCCTGGCGGCAGCATCCATTGGATTGCCATGCTCAACCTGGTTTTTGCACTGGGTGCGCTTTATGGATATCAAGCAACCTTTATTGGGAGTGATAAGGATCATGTTCTGTACTTCCTCCGGTCACGGATCTTGACCCAGGAACCCACTCAAATGTTCGACCTTCCCACCATGGATCACGTGCAATGCACGACCATCAGTGGCATATATTTACTTGCCAGCTATCAGATGAACAGGTAGAACAAGCCATGACAACCATGCCACTGCATGTACAGAGCTAAGCTTCAACGCGAATCTAGGGCATGGAGTGCCGTTGCACTTGCAATTCGGTATGCGCAAGCTCGTGCGGTTCATCTGGTTGATCCAGTACCTGATACGACGGAGACCCAACGCGAATGCCAGGCTCGAGTCTGGCAGTGCATCTGCTCTTTAGAACAAATTCTGTGTGTCTGGACCGGGAGACCCTCTGCTTTACAGAGTCGTTTCACAACTGGCCATCTCTCCAAAACTGCTGATCCAGCAGTCAATCCTCAGGCCTTGTCACAGGCTGCTTCTCAAAATCCCATGTCGAGAACCACATTTCCTGAAGGAACAAGGAGTTTCATTTCTACTGGTTGGAGCACCTTTACCGCCTGTCTATACCTTGATAGGATTGTTGCGGAAGTCCTGGAGGAGCTTTACAATCCCCGCATGATAATCCAGGCTTGGGCCAGAGTCCAGCAAGTGATTAGCGTTCTGAACGCAAAGCTGGATCGTTGGCATTTAAGCTTACCGGTCAATTTAAGGCTGTCTGCAGGGCAGTCAGATCGCTCGTCGCAGGCACAAAGGGAACGTTCGTATCTCGCGTTTCGTTTTTACAGCACAAGAATACTAATCAATTGGCCATGTCTGTGCAAGACACGTAATATCAATCCTGTGACATTTCAGTCAGAGTCATCGAGAAGTTTCAATGCAGAAGCCGTAGAGCAATGCAGAAAAGCTGCGAGAGATTTATTGAAGCTCTTGCCAGATGACGGGACTGTCCCTGACGTGTATGACTCTACTCCATGGTGGTGTGTTCTCCATTTTGTTGTCCAAGCTGGCGTAATTTTCGGGCTGGAAATTTTACCAGAAGCAGCTCGTATGCGCCCGTCGGATGCTGAGCAATTGATAGCAGAGTCTGTCAAGGCAATTCGGTGGTTAAAGGCTCTATCGGAAAACAGTGTGCCTGCCAGGCGAGCGTGGTTCGCCTATAGCCGTCTTATGCAGCTGGCTTTGGCAAATGCTGGGAAAGATCCTAGCATGCTTACTCCTTACGTTCCAGCAGACACGTCTCTACCTTCATCATTTGCCTCGGAAGACACTACCTTTCTTGTTCAGCATACTGGATATTTGGGACTATAGAATCTCGGGAGTCGATAGAGTCATTTCTTCTGCCGTTTCTTGTGCGCAAAGATGGAAATAGACGAGAAAGAGATCGACCTCGTGAAAGAAATACAACATATCATGATACATTGTTCTCATCATTGTTTCGGCAGTTGATATACAAGGGAGCCATTTTGCATATCGACAGGTGTTTGCAGCCAAAATTTGTCATTTTGATGTTCTAGACATCATTCTTCATTGTCTGTTGTCTATATATAACCCATAGAAGGTGTTCAGGTTGTCATCTTTCAGCATCTGGATTTTCCAAGGATGGAATTGCATCGATCAACGACCGAAAAGAGAGAATCTGAGGAATTTTGAAATGGCATGATTGCCTCTTTTCCCACACGCGGTCGGCTATATACCTCATGGCAGGTAATTCAACCTGATCAAGGATATATATTGAATGGAATAGTGATTGCATGCTTACCACCTCCTATCTAACTCCCCTCTCTTTCCTCACTCCTTCCTAAACGACTATGAATTGTTCATAGAATAGAAACAGGGATTTTCACGCATATTTAACGCTAACAAAGAAGCATGCGACAGCTTTCACACTCCTTGTGATGGTTATCTGTTGGGATTAGTTGCGTCAGAGCTGTGGAACAAGTGTGAGGTCGGGCAAGCTTGTTGCTCCTGGACTGGAATCCGATAATCATTGTTAGGAAGCAAGTTGGCGGCATCATGATATGGGACAGGCCATGAAAAAGCTGCTGAATGGTCGTTTCTCTGACAAGGGATGTCACCGAAACTGTATCTTGAGTTGCAGGGTTCGTTGTTCTCGACAATATGCGAAGGCAGGACCGGTTCCTGATACGAGATCCCGGTCATCGATTGCGAGATGCTTGGCTGTTGCGATGGCATGACCTCCAAGCAGTCGTACATGGGAAAAGAACCAGTTAACGATTGTGGAATGGCCTGCAGATCCCACATGCTGTGGTTCTCGGACGTTGGTGAGACCAACTGTTGTTCCAAAGTGTCTCGCGGCGTTCCCGGCTCTGGAGACGGATCGCCGGACAGGGTGGGTTCGCTGGGTTCAGTGGATTCGGTGGACTCCATGCAGTCGGCTGCTGTCAGGACCGATTTCAAATACTCGCTGATTTCCGCGAGGATCTCTTGAGGATCATGGATCGCCTCTTCTGCATGCTTGATCAGACCCAACCGACTCAAGATCGCGTGGGTCGCAGGGTGGCCATTGGCCGATTCTTCAAGCGGTGCGCCTGGAAATCCTTCCATGTTTATGCAACGCCTGTAGAGCTTTTGGAGTGCTTGCACAAGCGTGGCATGGTGGGATATGAGCATTTCAACGAATCTGGAAGGCAGCGGGAGTAGCCATTAGCGTCAACATTCAACACTCTCTTAAACCGTCCAGACCAGAAACCTTGACGACCTACCCTCTGGAATAGACTTTTGCCTGTGTCGCTTTCCTATCGCGAAAGATACAAGCATGGTTGTACGTCAAGCACCGGTTACAGGGTTGGTTGCCGTCACACTGAAGATACCCCATGTCAATTCAATGGTACCAACAGCTTTTTCGATGACAGCTGAGGGTCTGAAAATATACCTTCGATTTTTTAACTCTGCAGCGTTCACAGGCTTTGAGGACGTGCTTCCTCTTGGTCCTAAAAACACGATGGGGATTTTTGTCCTCCCCAGAGCTTGAGGACAGCTCGAAGCTTGGGAACGGCAATATCACACCACCAAGCGTACTAATATTATCCGTAAACCCTGGGATAGCCGATTTGGGGTAAAGCTTCGGTGGCCTGGACATCTGGTTTGGGATCTGATCAGGAATTGTTTGCCTGTGGAGAAGGAAAAGTGGTGAGCTCTTCACGCAAGACACGGTACAATCTGTTCTGGGGCACACTGAAGCAAGCCGTTAAGAACCGCATTGCTAACTGAGTTAAAATCAGAAAGACGAAGCGCGGGGAAGGAAGCGTCATTGAATAATGAGAAGGACATGCGACTACGCAGCAAGTTATTTGGGACGACTGATCCGCGCTCCTGGGATTCCCACATAGCGCCAACGGCCACCTGCCACATTCTCGTTTCTGACGTGGAAAAAGATCCCAAATCGAGCGAATTCTGCTACACACTCTTTCGCCTGATCCCCTTGTGATCCCTGCAATTTGTACAGGGTGAATTGGGCGCCGCATTAAGCGGTTTATGGTGGGCGCTCGGTGTGGCGTCTAAGTGGATGAAGGCCGGTCTCTTGTCGAAGAGAAAGTCAATATCCTTGTAATTGGAATTACATGCATATCGGAATAGACCTGCTGACGGTCTGCTGACGAACGAACGAAACGGTAGACGAGCCGATTAGGCATATAATTCAATGCAGAGTACAGGGGCGCTCGTCAAACAACAATTCTCTGGCAGGACTCTTCAGCGGCATAGAACGGGCGCTGCTTTGTTGCCCCTTTCAGGTCTAAGTTGATCCAGCTAGGACTTCGGATACGCCCTTGACCTAAGAGTGTACGGCAGGCCAAGGTCCGATAGTCCGATGAGGGACTACCATTGTTTATGACGTATGACATGAGGGATCATGAACCATGAAGCAAGAATACGGACAGAAGCCCGACCTGGAGAATGGTCTTCTCACCTCCATGACTGTTTGGAGACCTCCAATAGCGATTCTTGCTTATTGCGTGGTTGGTGCCTACGAATGTTCAGTGGACAGGCGAACCGATTAAACCCGGGTTGGGCAAGGATAGCATCTCAGTCAGTGTGTGTCTACCCAAGCGAGGACACCCCATGCTTCTCGTGACTGGCAGTCTAAAGTTTAGGCAAGCTCTCCAATTGCAGCCAAGACGAAGAGATGCGAACAGAGTCCTCTTCAGCGAGCAAAATCACCAATAATCGACGTTTTTGCCCACCTAGAGCCATTTTCCGTGTCCGATAGTTGCTCCAAGACTAATATAGCATAGTTTTCGCAGGCAAAGAACGCATATGCACGAGGGAGGGGTTAAGTTGGCTTGGACGGCAGCAGAAGGGCAATGGTAACAAATGTTGAAGGACCGCCTTGGAAGGAGCCAGACAAAGAAAAAGACAATCGTACAGCCTCGCAACTGTGACTATTCTCGCCCTTGTCACATGACATGTAGGCGAAGACTGGGGTCTTTGTCTGTTTGGCTTTGTCACAGCCACGATCGACAAGTCTGTGTACGTATTCTCTCCATGGGGGAGAATCCATCACAGCCTTGACGGGTCCATCCTCCGGATTTCGGGGCCCGCTCCTGGATGCCGAAACGAGGCTCTTTTCTGCTGATCTGTTATCCAGCAATCTCCACCGATCAAGGCAACTGTTTGCCAGAAACAAAGAGACAGAAAGGGTTGATTCATGGGACCCCGGCGCCGCTCTATTGGGCTGTGGTAGTATGCATATCGAGGACAGGTTCGGCTATAGACCGAACAGAGAAAAGGAGAAAGTCCGGTGCAAAGTATCAATTTGATGGGACAATGATGTCAAAAAGAACATTGAACCTTAACAGGTCAGTATGAGAGGTGCTGAGCCAGGGCTTGTGGTAACACATCACAGGTAATCAAGCTGGTCGAACCTGTCATGTCATGTCATGTCATGTCACCTGGACAGTGTTGAACTCAATGCACGGCATGAGTGTCACTAATAGTCGATCTATCTTGGATGGGTTAGAAAGAAACCTTAGCTGCATTGGCTCGCTGTCTCGCCCCCTCTTTCATTGCCGCGGGTACATTGTCCGGCGGGCCGACCCGTCTTCTATTATCTTTCAGCCCTGACTTTCATACCTATCCCTCAGAGTTTCATTATTAGACAAGCAGGACACATCCAGCATACTATCACATCCACATAGGGTTATAGGGTTAAGGAGTTGACAAGCCCCTTTACCATTTACCCTGTGCATATTATTAAGCCGCTTTTTTTTTTGACTTTGTGATTCTTTTTTTTTCCAGCTTTTTAGGGAAATCTTTACTAATAGTACCCTTTGAACGATGGCTGCACCGTCAATCTTTCTTCTTTTTTTTCTTTCTTTTTCTCCCCTTTATTTTTTGTCTTTTCTTTTTTTTCTGACTAAGAGAGTGAGAATCACCATGGCTGACGAATCGAATCGAACAGAAACTCTTCAACAGCATAACCCGACCCGGCTTAGTTACTGAGAGCTGGCTGGTCGGCTACTGCGTATGTATGTACATACTCCGTACAGGACAGCCTTCCTTGACCTATCGCCAATATTATCGCTGATTTATTTATTATTAATGAGGCAGCATGAAGAACAAGCTGAGCCAAGACATGACATGCTGGAACGAACAGTTTGAACCTGTCAAGTGCGACAATATCTGTCGGGCATCACCACTGAATGCTTGAATACTGAACGACAACAACAACAAGGCAACCAGGCAGGCAGGGCTGTCTGTCTGCTTGTCTGTCAAGGTTTGATACGTAAATGAATAGCTTGTTCTCTTCTTCTCCCTCCCCTTCCCCTCACGAGAATACTGTACAGTACATGATTGATTATTCGTATGCAAGAAAGTGATGATGCATGCATGCAGCAGGAAAAACCAATCGCGCCGTTCTTCTCTCTCCCTCCCTCACTTCCTCTGAATATGTATGCAGGGTTCTCTCGGTCTCTCTTTCTCTCCTACTTCTCTCCCAGAGTCTTGATTGCGTCCATGCCACAGGGATTTTTCATTTCATTTCATTCAGCCTCCTCTCGCCGTCCGTTCTCCGGGTACCTCCTCCCTCTCTCTGCCTCTCTCTCGTCTCTCTTCTGTGCGACATGCGAGACAAGAAAAGAAACCAACCAGGGGGAGAATGGTTGGAAGACAACAGGATTGGTTCTCTACCTTGCTGCTTTTAGCGCCGATGTAACCCCTCAAATTCAATCAATAGACGAAGTGTCAGAGGCCTGTCCAGGATGGCGGTGACAAGGTCGAAAGCAAGGCGCTGCCGGGGTTGTGTTGCGATCATGGATTAGGAAGGTGATATGACAGCCGAGAACTACCTACAGTAAGTACATGTACAGTACAGCTCGTGTAAGAAGAAGAAGTAGTAGTAAGTTCGTTAGCCTCAACAATTGGCAAGTCCGGGTTTGCCCTGCGGGACTCGAGCGAGTCAGTTAAGTTTTTTTTTCTTCCCCCATTTCTCCTGCCAAGTCTTTGTCTGGGATGTTCTTTCTGTCGTATTGGCCAGGAAATCTTATCCATCCCTCACAGGCTGACGGACCGCGTATCTGACTGGGACTGCGAGTTGGATGAAGTACAGTAACATATGTATGTACCTGCAGGGATGCCCCGGACGGCGAGGCTTCAACTCGGAGTGAAGAACAGGAATCTTTATCGCACGAATACCAACGGTCCACCTCCATCCGAAAGACAATCCCTCTCGATTAGGCTTAGTTGACAGGCAGGGGTACAAAAAAACCACTTGCAGGGAGCGGGCGAGTCTAGAGAACTCACGCAGGCCGCAGGAGCCACACCTGCAGGCGCCAAGTGTCCATGTCATGGCGGGTGGTGAACTAAATCTGGGCATTGCTAAGCAGTACAGAAATGGGCACTGAGAACTTTGGGGATGGGGCAAAAAAAAAGGCAGGGCTATCCTAAGAGGAGAGAGGTGTGACAAGTGAGATGGGCTAGACAGGGGAGCCAGCACAATAGGCATTTTTTGATAGGGCGAGTATTAGATCAAGGATAAGTTCTCCGTCCGAGGACCGGCGAACGGCGTTTGCTTTCTATTCTTTGAGATACAGCAAATAATGATAGGAGGATGGCACAACAACCACAACTCCATTTGATGAACGCCCAGTGCTCTTCATGCACGATAAATGTCATACCGCAAAAGCCCCACGTCCCTCTCGCAATAGAAGACTGCGGACAATTGTGCAGACAACCCCTCCCAATCAGTTACTAAGTAACAATTGACATAGCAAACACCCGACCCTAGACGACATGCAGACAAACTGCACACGATTGTTGACGATCGATTAGAACTACAACTCAAATACTTCAACCCTGCGAAGCCGGCAGGACAATGCTCGCCTCACCATGCGCCAGGAGGTCGAAACTCTCCTCACTGGCCGAGGTCATGGGAGGACTAGGGGCATCGATCACATTTCCGCTCAGTGAAGCCTTTTCAGGATGTGATGACGAGTGAGGCTGACGATCGGTATGGTCCTTGTTCCATCGCCGATCGCCGATCCACTCCAGTCCGTCTCCTGCGCCACGGCCTTTGAACTTGCGTCGAGCCTGCTCCCGCTCCTCGAGCGGCAAGACGTTCTTCTTGTCCGGAGCTGCTCCTGCGGCTGCACCATCAGGAACGGACGGCAGAAGGAGATTCCGTCGATGCCACTCTCCAACGAACATGCCATCAGGGTCAGCCTCGTTTCTCACCTTCAGCCATTCATCCATGTCGGCGCCATACATGTCGCGCAACTCTTGGGCGCTGGTCATCCCGGTAAAGTTCTTGGCCCAATGAGGACGCCCGCCCAAATCCCGCATGAGCCATTCAAAGGCTTCGTAGTAGCGGTCCCTGCAAGGAGGGTCTCGTAGGTATGGGCGATAAAGGGTGGCATTGAGATAAAGAGTTGGTCCATCCCGACATGTGGGATCCAGGTAGGCACGGGGGGAGTTGGACACGGTCGAGTCTGAAACTCGCACTTCGATGGGACAGTGTACCCAGACGCCTTTCGGGCTGAAAGGGATGCGGGCCGTCTCCAGGTCCCCGTGGATCCACGCTGACAGACGAGTGATGGCTTCCGGACCTTTCTCGAGGGGTAGAGCCCATTCATTCACAAACTGGGAGTAGAGGCAATTCATCAGGAGACCTTCCCTGGCCGGTTCAACGGCCCTGGTGACCCTAGCACCGGGTCTGAAACCATACTGCATGCCGAAAACAAACCATTCCACCCACGGAAGAATGCGTGGGAACCAGTTGGAGAGCGCCAGGAGATTGTGATAGATGTGATAGCCTAGCTTGCCACCATAAAACGTCTTGGGAGGCGCGCAGAGGGGAAGATCAGTCTTATCCGCGCGCCAGACTATTGCCCTCTTCAAATACGGGAGCCACCAGACACGCACAAATCTATGAGACGTCCACAGCCCCTTGGACCAGTTCTCCAGGATGCTCGATAACGGGTGCATGGATTGCTCCCAGGCGATCCGGAATGCAGGCTCTGCTTTGAGCGATACCTCTGTGACAATGCCCAGCGCTCCGAGGGAGACCAGCGCGGCGCGGAACAACGACGGGTTGGTCGTGGCACTGCAGCGCACGGTTTGGCCATTGGCAAGAGTCACCGACAAAGACACGATGCACTCCGACAGCAGTCCATGACGGAGAGAACTGCCGTGGGTGCCAGTGGCAATGACGCCTGCGATCGACTGACTGTCGATACTGCCCAGGTTCGGCAGAGTCCACCCATGTTTCTCCAGCTCCACGCCGAGATCCCTCAACCGGATTCCTGCTTGGACAGTGACGATACCGGTCTCCTGTGAGATGCTGATGACGCGGTTGAAGTCATCGAGGTTGACCAGCCACGACGAGGTACACGTCAGGTCCGAAGGCGAATGGCCGCTGCCGACGGTGACAATGCGACGGCGGCAGCGACGCGCAAGAGTGACGACCTTCTGGATCTCGGCAACCGACTGCGGCCGAATGTAGAGTTCCGGCAGGCAGAAGAAGGTCTTTGCCCAGGTGTGGTGTACGTGGCCGGTGGTGGCACGAAAAGGGACGGTCGGGTCGAGCCGCGAGAGCTCGCGAGCGATGGCGGGGTCCATCGGGAGGTGAAAACAGTGCAAGAGTGCAGGCAGGTTCAAGACATGATGCGGCAGTGGTCGAGACAGCGAGCGACACGCAGGGCAGGAAGCGCGAGAACAGAAGAGAAAAAAACTAGCGAAAGGAACAGGCAGCTCAAGCTAACGTTGAGCAGGTCATGATGGCGGTTGCAACGGATTATCAATAATTTTTCAGGCCGTGATCGCGATGCAAAATGGCATCAGCCGGCAGTGGGGCAGCAGACTCGCGGGATTCGCTGCGGAACCTGCCGAGAGTCAGCAGGGCAAATGATAACGCGGGCCAAGAACGAGCAACGATATTAATGATAATTAATCCCCTGGGCGATTCCGATTCTCGTCGAAACGCAGACGTTGGTGGCGTGTCGCGTTCCCCACGTGCGGAGGCATGGAACACCAGTGCTGCCCTCTGCGTAATCTCCGGTGATTGCAGGTAGATAGCGACGCATGCGAAGGTCTTCAATCTAGAGCAAACAGCTGCAGGCGTTATCGCCTCTGATAAGGCGTTTTGCCACCTGGCAGGGACAGGAACCGTGGTGCTTGCCATGGTTCGCCCAACGATCTGAAGTGGCAATCCCTAACTGAAGGAGTTCCAAGGTTCTGTATATGAGTATGCCTATGGTCACGGCGGAATTTTGGCTTCGTAGAACCCTACATTGGTTCCTCCCCTGGCGGTTTTCAGCCCCAACAAAACTGAACAGTAGTGTGTCGATTATCAATAAATACCTACACCAGTCGCCTTCCTATGCAAATGTACGTACACACAATTAATGCATTGGGCGCAGGCCAAAAAAAAAAGGAAAAAAAGAAGACGACAGAGAAGAAGCAACCTCAGATGTCCACATGCTAATTTGGGAGACAGGTGAAGAAAATAAGCCCTGTACACCTATTCCCAACCATGCCAGTCTATCCCTTAGTCCAGGAGAAAAAAGAGAAGCGGGGAGGGGGAAAAGGCAAAAAAAAAGCAAGCTGTGCGACCAGAAAAAAGACAAAATGCATGAGACAGACAACCGTAGGAACTCCGGGTTATCGCCATCTTGATCATGCTATACAAATACACCAACAGGGTGAAAACGCCGACAGTGACCATATACACCGAAAGATGCTGTGGAGGGGAAAAGGCAAGGGTCAGAAACCTTTTATCCCAACGTTTTACGACCGGATCGCTTCGATAGCGGCATTCAGCGGCAGAACTTGGGGAGACGCCTGCAATGTCCGCGGGTCCCATTTCCTGAATGCCGTCCTGCAAGCATCCGGAACACCCCCAATGGCGACAAAACTCTTAGGGATGAAGGGCCGATCCTGAAGTGAGGCAGCCAGGATGCCGTATTCGTGGGCGAACACGAGGGCTGATGCAAACTCGGCCGGCCGAGAGGAAGCCTCCTCACCGACGATCCTGTCGAAGAAAAGAGACGGTCAGGGTCTTCCGTCTTACATGTGAGACGGTCGAGGGGAACTTACACATAGAGATCGAAAAATGCATCAAGGATGTAGATATCCTTGGTTCGGAGGTCCTTCTGGCAGAAAGGCTCGATTTCCTGGACCGTGTCGTTCGGTCGCGTGACGGGCGAAGAGGAGCCGCCGCGCCGATTCCAAAAACCGACTCGCTGTCCTAGCTCATGGTCGACCCGAAGAAGCCGGCAACGGTACTTGTCATGATGGGGTTTCAAGTGCCAATGGTCCGCCGTCTGATGGGAGACTGTCTCCTTGTAGTCCGGAAACACCTCGAAGAAGCTTTCAGGCTCTTCCCCCTCGGAAACTTCCTCGATCTCTCCAGTCAGGCCAAGGTCCATACCGATGAGCCGAGCGCCGCCAATCTCATCCGCACCGCTGCCTTTTCCTTTCCAGAGATAGAGCTTGCCGAACTTGGCGGATATGACGAAAGGAAAGCCCGAGCACAAACTCCGTCGGGAAAAATCGACCTCGTCAAACGCAATCTGGCCCAGATGTCTTCGTCCACAGAGCATGTAGAGAGCAGAGGAATTAGATCGAGAGCTAGACCCTCGGCGCGTGATAATGATTCCCCCGAGGGCCTGGATAAAACTCGCGGTTTCCTTGCCTTGCCTCAAGAGCTCAAGCTTACAGCCGTTTTCTCTTGCTACCTTTCGAGCGAAGAGCTGGGCATCATCTATCGCTGCCTCTCCAACCTCGTCGCCGCACCAAAGGTAGACTTCTGTCTTGTTGCCGCCATTGCACTCAAAGGTGTGAACGCACAAGTACATGCTGCCTTCGAAGAGAATGTATTCCTGGTTGACGGGAAGGTCTTGCCTCTTGCCGTCGCCTGTTATCTCCCAGATTTGCTTTTTAATCGTCCTCGTTTTCGGGTTATCCGTCTTAGCCGTCAGGATTAGCTGAGGGTCGATATTCACCCTGTCGCTCGATTTGGGAAGCGTGTTGAAAAAGTCGGAGATAACCCTTGCAGATTCAGAAGTACGGGGAACGGGCGACGTCAAAGACGGTCTTCTTGGATCAAGAGATGTATTCAAGGATAGGTCGACCTTCTTCGGAGGGACCGGTGGCCATGGAGAAGCCTTCTCAGGCCGGGATGATGCCACCTTGTCTTGAGACGAATCCTGCTTTGATTGGAAAATGGCTCCACCAATCCCTAGGCCGATCTTTGATTGCAGTGGTGAAATATTCGCCGAGTTCACAATGTTTTCTTTCAACTTCGAGGTAAGGGAAGGCGAAGGTGAGGAATTCCCTGGAAGGTTTTGTTTAACCGCAGTGGCTGGAGACAAAGGCAACGTCGCGGACTTGGGGGGTGGAGTCGGCCTCCAACTCGACGGGCTCTCTTGATTTTCATTTTTCTGTTGGATGGCATTAGGCCTTGGGCTTGACTCTTCCAGACCTGTGTGTTGTTTGGGTGGAAGGACCTCTGTGCCCTCCTGCTTCTTATCCTCTTTTATCTCCTGGGTAGAGTCCTGTGCACTAGCAGAAGAGCCAAATGTAGACTTCTTCAGCTCCGGAGACTTGGTACTCACAGCCGGTTTCGGTTTCTCGTCACCTGGCTTCTTGGGAGTAGAGAGGGAGTCAGACTTTTCTGAGATCACTGAGGATGCGGGTCCAGGGGGGTGAGGTTTAGATGACAGAGAGGATTCAAATTGCTTTGCCATATTTTCAACAGACTTCTGTTCTAGTGGTTCTTTCTTATTTTCCATTGAAGTGAGCTCCTCTCGTTTACTGGGAGCTTTTGCACTGGGAGCTTTTGCACTGGAAGGAGCAGATCCAGGCAACCGCCTCTTAGGACCCTTTGCCCGATTTTTGGTGATGTGCGTGAGAGGTGTAGAAGACGATGGATCCGTAGGTTTCGGCGCACTCCTTGACGTGGTCTCGCTGGACACAGCCGCCGCATTTGGCTTCTCTGTCTCACCTCCCGCGACGGGTGGTCCTCGAGACAAGACATTTGCCAAAGCAGGATTCAATCGCTCTGCAAGACTTCCTTTAGTAGCAAGCCCTCTAGTTGCAGTAGCCACTTTCGCAGCTCCCGCATTATCGCTCGATGGCAAGGGACGAACCGATCCGATTGTCTCTCCCCGCGAGTCCTTCTGCCCCGTCTCTACTGACGCAGCTTCAGATTCTGGCAAAGACTTGTCGCTATCGACTTTGATAGGCTTATCTTTCGTAGGCGAGTCTTCTTGAAGCGACGATCGGGCATCCGCAGAGCCAGTCTGATTCGCCGCTGGCATAGGCTTAGGAGGTTCTCGATTTTGCCCATTGTCACCTTTCTCCCCAGATCGATCGACTGTCGACGAAGACAGCGACCCAGCGGATATGTTGCTTTTGTTGCTATCAGTCCTGTTGAGGTTGTTTCGCTTCGATATCGCTTCAGGAATCGGGTCCGCCGCTTTGGAAGGGGGCCGCTCGTCTCCATTTGTCATCCGCCTTACAGAACCACCCCCGGCCTTCATGGCTTCCTTTTGCTTCAATAGCGTTTCCCTGAAGTCGTCCACCGGTTGCGTTTTTTTGGAAGCACTGGTCGCGTTGAGAGCAGCTTTTCCTCTCATGATGTTCTCTTTAAGCTCGTCAGGAGGCACATAATTCGTTCTTTCCGCCTTTCTGAGTTTCCCAAAGACATTTTTGAATTCAGGTTCCTCCTGGGGAGAACTTTCATTGGTGACTTCTGTCCGTCGCAAATTTGCTCGGAAATCTATGATGCCAGGTTGTTGCTTTGACTTAGGTGAATTCACATCCGAGCGGAGCGTCAGATTTGGCTTGGGCGGCAGAACCGGAGGTGAAGTCTTGCGTGTCGACGTATCTTGCGTCGCACTGGGCTCAGCGGCAGGTTGCTCGTTGTGGCCATGTTCAGATGACTGAGGACTCTCAGTCTTGTTTTCTGCTGATTTATCTACGTCCTGACTCTGGACATTCGAGTCTGATTCCGTCTGTTTAGCACTGGCCGTCTCACTGCCGCTTGTTGTCTCCGGGAGTCCACTGATGTTCGATTTCTGGTGATGGCCCCCGGGAGGCGAAGAGCGCATCAGGCCCACGGGAGTCACTTCTTTGAAACCAGTCGGCTTCCCCAGATCCACACTCGACCTTGACTGTCTCGCCTTGCTCAGATCTCTCATCCATGCTGGTTGCTGTGAAACCTGGCTTTTCTGTTTCGGAGACTCTGGTCGATTAAGCGCGCTCTCGAGCCATGTCGCTTTTGTGGGGCTCCAACGTTTTTGGTCTATGCTCTTGGTAGGGCTCCTTGGTGTTTGAGGATCGCCATCCTGTGCTTTGGCATCGTCTTTGGTCACAGAGCTCATGGATCGGGCATGCGAGCGGCGAGTTGGTCTCACAAAGCCATCGTCGCTTTGCAATCCATCCTTGCTGCCGGCGATCCCGGAAGATCCTGATTCTTCGTTCGCTTTCGTAGGAGACACTACTGTGGCCTCGCTGTGGCTAGAACCCGGTCGGGTAGGGGATGGAGAACCTTCACGAGCTGTCTTCGCATCAGCAGGATTGGTGATTAAGTCTCCAAGCCCAGAACGTCCAACACTGCCGCGATTGGTCACGATGGAGCTGGGGCGATTCAAACCAGGAGCCGCATGAGCACTCCACCGCTTTGTGATGCTGTCAGATCGCTTCATCATGGCACTTTGAACGAACCCTCCAAGACCTTTTGTCGGAGACACAGAGCGTTCAGGTGAGCTGCGGCCAGAGGACATAGGAGTGCGTGCTTCCGATGCCGAAGACGGTGCCTCCCCCTTTCGAGCCTCGAACCTTTGGGAAGAGGACAAGGGAACAGGAGAGCCCAAACCACCGGTCGAAGACACTGAAGACATGCTCGAGAATCTGTTTCCCACACTGCTGGTGCCGAACATCGAGCTCGCTCTAGATGGCGAACGCGACCTCTCATCGCCTGTTTCCTGATTGGTAGGTTTCTCTGGCTCTGTCGTGGGCTCGCGACTGAGGCCAGGTAGTCTCATTCCCACACCGGTAGATGAAGCATCTGACATTGTCTCCTCCCCACTCCGTCGGAGAGCCGGGGAGCCTATTCCTCGATCGGGCGTTTGACGGAACCAAGAGGGATCTTTGGAGCCAAGGGCGAGAGAAATCTGAGCGCGAGAAGGTGTCGTCTCATCCTCGGAAGGCATCGTGTTAGGATTTGAGCCACTGTCCTGTGTCTGTGGAGTTGTAGACTGAGGTGACTCGCGTTGCGGAGAAGTGGAAGTTGGACGCCGCTGCCAGGACAGAGGGCTCCTTGAAGGCGTGCCCCCGCCAGAGCCCACTCTCTCGTGGCTGGATTTTGCGTCTTGAGATGTTGACGTGTCTCCGGCGGCAACTTTGTTCTCAGTGTCTAAATCTGAGGGTGTCTCAGCGTCCTTCTCTGGGTTATGGACAGACGGCTGGAGGTCTAACGGAGGATCAATCAACGACCGGTGACGAGACGCACGGAACCCAGCTTGTTCTGAGAGGTCTGAGAGGGGTGAATCCTTCGTAGGAGAGATAGATCGAACTCGTTCTGCAACATGACAAAAGACAACAGTCAGCAGGCGTGTAATGGAGTGGGTGATGGAGTAGTTTAGACTGAGAAATAGACCGGGGTGCAAGGGCCATGAGTCCGCCGCTCACCAGCTCGTCTTGCCTCGCGTTCCTTGCGGCCCTGCAAGATCTCCTCCTCTAGCTTCCTGGCACGTTCTTCATCTTCCTTGTCACGCTTGTCCCCCAGTTCCCGGATGCGGAGGAGGAAATTGTTGACCTCCTCTGAGCTGTCGTTTATCGTCCCCGAAGACATCGTCACTGCACTCACACAGGGGGCCTGGGCAGGTGGGGTTCAGGAGAAAGGGGGGCTCCCACAACGATGGACTGTCAGAAGGCTTCTATCTCCAGAGGCTCCCTGGTGCTGACCAGAACCATGAGGTCGGTCACTGACAGTTTGACTTTTGATTTCCTGCATGAATTTAATCCAGGATGTTGTGCTTGCAGTGGACCGCGGCCTGCTCACTGTTGATGCAGCCATGGTGCTTTCCTTGCGTGTGTTCGGTTCTCCCGCATCTCCGGCTCCACTGCATTGGGTTCCTGACAGGGCGATCCCAATACGATCCGTCATGAGCGATCTGGTTGCTGTCTTATTTTACCTTGGGTTCTCCAAGGCCTTGGATTTTTACTGTTATCAAAATCCATATCTATCTAGCAGCAAGCCTGAACCGCTGCGTTGTGCTTCTCCCAAGGGATGTCTGTCCACTTCAAGTTTCCGAGTTTCTGCGGGTGTGGAGCACAGCATTTGTTTGCACCCATCAATCATATTCGTTTTCACCGCCATGATGTGTGACACAGCCCAACTGCCAGTATCCCTGGTGAGGGCGACGTTGTTTCCTATAGCAGTGGCTGCCCAAGGATTTGTTGGGAACCTGGTTGGCGTCAACAACTGTTGATTATAGCTTTTGCCTGGTTGGTCCCAAGTTCCTCGCTTAATTTGCTGTTCGAGTGGTTTTGGGCAGGAAAGTCATAGGTTCGGGACAGTAGTTACTGGAAAATTCCTGATCGCGCCTTTCTTTTTGCCAGTGATACACTGTGATACTCGCAATATTAACATTAGTCCGAAGTCATTTTCCATAATCAATCAGATGAAATTTCCATTTGGTCTTGAGAAACTTGGAAGGGAGCCTATAACGACCACTTTATCCAGCTGCTATTGGATCAGATTGCAGAAAAGACAATAACAATATATCAAACAAGTTGAAAGAAATCTCCAGAGGCCAGCTGATATATGTGACATTGTTTCTATGAATTCTCGACACCCGAAATTATTCCTTTGCTGTACAAACGAGACGCTGCTTGAAAAGTTGCCCTTCTCCGCCTGGGGTTATTTCTGTATACAAAGTCATGATAATGTGGTCATGTCATACACGCTGTGTATATAACGCTGGATGTGTCCCATACTCTGTAAGATCGCAACCATGCAAAGGTCGTAGTCTCAAGATCAATATAGAAAGAGCCTGTCCTTTGCATCTTGTACAACCCATTCCAGACCCTCGTTCAGATTCTTTCCTGTCATTGCACTGCATGGGAGAATTGTCCACTTGTGTGTCTTGATCGCGTCCAGCTGAAGGCCCTTTTCATTCAGAAAATTGTCACTGATCAGCCCCGCGATCTTAACCTCGGAATGAGTGGGCGGAACTCTAATCGTACCTCACGAATCTCATTCACGGTCATGCAGCCCTCAACATCTGTCTTGTTTAAAAAGACAAGAAGACTTGCCCCCATTAGACGCTGGTCATCTATTAGTCAGAGTCTTTGAAGGATTTTTTCCATAGCGGCGGGAGAATAGAGGGGTCGCGGCATACCTCCTCGAGAAGCAGACCAGCAAGCTCTTCACGGCAATCGTCGATCCTGAGGCGATCTGTCGCGTCCACTACCCATATCAAGGAATCAGTCTTTTCGAAATAGTTTCTCCAATATGATCGTAGCGTTTTCTGGCCTCCGACATCCCCTAGAAGAACAGTCAGCACGGCGCAAAGGGGAAGAGGGCACCGGGAGCTCATGCAAATATTTAATTTGTATCTGTCCATGATAATTAGCAAATCATCAAATATTCCATCGGTATATCCTCTCCTACCCCTGAAAATCAATAGTTTTGATGATGAATCCCAAAGTTGGACTGACGGTGGTGACATCTTCGTTCATGATTTTTTTCACTATGGTCGTTTTCCCAGCATTATCCAGGCCACTGCTACCAATGAGCATGCGTACTCGAAATTTCAAGATTCCTCTTCTCGACAGAGAACCTACAGCATCAGTATCCTCATCTCCTTATCCTTCAGCCGCGCTTTTCGTAAAATAGAAAGCATTTTGGCGGTTTGGTAGGGGTGTGACCTGGATTGTAGCAAGTTTGCGCAAATTGAATGGTGAAAAGAAAGCAGATGAACTCATATCAACCAGAACACCGGTATATGCCGCCATGCCCACGTTTTCTCACAGAACTTCCCCATATGTTTACAATGACAAAACAAAAACAAAGACATGCCTGACTAGCGTCTTTTTTTAGCACATTTATTTTCCTCCAATATCATGCTGTTTCTTCAGCGCTCACACCGTTGCATATTCTTCTCACTCCCTTGCTAGGGATCATCAGTCTTTCTACCTCTTAGGAGAATCACTCATTTCTTAATTCTCTTTCTTGCTACATTCTTATCTATCTGTTAAGGAAACTTGCCAATCTTGGAGAGTTTTCATCGATCATCGTTGTTGACAGTCCTGTCACAGCTCCTCACGACATAACAACACGTCTCTGTGAAACACGTGCGCACTCTTCCTCTGCATAACTGGGTATATTTATGATGCAAACAAACCTAACAATTTTTCTTAGTGCTCAGTCAATTGATATAACCTGCTATGGAAGACAAGGTTGCCCCCCGCAGCAAGGACGACGACAGCAATGTTGAGCTATGGCAACGATATCAGACTGCGAGAGAAAATCTTCGGACCAAAACGGACTTCTTCGACAAGTACAAGGCACCCATCACACGTCGTATTAATCCTCCTGATGATCCTGCTTTGAATCGTTCACTCGTGAGAGCAGAACACGCTACAAGCAAGGAAGAGAGCACAGCCCACAGTGCCCCTCTTGTGAAGCATACATCCAAGCAGTCAGAACCATCCTCTGTGGCTAATCGAAGTTCCTCACATAATCTTTACAATGCCAGTCCAGTCCTTAAGCAGGCAGAGTGGGATTCTGGCAGCTTGAAGACAGCACCTTCCCACGGAGACAATCCAGGACAAGGCACTCTGGTCGAGTCTTGTGCACAATCAGTCTCACCTCAGGTTGCTGTTATCAACACGTCTCCTGTGAGCAAAAATCACGCTCTTGATGGCCGTGACTCTTTCCATGGCCGTGAGGTTGTAACTCACCATCCTAAGATCAACTCAGAATCTCAACCAGAAGACGCGCAAGTGAGGACTGAAACTCAAGCCACAAAGTTCCTTCAAAATTCTGCACAAACATCAGGCTTAGGATCCTCTGGACCTGCTGCTGCTCGTGAGATCGAATCCTTGAAGCATACAGAATTATCGAAGACAAAAGGTACGCCGGCCTCTTCTGATTCTCATCCAGTGACAGCTTGAACTGACAAAATACGCGTTATAGTCAAGATGAGCGACACTGATCAGTCCGAAGAAGTTCTCCTGCACCGCTATCGGGGTAAGGGCCAGGCGAAGGCTTCGAACAGCCAAGTTCAGGAATCTCAGACCAAGTCATCAATCCCACAGGATAAGTTGACTGATAGACCTGAGCCTGGTCCTGCACCGCTAGGCGATACACCGATCTATTTTAGCGTCGACAACTCTTCCTACTCGGAGCAGAAGCCACAGCCCGAAAAAAGGAAAGGGGTTAGACAAACTGAGGCGACTCCTGAAGCCAAGGAGGAACTCAGACGCCTCCAGCAAGAGATCAGAGCCCAAGTTGGAAAGTGCAAACTGAAGACCGACGATCGCCTAGATTCCAACCCTGAGACTCTTATGAAGGCAAGAACCGGACCTGGAACGGATCCCACCTCTGTCATTTATCGGCGGGTCATTAAGCGTCTGGACGTCGGTCGCGCAGATTCCGTTTTCACGTTTCCCCCTGACATGTCGGAAAAAGAGAAGCACGAGCTGCAGTGGACCCTATACGCACAAGACGTTCGGGCATACCCAGAAATTGAAGAGGGCCACGTCGTACTCTCTTCACATCCCAGGCCGAAAGAGTCGAGCACTCCTGATGGCAGCCCCTGTGGTGAAATTCCTCCATGCCCAACGCCTCAGGAGATAGTTGACTCTGTCAATTGGGATGATATCAACAATTGGGAGTTTGGTGACCTTGCTCGGCGCGCAGACTGGGAGTACAGTCCCGCAGTCTGGAATGCCCCCGTCCAGTACCGAAACTGGTTCTACGCCTGGTTGGACTCCACCATGCATATCTGCCACTATGCAGATATATATCACAAGTCTTTCTTTGACGGCACTGCGCATCCTGATGGGCTGAAGGGCATGTTTATCCCCAATATTGAGCATCCTGAGGCAAAACGTAATACGGAGGATGAGAAAACCAACCCTCATTATCACGAGACTGTGGATGGCTACCGCTTTAATTATATCACCCAGCAGAAGAAGGAGCAAGCGGATTCCGAAATCAGGAGAAGGGAAGCTCGTGCTCAATATTTGGCAGCCATGAGGACACCACCTTCGAGCAATCCTAATGTCCCGAAAGCTAACATCTACTTGCGCCCTGCTGAAGTCGGTGACATCCCAGAGCTCTTGAGTCTCTATAACTGGTACGTTGCCAATGCGACTCAATGTGTGGACGTGACAGCTCTTGCCGGACCAGACATGCGCCAACGCATTGAGGACTGCAAGCGTGAAAAGTTACCTTTCATCGTTGCAGTGGAACGAAAGTCAGCCACCTTCAATTGTCGTCTTCGTCGTGACCAGAATGAGAACGTCATGGGTTATGCATTGGCAACGGACTTTATGGGTGCTCGTACCATCGGCCGTCATACGGCGGAAATTGAAATCTTCGTTCACCATACGAAGAGAGATCAAGGAGTTGGACGTTGTCTTATGGACAAGCTCTTGGAAATTTGCGATCCAACGTACCTTGGACGCGGAGGCTACTTCTTTGATTCTGACTTGGAGGATCACGGATGTTACTCTCCAGGAAGCTCCCGCAGACTGGCTCGCCTTGTTATCGCGATGAGCTATTCTGAAGATGATCCCTCGGACTACCTCCGGGTTAAGGAATGGCTGATGCGGAGACACCGGTTCGAGGAGCAGGGGTTGCTGAAGGGAGCTGCTAGGAAATTTGACAAATTGTAAGATCATAATTTGCGGTACATTTTCATCTCATTTTCTGACTGACTCATTGCTATAGTCTCAACGTCAGCTACCTCGTTCGTGCCATCCCATGGATTGTCTAGACACGAGGTTCGGCATAAGGCGAGTTATCGATGTACTCGTCCATTTCCGGCATAATTGGCGACTTTCCTCTTTCTTTTTTTCCCCCTTTTGTGTTCTTGACAAAAAAATCACTACTTGTGGACATTTTTTTCTGAAGGAAACCGACGAATTCAAGGAACGTACAGAGTAATATTACACATGGAATCCAGATTGTTTTGCAGAGCAGATTAGCAATAACGCCTAGGTACCTAAAATGGTAGATGATCTCCATTAGTATTAGCGGGTTTCCCAACCCGACTTTTTCTGCCGCCTTTGAAACGCTCACCGCCTCCATTGGCGGGAATTTTTTCTGTCGTAAAAAGAAAGTTTTCGTGAAAGAGGTTACTTACGACCAGAAAGCTTGGAAGAGCGCAATTGCTCTTTTTTTCAGATCTGGTCAATTTTTTTTGTGTTTTATATTATTTGAACATAATTTAATTTTGTGAGCTGTTTTGAAAGTGCTCGTTTCAAAATTGCTACTATTTTGATCTGTGCGTACATATTTTTGTCGCAGGATGGCTCCGATCCAGAAGCGGAGCACCGCCGCCGACGATTTCATCCTTACGCTGTCCGATGAAGATACTCCCCTCGAAACTAATGGTGTTGATGATGCGGAGGATGTGAATGAATTGTCGGGCTCCAAGAAACGGAAGCGCGAGCAGAACGAGACCGCAACGAAAAATAAGAAGCAGAAGAAACAACAACAGTCGTCGACGAAACCAAAGGCCGGAAAGAACAAGGCCGCATCTGGAGACGTAGAGGAACGCTCAGAAGACGACGAGGACGAGAATGACGCATTGAATGATGCAGAGGATGACGGGGCTCTGAACCCAGACCTTGAGTTCGATATTGGCGGCAACGCGGCACAGGGCGTCATCGAGGATTTTGATGGGTGGGAGGTCGACGACGGTCGGAAGAAGACAAATGGGACCAAGAAGCGTGTTGATATCGACGACATTATTGCCAGAAGGCGGATAAGGAAGCAAGAGGAGGAGGAGAAAAAGAAGAGAAAGAAGGAACAGGGATCGGATAGCGAAGAAGGAGAAGAAGGAGAGGAAGAAGAAGATGATGATGCTGAGATCGATGGGCAAGAGGAAGACGAGTCTGACGAGGAGGCGGATGGGGAGAATGGTGATCTTGCTAATTTCGACGATGACGAGTTGCTTGCTCCCGATGGGTTTGGTATGGGTGCACGCAGCGAAGACGAGGAGGATTCAGCTTCTGAGGGAGAAGAAGAAGATGATGATGATGACGACGACGACGATGACGAGGGAAAGGAAGACAGTTCCGACAAGGAGGAAGCTTCGGATTCTGATGATGACGAATCTGTTGCATCTCCCGTCCCTCATCCCGATGATCTTGCATCAGACTCATCGTCTGATGACGAGAGTGAAGATGAGGAAGAATTAGAGAAGCGGAAAGCTTTCTTTGCACCCGAAGAAGAGAAGCCCAAGGACTCTGCGAAAGACTCGTCAAACAGCTCGTTTCAGGATTTCAACCTCTCTCGACCGATCCTCCGTGGCTTGGCTTCGGTTGGCTTCACGACTCCGACCCCCATCCAGCGCAAGACGATCCCCGTGGCATTGCTCGGAAAGGATATTGTGGGTGGTGCAGTCACAGGTTCCGGTAAGACAGCCGCGTTCATCATCCCTATCCTAGAGCGTCTTCTGTATCGACCCCGAAAGGTCCCGACTAGCCGCGTTGCGATCCTTATGCCGACTCGAGAGTTGGCGGTTCAGTGCTACAACGTGGCTACAAAACTGGCTACATATACCGACATCACGTTCTGTCAGCTTGTTGGTGGTTTTAGTCTCCGGGAACAGGAGAACGTGCTCAAGAAGCGGCCGGACGTAATTATAGCCACACCAGGTCGTTTCATCGATCACATGAGGAACTCGGCCAGCTTCACAGTCGACACGCTAGAAATTCTCGTCCTGGACGAGGCGGATCGGATGCTGGAAGATGGGTTTGCGAACGAGCTGAACGAGATCCTGACCACAATCCCGAAGTCGCGGCAGACGATGCTCTTCTCCGCGACCATGACGGACTCTGTGGACAAGCTCATCCGCGTCGGGCTCAATCGACCGGTGCGGTTGATGGTCGACGCGAAAAAGCAGACTGCCGGCACGCTGGTCCAGGAATTCGTGCGACTACGTCCGGGACGAGAGAGCAAACGCCTTGGCTACCTCATGTATCTGTGTAATGAAGTCTACACCTCACGAGCTATCGTCTTCTTCCGGCAGAAACGTGAGGCGCATCGTGTTCGGATTGTCTTTGGGCTCTGTGGTCTGAAAGCGGCGGAGCTACATGGTAGCATGACCCAGGAACAGGTACCGTTTCTCCATTCTTGCTTTGCTTATCTACATAAACAGGGCTTTTACTAATAGGTTTTAACAGCGTATCAAAAGCGTTGAAGCCTTCCGAGACGGGCGCGTGGCCTTCCTCCTAGCGACTGATGTCGCTGCCCGTGGTCTGGATATCAAGGGAGTGGAAACGGTCATCAACTACGAAGCTCCCCAGACACACGAGATCTACCTGCATCGTGTCGGTCGAACTGCGCGTGCGGGACGCTCTGGTCGGGCCTGTACCCTGGCTGCCGAACCAGACCGCAAAGTGGTCAAGGCCGCTGTGAAGGCCGGCAAGGCTCAAGGCGCGAAGATCGTCAGCCGAGTAGTGGACCCTCGTGCCGCCGATGAGTGGGCCGAAAAGATCGAGGGAATGACGGAAGAGATCGAGGAGATCTTACGCGAAGAGAAGGAAGAGAAACAGCTGGCGCAGGTGGAAATGCAGGTGACGAAAGGCGAGAACCTGATCAAGCACGAGAAAGAGATCATGTCCCGGCCGAAGCGAACGTGGTTCGAGAGCGAGCGGCAGAAGCAGGAAGCCCGCTTGCGAGGATTGATGGAGCTGAATGGGCCTGATTCTATCAAGCCCAAGGAGAGACGTAAGCTCAGCGGCAAAGAGAAGAAGCGCCTGGATGATACCCGGCTGCGGAAGGAGGGTAAGATATGGAAGAAGGGCAAGAAGGAACGAGAAGGCCAGGACCCTTCAAAGCAGGCCAAGGCCAAGGCCAAGGCCAAGGCGAAGAAGGCCAAGAAGAAGGGGAAGGCGTGAGGTGATCAGTTTCTTTCCCAGTGTAAATAAACCAGACGGTTATTATCTCGAACGCATTGGGACAGGCGTTTTCCTGGTTTCTCTCTCTCCTGGTGTACAGCACAATGTACATACTTAGCTGCAAGGATTCCAACAGCGACCAGGCAGGTCTTGTTGTGATTTGTCGAGTCCTTTGAGATGCAGACGTTGTGTTATGATTATTAATTATCCGTCTCGCCTAATTGGTTCTTTGATCGACTCACATCGGAAGCAGTCGTCGTAATAATGCATCGGTGGAGGAGATCCTTGTACGGAAGGACACCGAACTCAGCAACGACCTGGGAAGCCCCCTGTTCATAAGTCGTACAATTCAGCAGCTTGATATCCATATTTGGGCATCTTTGCGCCCTCCACTGCAGGTTGGTTGCTTAGCACGCCCGGATTGGACAAATGAGCGGGCAGACCCAATCATCGCGCGGCAAGCGCCGCTTCCCAGCGGCACCCCGGACTCCGGAGTCGGAGGCGGTGAAAAAAAGAAAAAGCGCGAACGGGCGTGACTCAAGTGGTGAATCACCATCTCTTCCTCCGGTGTGCTGCGAGGGCTGACAGCTCATCCATCCATTAGTTTCTCCCTCATTTGAATACAATTCACCACCCTTGAAGGGTACCACTGAAAGGAGGAAGAGATCGAACGAAGCAGAAACGGGGAAAGAAGAGCCTTGAAGCAGCTTCCCCAATTCCTTCTCTGCCCCGCGTTTTCATCGACTTAACCCCGCCGCGGATTCCGCAAACCGCCCATTCGGCACCATGCCTATGTATGCCGCCAGCTCCCCTTTCTCTGACGACCTCGACGCATCATTGCATGGATTGGATTCTGATTCTGAATTAGGCTCAAAGATCCCTCCAAGAAATACAAGAAGTTCAAGCCTATCCACCTCCCAGATCGACAATGGCCCAACAAGACCATCGACAAGCCGCCCCGCTGGCTGGCGACCGATCTGCGAGATGGAAACCAGAGCTTGGCAGACCCAATGGTACGGACCTGTCTGTCTGCCTGGGACGAGTCCGGGCGAGCGAGCTGACAGAGACAACAGGATGGCGACCAGAAGTGGCGCTACTTTAACATGCTCGTCCAGCTGGGCTACAAAGAGATCGAAGTCTCTTTCCCGTCCGCATCCCAGACCGACTACGACTTTACTCGCCGCCTGATCGAGACCCCCGGTGCCGTTCCCGATGACGTCTGGATTCAGGTCCTCTCTCCATGCCGGGAAGATCTCATCCGTCGCACGGTTGATTCCCTCAAGGGCGCCAAAAAGGCCATCCTGCACCTCTATCTGGCCACGAGCGAATGTTTCCGCCGAATTGTCTTTGGCATGACCAAGGAGCAGACCTTGGAATTGGCGGTGCGATGTACCAAATTCGCCCGCTCCATCACTAAGGACGACCCGTCCACGGCCGGCACTGAATGGCAATTCGAATTCTCCCCGGAGACCTTCTCTGATACAGAACCCGAGTACGTCGTACAGGTCTGTGAGGCCGTCAAGGCCGCCTGGGGTCCCACAGAGGAGCAACCCATGATTTTCAACCTGCCCGCCACGGTCGAGATGTCGACCCCCAACGTCTACGCCGACCAGGTCGAGTATTTCTGCCGCCACATGTCCGACCGGAAGACGTTCGCCGTCTCTCTCCACCCGCACAACGACCGCGGCTGCGCCGTCGCTGCGGCTGAGCTGGCTCAGATGGCCGGAGCGGACCGTGTTGAGGGGACTTTGTTCGGCAACGGAGAGAGAACGGGCAATGTCGACCTAGTCACATTGGCGCTCAACCTCTACACGCAAGGTATCCACCCCGGTATCGATTTCTCTGATCTCAACTCCGTCATCAAGGTGGTTGAGGAGAGCAACAAGATCCCTGTCAATGAAAGGTGGCCGTACGGTGGCCAGCTCGTGGTGTGTGCGTTCAGTGGTAGCCACCAGGACGCCATCAAGAAAGGCTTCCAGGCCCGCGAAGCCGCCGGCGCTAAAGATGACGACCCTTGGGAACTGCCCTATCTTCCTCTGGACCCTCGAGATATTGGACGAAACTACGAAGCTGTCATCCGGGTCAACTCACAGAGTGGCAAGGGTGGTGCCGCCTGGATCATTCTGAAGACCCTGGAACTGGACCTGCCTCGGGGACTCCAGATCGAGTTCAGCAAGATCGTCCAGAAGGAGACGGAGAGACTCAACCGTGAACTGCGGCAAAGCGAAATCGTCGCGCTTTTCGAGAACGCCTATCACCTCAAGACCAACCCGCGCTTCAATCTGGTCGACTACAACATCACTGTGGACCGCTCGCAGTCGCCCGCGCCCCCGGAGCCTGGAAAGGCAGTCAACACCAAGAACCTCAAGCGGCGCTTCACGGGTATCATCGAGATCGATGGCGTCCAGCACGCCATTACGGGTGTGGGACCCGGTGCCATTTCGTCTCTGGCCAACGCCTTGGCCACCCTCGGCATCGACCTCGATGTGCAGGACTACAAGGAGCACTCTGTGGGTCAGGGTAGAGACGTGCGTGCGGCGACGTATATCCAGTGCACGGCTGCGGGTAGCAAGGACACTGTGTGGGGAGTTGGAATCCACCAGGATGTGGTCCAGGCCAGTTTGATTGCGCTGCTGAGTGCGGCCAGCTCGGTAAGTACAACCTTTCGCAGCAGCTGAAAAAAAAAAGTCATACTGACCTTTTTCTTTTCTCTTCGTGCAATAGTTCCTCACCTCGCGCGCTGGCTCCCCAGCGCCCTTCCGCCCCGTTCGCTCCAACACCCTGACGGACGAAGATCTGCAAGCTCTCGAGAAACTCACGAACAACATCCACATCAACGAGAAGGACACTTCTTCCGCCATTGAGGGCGTGAAACAGCAAAAAGTCGATATTGAGAAACTCGAGTCGCAAATCAACGCAGTGTAAAAAAAATTAAAGGGAGAAAGAGAGAGTCGTGAATAATAGTATATCAATGCAATTTCGGACGAACGATTGATTGAATTGAATTAAATTGAATTGTCTTGAATTGATATAAAAATGACAGACACATGGTTGACGGATGGATACAACACAACAAAATACTATACAATACAACACAGTACAGTACATTATAGGTAATGACATGATTGATTTATCTATCAATTCGTATTCTTTCTTTCCTTCTCTATTTCTTCGTCTTTTCGAAATTGAAATGGAAAATATGTGTTGAAACGCGGATAAAACAAAAAGCACAATGGGAATTACGCATCAACATCATTATCATACTCGAGAGTTTTCGCTATTTCTTTCTTTTTTTCTGGAAATAAAAAATCAGAAAAAAAAACAAAGTCTAGGCTAGGTTTATTTCTTATTTCTTTTCTCTGTTCTGTCGTTAGAGGTTCCCAAGGAGGAGGGGAGAACTATCACCTGATTGATCTGTTTCTTTCTTGACAAGTGACTCCTTTTCGAAGTTTGAAACAAAAAAAAAACAGCATTTTTTTCGGGATTAGGTTAGTATGTAATCAACTGGTACATACAGTACTTTATTTTTTTTTCCCTATCTACATAAGTGTTACTTATTTCCTGCTAGGGCGTTTGTTCAACTTCGGTAACTTCGAGAACAAATAGATGGATGATGCAACGCATACACAAGATATCAACAAAGCAAGAATTCAGGCTGATGAAGGTGGGCAATCCAGCAAAGTTACACAAGTGACATGGCGTGATGGTATTCATTCATGGGTAGGCATTATAAACAACCAAAACAGGGAATAGCAAGAGCCAACCAAAGAATTCTGAGCCCATACAAATTCAATTACATCAGAACAACACAACTCCCTGATTCCATCAACAAGCAGCTGGCAGGATATATCATGCTACATTCCACTCGATCAACCTCCCCTGGTAAAGCTTGGATTCGTTAAAAAGGCATGGCCTTTTTTTTTAAAGACATCATCACTTCTGTCGTACCAACTAAAACGCAGCATTCGGTTTGCTAGAATTTCCGTTCGCCTCAGGAGTGTCATTTACCCCTAGACGAGACTGGTAGAGAAGCGCCTCCTGCGGCCAATCCTCTTCATTATTATCTTCATGTATGCTCGGCCCAGATTGAGATTCATGTCGTTGTTGCTGCGGGGGATTTTCCGAGATGTTTAGCGAGTTGATACCAGCTTGAAGACTACTTAAACGCCGTTGCTGGCTGGGAAGAGAATCGCGCCCCTTGCGAATTTGCAGTGGAGGAGGAGCATCACCCTGTGAACCCTGTGAACCCTGTGACGCGGAAGTTGAAGGAGGTACAACCTCAAACGACGGAACGGCTGTGGACGATGACTGATAATCGCCAGTCTGTGGTTTGTGCGGGAAGTTTTCACCAAAGTCGAATCCCTGACTTGGAGTGACAACCGTAGAAGGACTATCAGCGCTGCCGTCCGTGTTCCTCACTTTCAGTGGGGAAGGACTCGGCAAGTCTGCGCTATCCACGTGTTCGGACTTCATATCTGAACCAGCCAAAGCAGCCGATAAGTCGTAGCCAGGAGTGTTGAGAATCTCCTGATAGTGCATCTCTTCTTCATCTTCATGTGTCTGAGATGGTTCGGCAGCAATCTCGTTCCTGTTTTCTTCTTTCACAGGGGCTTGCGAGCGCGACGTAGATTCGTTTTCGGGCGCGAGAGCCGACTGTCGAAGACTATTGCCCATGACGCTTCCAGTCTTGGAGCCTCTGCTCATGCGGGGCTGGGGTTCTGACATGTGTCCGTCGGTTCGATCTGCGTCGCGTATGCTGAATTGGGCTATCGTCCGCATCTTCTTGGTCACCCAGGAGCCTAATATTTTACCTCGCTGTTTCTCACCAAGGCGTGACCGAGGGAAGTCTCCGTGCGAAACGAACGCCACGATGTCAGCTACAACCTGATGTTCGTTGAGAATGGCGTTGACAATGACGGGCACCATAGAAGCCAAATACGCCTTCCGCGTGACCTCAACAAGAACGACGACCAGGCCACCTGCCTGGAAGACAGCGCTATGAAAGATAGGTCAGTCGAGACGAGGAATGGAACATACACTTAGACGATGTTACTTACCATCCTCCAGGAACAATATTCCGGTGACACTTCTCGACAGTATTTTCAATATCAATAGGGAAATGGTTCAACCCGTTGACTTCGAACGTTTCTCCGATGCCTCCCAAGACAAACAACACCTGCATCTCTACAGGCTGACCGCCGGGGCCGATCGGTCGGGTAACTGTATGGAGGAATCCAAGGTCGCCGGTCCGAACATATCGTACAGTGGGATCTCCGTCGACAACCCTGCCGTTGAATCGTTCCATATCGAACTCCTGCTTACTGCCATAGAATGACTTGGCGCAAGCGTCTGACTGCACCCAGATTTCTCCATACTCACCCACGCGGCAGAGTGTGCAGGTTTCTGGATTAACAATGGAAATCTGAGTGTTGACAGGAACCATACCCGAATCCTGGACGCGAAGCGCCATGGGATCGACGTCTGGGTCCACGGGATAGACGAGCCCACGGCGCAAGGCCCGCAGATCCAGCCAGAGCTCAATAGGCTCAATACACATATATGACCGGGATGTGATCATCGGGTTCAGAACATGGGAGTAGATGGTGTTGATTGCTGTTCTGTCGAGGCTTGCGGCAGCAAAATGCAGACGGACTTTCTGGTCTGTGCCAAGAATGTGAGTAAGAGAAAAGAGATCAAGGGAATGTAAAGGGTAACTTACACATATCGCAATGTGGCCTGCCATCCGTTGAAATCATCAAGTTTTTCAGCTCCTGCAGTTGGAACCCCTTCCCAGCCATGGTGCTCATGGCATAGTCCAACATCTGGCTGGTAGCGTAGGTATCCTTGATCTTGTATCGTGATAGCGTTACAAAAAGCGACGTGGGGTTCTGAGCAAAATCAACAGGAGAGACTAGATACGTCGGAGCTCCTTCAAGTCGTTAGCTCAACAGCTTTCTAGTGGACAAGACATGTTACTTACCAACGTAACATCCAAGCACACATGTGTGCAGGAATCCAAGACCTACAGTACTCCGGACGCTTCCAAGTATCGGCCGCGAACTCGTCATTTGACAAGTCTCCTTTTGCACCTTACACATGGCCATGATCGTGTCATGATTCAGTTGAACTGAGATTCTCCTCTGGTCAGCTGTCCAGTACGTCCAAATGATAGCCGGATGATTTTCCTGTAACCATGCTTCTTTTATCGTATAGCCCAGGTCCCGGCAACTGTGGGATTGCTTAGGAGGTTTGGTAGTGTTATAGATAGCGGGCACACCGATTCGGAGAACCTGCGCAGATTGCTTGATATGTTGAGACACTGCTTTCTGTTTCAAGACGTGGTCGACATCATTGTTCACAATGATTGCTTTCACCTTGAAATCCCCCACGACATGGAGAAACGCGGGGGCATCCTCCGAAAGTCGATTTTGATCGATCGGGGCCATTGGAATGGCAATCGCTCCAAGGCAGAGGCAAGCGTGAACAGCAAACACGTACTCTTCGGAGTGAGTGTACATGAGCACCAAGTGATCCCCAGGTCGGACTTTGACCTTGTTTTTCAGATATGTAGCCACAGCAGCCACCTTGCTATCGAATTTCTTCCAGGTTATTCCTTTGCCTTCCTTACCGCGTCCGTCGATGGAGCAATATGCCAGCTCTTCCGCTTGCCTCGTCACTCGCCATTGAAGCAGATCTACAATATTGGTGAAATTGTTCAGTGGAGTGGATGTCCGGTCATCCATCACAACCCCGCGGTAATCGACACCCGAGTATTGTTTCTCCTCCATAGCGAGCATCTCTTGTCTTGCAGCAGACGACGAGGGAGACCACACACCTCCAACGGGATCCACACCGACTGGCAAATTCATTACTGAACGTTCCACACCGAATTTAACGTGCACGCAAGGAAGAGAACCATTGTCAAACTCCTTGCGACACAGCATGTTACCAATCTCTTGTCTCCCGTTCTTGGTGACCCGTGGCAGAGTATTGGGTGCTGTGATCATGACACAGTAGACGCGCAGATGGTGTTCTTGGTACAAGACTTCCATGCATCTCTCTGCCAAAGACTCGAGAAGTGCTGTATCCAACTGCCGAGGAGGGCCACCAGAAGTTGTCGGAGCAGTCGAAGCCGCGTAAGACTCCAACACCACAATTGGAAGATGCTCTTCGTTGACGAAGACATCAAACGCTGAACAGTCATGAACTTTCGGGACGTTCCTCATAATGCTGATGATCAGATGCTGCACGAAGAAATAACGGTGCTCGACAATTTCTTGCCCGTGCTCAACCCATTCGACTTTTTGTCGAAGGCGATCTTCATACAGACCAAGGACAAATATCTTGCCTTCAATGACACAGCCAAGAAGACCAGTACGAAGAAATTCCGGTTCCACCAAAACTGGCGTAGGGTTTCCCGGCTCGAACTTGTAAGGCCGAGCATGGAATATAGTCTCCGTATGCTTGGGTAATGCCCAGAAACCGCCAGAGAGCGAGGGCGAATCAACCCAGATTTCGCCTATGACGTTGGGCGTGCACAATAAATTGGTTTCTGGATCAACAATGGCGAGCGTAGCATCAGGGATGGGATACCCGAAAGCGCCAACTCGGACCGCGTTGGGACGAGATTCTGCAAGTTTCCTGGCTTCTTCTCCCATGGCCAACACCACGACCTCGTTGTTTTTGAGAGCCTCCTTGTCCAAAAGGACCTCTGCCAGGTCATTTCTCGTATTCTCTTTGGGAGCGGTTACCGGTGTACCCCCGATCAAACTGCTACCGAAGCCATCATTGTTCTCTGACTTCTTCTTCTCTTCAGTTTTCTCAGGAGGTTCCTCAGGCTCCGGCGCGTGGGTCAAAGGACATCCCATTCGCTCTTCGCCACCCAGCCAGTCTCGTACACTGATCACCATGCCACCATGCTCTGGAAGGCACAACATCGGGGCCACAATCTCTCTTGCCCGTGGATTTCTCATTGGTCTAAGCCACCTATCCGCTAGTATCTCATGGAACTCGCAATCGACTGTAAGGGTATCAATAAGACACAGCTTAACACTTGCAAAATTAGGCTCCATGTTTTTCTTGAAATGGCGTGTCGCCATGGGATCCTGCTGGTAGTTGTACGCAACGCGCTTGAGACCGGGGTAATCTGCGGCCATTATGGTGGCTCTGTATTTTGTGATCAAATGAGCGTACAGACCAGGAGTCTCCACCGCTCGTGCTTCCAGCCAAACCGTAGTGTGGCCTCCGTAGACAGTCAGTAAGACACCCAAAATCATGCCGATGCTCTGCCTCGGGTCTAGATATGTCATAATAGTTTCGCCATGGCCCCCGCCCGTTAAGATTCGCGATTGCTGCTGTTGAGGACTGCTCGAATCCCCCGGCACGGTCGATATGATCGCACTGAGACAAGCCATCTGATGCATGATTGTCCGGTGGCTCATGACGACTCCCCGTAAATCTCCGGTCGGCGCTCGGGAAAACTCGATGTACGCCAAATCCGGGACGACAAGAGGAGGTGTGTCATCCTTTTTCTTGGGATGGTAGCTGCCAAATTCGTTTGTCTTCCACCACTCGACCCCCCTTGGCCAGCTGAGCTTTTGAGCTGTAATATCCCTTTGGAAGCTCTTGAGGTTGTTCTCAGTGGTCAAAGCCAGGTGAGCTTGGGTGGATGTCAGGATCACGTTAAGGCTCGCATAGTCTTCCAGGTTGTTGATTGGAACAGCAACCACTCCCGCGATAAAACAGCCCATGAGGGCTACCGCAAATTCGATAATCTCAGTGTCTCTGTAGACCAGGGCTACCCGGTCTCCGCGATAGAGGCTGCTCTTGTCACGGATGATCTGAGCAACCTTCTCCGCGCGACTCGCAAGCTTCTCCCAGGTAATGGATGCGATTTCCTTGCCTTTCTGATCCAAAACCCAATAAGCCGGTTGCTTTGGATGTGTGCGGGCACGGTGTCGCAAAACCGCCGGGATGTTATCGAACTTAGACATCAGCGTGTTGGGGTCGTGAGGGTCGTAAACCTCAAATTGCACGTCTCGGGGCTCGAGTGGTAAGAGATGATCCAGCATGACACCAGGAGACATCTCGGAAGAAGGCATCAACGGAGGAGCCATGTTTGCGGTGGGTGAGAACGCGTCCGACTGCGAATAACGATGAAACCCTCCCCCGTAGCTGTCCCTGTAGTCATCATTCTGATGTCCGGCAAAGTCGGAAAAATAGCCTTGCGAATCAAGCAGCGTGGACTGTCTAGTCGGCCCGCCGCTCTGATCGTAAACAGTAGTCTGGTCTGCCTGGTCATACGTATGATGCGGATTGAACGCATAATTCTGGCTCACCAATGTCGCCGTTCTCGAGTCCTCCTGGCTTGGGCCCATCGAGCTTGTTTTGGGAAGGAAGAGCGAATCGTACGAGGCCGTGGAGGCTACGCGCTCCCGCATGGCCGGGGGGTCCTTCTCGCGGCATCCATTAGCTGTGTCTTCCCAAAATGTTCCCAGCGGGGTGTACTCACTCTTCGCTCAGCGCCGGAGGGGACGCTCTCATATCCACCTGAAGAGTCCCGTTGCCCCAGCTCTCTCTGGGAGCTGGCTGCGGAACCTTGAGCAGCATTGTGGTTTGGTCCAAGGAACTGCGATAGGAGAAGTGTGCGCCGTTTCTGGTACCTGGGACACAGTGAGCGAGACTTCAGGCAAGTCTAGCTTTTCATTCCACGCAGTCGCGCTGCGTGCACCAACGCATCCATCGTTTCGGTCCTGTCTCGGAAGCCACGAATGGGTCCATTGAAGAATTACTTACCCTTTCTCAGTGATGTCACCTTCCTGATCGATTGAAAACAAAGGTCAGCCAAGCTGCCGAATAAGACAGATTGGAATAGCTTTTCTCAAATGCGGGGTCTTCACGCACCTCCAATTCCCGATCTAGCTCCCTCAAAGCAGCCTGCAGTTCGGGGTTGTCTTCCGCCATGGTCCCACGTGTACCACAAATTCAGCCGATGTCAGGTGTTTCATTCGAGAGCGCATAGAAATAGACACTGCGCCGAGGTGTCCTCATCCCACAGAGGCCCCTAGAGAAGCCTGAGAGGATTGAAGCAACAGGGCTGTTTTTGGCACTGGAGCAGTTGAGGGATTCTCTCCACTTCGACTGAGTCGCGCTGTGGAGCGGGAATGTCAGCTGCGCATTGCCGTTGCCGCCGCGCGTGTGGCGTCTAGGGCCGGTCAGATGGGCTGCCCATGCAGAACAGCGATTACTCTGTATTCCCCCTTGTCTTCTGGATGACTAAATTATGCCATTCTCAAAGCAGCTGACCCTACACTGTGCATTAGTGATTCTTGCAATGGCTGTTAATAAATGGAGTCACGCGACTTCTTAGTGGTGTACTGACTGACTAATCTAGGTTCGTCCAAGGTTTCCAATGTCGGGAAGCCTACCAGGTTCCTGTAATAGCTACTCTGTACATGCAATCCTCGTTAAGGCGAACATGCACTAGTAGAAGGTTGAAACACAGACTGCTTGCTATTATCTTGAATCTTGTTACCAATGTCCTTCAGCATAAGTGTCTACCCCTCATGCCAAGTTCCCCGCTTTCTGCCTTTTATAAAGCAGTGTGCACATGCTGTATGGCCAAACCAATCTCAACAACGAGAGCAATTCATGAGAATAGCGCCCATTGTTGTCTACAATTTCTATTTCATATTTTCTAACCACAACTACTAGAACGCAATATAGGGCCGGTTCCTAAATTGCAAGCCCAAGTCTGTGCCGCACATATCATGTTTTAGGGAAATAGCTCTCTACTGCTACACCATCCAGGCTATCTACGCCACCAATAGAAGAGATAAAGAAAGGCAACATGACCCGACACGACGCAAAGTTCAATTGAACAAGTCGAGTCCGTGAACCTGCGATGGAAAATGTAGTAAGAGTTGAGACGCGCTGCGTACGAAAGTCCCAAAAGAGAAAAGCCGCAGGGCGGTGTCACCTGACTGGCGCGCATTGATTGGCCCCAGTCTACCCTAAACCCACCCACACAGACGGGACTCGCTAAGCGAGGCGCACCTCGAATTTCCTCCCGCTCAGCGAACATTTCAATCGACCGACCGCAACGCTCGATACCGTCGACGCTCAACGTTCCACCCCGACAGCACCTTCACGAATTCGCCTCGTCGACAACAGGTGTATACGGCGTTCATCATGTCCGACAACGGCGAAGTCGAGGTCGAAAACCCCTCTGGGTTCTACCCGGTCCTGCCCAAGGATGTCCAGCAGGAGATTGGCAGCATCAAGCTGTTCAACAAGTGGAGCTACGAAGATGTCGAGATTAGAGACATTTCTTTGACGTACGTGCCACTTTTTCTACATTGTGCGGGAATTTGATACCGGTAGTTGTCAATGTGCATATTGGATACCAGATATACTTGGTTCAAGGCACGGTGTTGGATATGTGGCAGAAGAACGGCCAGACTGTGAAAGAACGAAGGAACTTAAGGATCAAATTTGCTGACTCGAGAACCCTCAATGCAGCGACTACATTCAGATCCGCTCCCCCGTCTACCTCCCGCACTCCGCTGGCAGATATGCCACCAAGCGCTTCCGCAAGGCTCAATGCCCGATCATTGAGCGTCTCACCAACTCGATCATGATGAACGGTCGCAACAACGGCAAGAAGCTCATGGCCGTCCGCATTGTTGCTCACGCCTTTGAGATTGTGCGTATCCCGTGGTCATTTTGGCTTCGTTATGTGTCAGATATACAATTTTTATATGGCCAAGTTTCACTGCTGGCGATGTTTCTAACATATCCGTTTTCTTCAGATCCACATCATGACCGACCAGAACCCCATCCAGGTCGCCGTCGACGCTATCGTCAACTGCGGTCCTCGTGAAGACAGCACTCGTATTGGTTCCGCCGGTACCGTCCGTCGTCAGGCTGTTGATGTCTCCCCTCTCCGTCGTGTCAACCAGGCCATTGCCCTTCTGACCATCGGAGCGAGAGAGGCTGCGTTCAGAAACGTGAAGTCCATTGCGGAGGCTCTGGCTGGTCAGTTTTAATTTCTTGACTAGTTACGGGTTAATGGAATGCTAACTAGCTTATAGAGGAGCTGATCAACGCTGCCAAGGGCAGCTCGAACTCGTACGCCATCAAGAAGAAGGACGAATTGGAGCGTGTGGCCAAGAGCAACCGGTAAAGAGGTTTTACGTTGCGTTGTTCCTCTGTTTCGTTTCCTATATTAGGGTGTGGATGGAGTTTGGTCGACTAGCATGCAGCGAGACTGTATATTTAAGAAACAGTCACGGGAGGGAGCAGGGCCTAAAAAAAGAAATGGTCGGCTTTCCTATAATGTAGTCGAGATGCGATCATGAAGACTTAAAAAACTTATCAATACAAAAGATCTTTCGATTCCCATGTCGGAAGGATATTAAATGGATAGATATCAGCTGCTTTTTTTGCCCTTTGTTTTATCCTAATACAATAGTAGCCATCTCCACAACTCAGTATTTAGATGAGGCTGGAAGATTCTCTTGTGCCGCTGTGCTAGACTGAAATATGTAAGAAATCGCATTCTTTTTGCCATTGCCATGTCTGGATTAGGTAATTGAAGATCGGGCGGAGTCGAAGTTTGTCGCTATCGATACGGGCTGCGGAAGGGTTAAAAAAAGTTCGACCCCCGTTGGAACACCACCTCATCTTCTTTAACCCACTCCTCTTTCTGGGGCTCCCTCCCCAGTGGATTTCTCTATTTATATTACTGTCCGCTTAATTTACAGCAGCAATGGGGAAGAGAAAATTGGGTGCGTTGGAAAAGGTTGAGGCTGACCTGTGAGTGTTGCCATTTGGAGTTCCAAAGCTTGCAGTTGTCCGAGCTGCGGGCAGTCGATATGAAAAGATTGCTGACGTGCTTTTTCACAGGCCCAACCTCCAACAGAAAATACGGCGTGATCCCAAGTAAGGCAACTTTATGCGAAACCATTTCTTGAGTATGGTAAATTTCCTTTACGGTGGTTACTGAACAGTTCGCTGCTACAGATCCTATGTGGAGGACTTCCGCGCCCAATACTACCAATATGAGAGCCACCGTGAGATTTTCATGGCGGCGCCGTCGTCGAGCACAGAAGCGGGTATAATATCGCTCCGCGATCTCATCGACTTCATTTCGCACGTCGCAGACTGTTACCCGGATATCACCAAAGAATTCCCGCAGCAGTTGATTGAAATGCTCACTCAGCATCATACGTTGCTGGAACCGGAGCTCAGAGAAAAGATCGTGGGAAGCCTGGTGCTTCTGAGGAAAAAGGATATTATAGATTCCGTGACGTATGACACACCTGCTATTGTATCGATATGTTCGCTCGCTGACCTGGTTCTTTGCGGTGGTAGTCTTCTCAATACCCTGTTCCCTATTCTTGTATCCACGCCCAGCAAAACCCTGCGCGAATTATTATTCCAAAAAATTCTTTCCGACCTACGGGCTTCAAATGCAAAGGCCACAAATCACAAGCTCAACCGGACAATGCAAACCGTACTTTTTAATCTGGTCACGTCGGACCGCACTTCTTCGAAAGGACTATGGGCAATCAAACTTACAAGGGAGCTGTGGAAGCGGCAGATCTGGACGGATGCCAAGGCCGTTGAAATCATGAAGGAAGCCAGTCTGGCGGATAACGAAAAGGTTATCGTAGGCGGCATTCGTTTCTTTCTGGGCGGAGACAAGGAACGAGAAGAAATGGAAGATGAGAGCAGCGATGAGGATGTTATAGATGTCGGTAGGGTGAAGCATCAACTCGGGGTCAATAAGAAGAGTGGGAAAAAGCTGCGGCAAGTGGAAAAAGCTGTTGCAACGGTCAAGAAGAGAGAGAGGAGGAAGAAGCAGCCACACATTCTCAACTTCTCAGCGTTGCATCTGCTACATGACTCACAGGGCTTCGCAGAGAATTTGTTCTCTAAGCACCTTCAGAATACCAAGTCCAAGCTCAATCTCGAGCAAAGACTTCTGGTGCTACAGCTCGTATCGCGTTTAGTCGGCTTACACAAGCTGACTCTCATGCACCTCTATTCTTACTTCCAGAAGTTCCTCACTCCGCGACAGCCATCGGTGACGTCGTTCCTGGCATCTCTTGCTCAGGCAACTCATAACCTAGTTCCGCCGGATGTCCTCGAGCCTTTGGTTCAGAAAATTGCAAATGAATTCGTTTCTGAAGCCGCAGCGGCTGAAGTTGCATCGGCCGGTCTCAATGCGATCCGGGAGATCTGTGCGCGCCAGCCTCTGGCCATGAATGAGACCCTGTTACAGGATTTGGTGTTGTATAGAAAGAGTAAGGACAAGGGTGTCATGATGGCGGCAAGAAGTCTTCTAGCACTTTACCGAGAAGTGGGCCCAGAGATGTTGAAACCACGTGATAGAGGCAAGGAAGCAGCAATGAGCTTGCAGTCAGGGGAGAAAAAAGAGATTCGCTTCGGCGAAGAAGCCCCTGGTGAGATTAAAGGTCTTGAATTGTTGGAAAAGTGGAAGGAGGAAGAGCGGAGGAAGAAGAGGCGTGAGAAAGGGTTGCCATCAGATGCAGAAGATGAGGACGAAGACGAAGATGAAGAGGCTGGATGGGCCAATTGGGAGGTCGAAGAAGACGACAGTGACGACTCCGGAGGATGGATCGATGTGGAGAGCGATGCGGAGATCGAAATCAGCGACTCCGATGATGATGAGCCGCCCTCCAAGAAAGCCAAGAAGGAGACTGAGAATGAGGAGAATGAGAATGACGATAACCAAGCGAACGGTGTGGAAAAAGAAGGGGAAACGGAAGAGAAATCCGTCAGTAAGCTTGCTACGACTCGGATCCTCACACCGGCCGATCTGGCCAAACTGGCCGAACTTCGTTCTCAGGCTAAGGTGACCTCCCTCCTCCCGGGTTCGAAGTCCAAGCGTGTCCAGCAGGCCGCGCAGGCTCATGCCAACCGGCACATCGATGACCCTCTCACGGCAGAGGAGATTGAGGGATTTGCGGCCCTCTCTAAGGGGAAGATGACACGTGAAGAGAAGATCGCCCATGCAAAAGAAAACAAGACAGATCGTTCAGAATTCAAGAGTAAAGCGGCCCGGAAGAAGCAGCGAAAGGAAGAGCAGGGCAAGAGTTTGACAAATCGAGAGAAGGCTCGCAAGAAGAACGTCCTGATGACTCTCGGCAAGGCGAAAAAGAAGGGGAAGCGAAGCCTGGTCGAAACGAGGCGCGTGCTGAAGCTGCATCATGAGAGGCAAAAGAGAGGGGGCAGACTGGGGAACAGGGGTTAAAAGTAGGTTTTACGTGAGCTTGCTGGCAGAAGAAAAGTTGTTCGAAGTTATCTCTTTGCTTTGTTCCAAGGCGTTTAGGTGAAATTTTACCTCAATTGTCGAGTAAGTTCGGGCTTTGTCGGGTCGCAATAGACGTGCACATGTCATTACCACGTCGATGTATGTACTGTACATATGTATTTATCTGCAGTTCGTCGTGACGGCCCTCCGCCAAACAAACAAATGATAACTTGAGATACGATCATCTCGATCTGCCTTAACATAATAGGTAATGATAAGAGCCAAACAGCAGTGCTACGTTCCTTCATAAGTCTCTGAGCTATTGGGACTTGAATTATTTACTTCCACGTAGGTCTATCCTGCGTAGATGTGTATTGTACCAGGTAGTTCAATAATTCCTACGAAAGGTGGTACAACGCATATAACCCTAAACCCTAATACTTGATCTAATCTGGAAAGCCCCTGGCCCTTACCCAAACGAGTCTAATAATAGGCTTGGCAGTCAGTCACGCGTCCATCACTTTTCACCCCGCGTCGTCGCGTCGTTACGCGCGGACCAGCCTCCTCTTTCTTGCCTTCGCCCAGCCCCCCGTTCTCGCCAGCGTATTCCTTTCTCTCCAGTCCTCTCGCTTTTGCATGCCTGACCTCCTGCACTCACCTGCAGTCCGGTCAATGCTGCTGCTTATCGATACGCATCAATCGCGGAAGCACCTGTCTTGAACCACAACCTGCCACCTTACTGGTCCGTCACTATGGCCTCCTCCGCCCAGCCTGCGGCCCATGACCCGCTTTCGAAGCGACGTCGTTTCCAACCCCCGATCACAAGCTTCTTTGCTTCTGCAGGGTCCAATGCATCGGACGACAATGACCACCAGGTCGGTGGTCTGTCTTACAATAACTACTCCTCGCCTACCCATTCCCCGACTCCTGCTCTCCCGGCCAAAGTCCAGTCCTCCCTCCTGACGGTCGGCATGCGGATCCGGAAGTCTGTTCCGGAAGGCTACAAGACCGAGCCGAAGAAATTGACTGAATACACCGTGTCGCATACTGTCAACCCGTCTGGCGGCAGTCCAGCTGGGGGATACACTCAGACTCGCAGCTGCTACGCCGAACTGGAACCCTTCTGTGGCATGCACAAGATCGGCAACTTAGCGGTCCAGACATTCCCTCGTCCTGCAGAAGGATATCAAGACAGAAGCACGCATATGTCAGCTGATAACGATGATATGTCTTCACTGCCATCAAAAAGTCAAGAATCCAACGCGTCGTCGGCCTTTTCCTCCAACTCTCATAAACGCTCCTACGACTCTGATCTAGAGGATGTGGACGAGAATGGAGATGATGGATTGATCCATTCGTCAGCCTCCTTTCGAGGATCTATTACAGCAGGAGGAATCTGGCAAGATCCGCTTCGTTTGAATCCTGTCACCGAAACCTTGACAGCTGCACCTTCGAGGTCACAGCGGGCCATACTGTCGCCCAAACTCAGACAGCAGCGACGACAGATCTCCTCCTTCCAGAGCCTTGGGAAGAGGTCCCCTGAACAAGAGAACAAGGACCCTTCTTCAGTCAAGAACGACGTGAACATGGACGATTTCGAGGAAGCTGCCTTCCTGCGACGACGAGAGGAGGTCGACGCCGATTATACGTGGGACGGCGGGGTTGAGGTGGAGATGGGAGGCTAATAGCCTATCTTCCTCGACGTGCACACGAAACCCTCAGCGAAAATAAATCCATGATCACGACTTTCATACTCTCGACTACCATTGTGTCTTTTTTATTCTTTCAGCTTTCTTCCTTCACTGTCTATATTTATTTATATCGGGAAATCGGTTATATTGTGAGCGTTCGAACGGATTGGCAACTGATTCATGGAACGGTTAGAGCAAGGAAGGACTGTGATTCGGGAGTAATCTTCTTCCTTTTTTACAGCAGCAGTTCACAGGGCTAGTAGCCTAGGCAGGCTTTACATACAACACAACCACTGCAGGCCAGTGAGAGAGGGATTGTGTTGTGTGGGCATGGCATGGCGTTACTCCTTATAGTTATTATTTTTATTAACTTTTTTTTTTCTTGTTCCTTCTTGAGCCTGTATCTAATACCCACCTTGTATGTACATACATATGCTAAATATTACCTGTGTGCATCTGCATCTGCTGGACGTAGGCGTTATTTGTCACTTACCTAGGTACTGACCCTCTTCTTTCCTTAACAATATCAAAAAAAGGATAACAAGCGAAAAACTGAGGCTTTTTTTTTCTACTTTTTTTAGATATCTTCTTTCTTTCTTTCTTTCTATTTCCATTTTGTTGCTGTAGATGACATATGTAAAATTACATGTTACTACTCGTTTCTAACACAGGGAAACTAGAGCCAGAGCCAGAGCCAGAAACCAGAAACCAAGTTCGCTTTTTTAATGAAAATGAGTGAGAGAGACAAAAGCTTTTTTAATACAATTAGTTAATTAGTTGGTTGGTTTTATTTGGTCTCTGATTGATGATTTACAACTCGTCTTTCCTAGAGGGATCGGGCTTGGACTTGGTGGTCTTCGACTTCCCTTCCGTAGACGTCTTCTTTTCTTTCTTTTGTTGTTGTTGTTGTTGCTGCTGCTGCTGCTGCTGCTGCTGTTGTTGTTTGGCTTCACCGTCTTTCTTCGACGACGATGAATTGGCGGATTCAAAGAACCGGCCCATCTTTTGGTAGATGCGGCTTAGGGCGCGCTCCAGCTCGCGCAGGCGGGTTTCCATGTCCGCCACCGTCAAGGCTGGGTCATCGGATTCGGTCAGCTTCACCTGCAAGGCGCGCTGGGTCTCGAACCATGTCTTGACGGAGTCGTAGACCCGGTTCAGAGAGGCGAGGTCCGTCGGAGAATAGATGGTGTAGGTTGGCGTGGCTGGCTTAGAGGGAAGAGAGGTGGTGCTAGTAGTGGTTGATGATGACGTAGTAGAGCTTGAGGTTGAGTAAATATCATCCTCAAGATCGCCAAACTCGACAGTGGAAGATTCGGCAGGGGAAGAAGAGGTTGTGGTGGTGGTGGTGCTACTTGTGGAAGTCTCACTGCTCGACTCGGCAGAGGTGGTACTCGTCGAGGTACTCGTCGAAGATTGGCTTGCCGCAGACAACGAGGATGAGAATGCCTCCTCATCGTTTTTAATCTGCTGCTCCACGAGTTTTGCAATATCTTCGACTTCTTTAAGCTTCTCTTCCAGGAGCGTTATCTTGGGCCCCCGCTCGGAATTCTCTTTCTTCCTTCTTACGGCCGGTTCAACAATTTCCTTCAGAGATGCCAGCTTCTCCTGGAAGTCCTTAGTCTTAGCATCCACGCCGTCTCCATAGAGCCATTCGCTCGCCACTTCTAGCCTCTCCTTCAGGACAGCAGGCTGGTCACTCTTGAGAGCTTTCAGGAATTCCTCATCCTCGACCAAATCCCGGCCGCGGTAGATATATCCTTCCAGTTCGTTGAGCGCTTCCTCCCGCAGAATACGCTCACGGTCCGAGGCATCAAAGGCAGCAAGACGTTCCTTAATTCGGCTGAGCTCGGAAGGCGAGAGGGCCGGTGTGCCCAGTGGAGTGGAGCTTAAGCTAATCGAGATAGTTTCCACCTTTGTCTTGGGCTCAGAAGCCGCAGTCTTCGTCTCCTTTGCGGCACTGCTGCTGGACGATGTCTCTGTAGATGACGAGGTCGAAGTTGATGACGGCTCTTCCTGCAATGTAATGGATTCGGTTGGCTCTTCATTCTCTGCTTTGAGTACCTTTTGGTCATCCTTTTTCGACCCCAGACCAAAGAAACCCTTGACATCATCCACAACGCTCCCCTTCTTAGCCTCTTCAACCTCGCAACTGGCAGTGCCACTGACGACCTCCGGCAACCCATCAACAGGACTAAGCCGGATAGAAAATTTGGTCGTGATATTCGCGGGCGTGCATCCAAATTTGTCCTTCAATTGGGCCACAGACGCCGTCAGATTTTGGGTTTCCACGCGGAGAACCGGCGCGTCGACCAAGTCACCGCCCTTGGGGATCTGCTGATAGAAACTGAAATCAAAATCATCCAGATTCTTCACAGTCACCTGCTTTTCCACACCAATCTGAGAGGTGGGAGTGAAGAGCTTTTGCTGTCTTTCTTTTCCGTCCGACGTCCACTTCACCTTGACTGCATAGTTGGCTGCATCTCCTGCTCGGATATCCTTAACTCTGAAGCTGGGACTGAGAGCGGCGCCCTTGAAAGCTGCCCCAAAAACGGCCGCCTCATCGGCGTTGACACTAGTCCGGAGCTTGCTAGACTCTCCACAAGCCTCCTCCAATTTCTTGTGCACGAAAGGGGTTCTTACAGCTCCTCCGTGCAGAATCACCGACTCGAGATCAGTCAATTGCAATCCCGCTTCAGCCAACGCATCATCCAATGGTTTCCGAACACGATCGGCATGCTCCTGAGCTAGCTTCTCGAATTCTGCACGAGTAATCTTGTACTTGAAATTGACATCGTCCTCATAAAGACCTTCAAACGTGCTCCCTGTTTCCGAATTCGCGCTCAGGATTTGTCGCACCCTCTCCGCTTCCTTCCATAACTTTGCCATGGTTTTCCCATGAGACTTGATGTCGGCTTCCGTGGTGCCCTCCTTCAACTTCTTCTCCTGGACGAACTTGGCAACCATGTCGTCGACAATGAGCTGATTCAAGGCGTCTCCACCAAGAGTTCTATCCCAGCCAGTACCCAGAACCTGAACTTCCTGAACGGTCTTGTTGAATCGTCCTACATCCTTAACATTCCGGCTCTGGAACCGCAGGACTGTAGCTGTCGTCGATCCTGCCCCCATATCGTAGACGAGGTGATACTCAGGTTTCTGGCCTTCGGTGACGCTTGGGAATGTTCGACTAGTAGCGTAATTCAATCCCACAGCCAAACCATCGCTGATTAACGCCTCGACATTCAGGCCTGCCAACTCGGCTGCCAATTCCACACTACGTTTCTCTTCCGCAGTGAAATACGAGGGGTAAGTAATGACCGCATCTCGAATCGTCGACCCCTTGCCAGCAAATGCTTCAGCGTTCGCCCTTATCTGTTTCAGCTGCATGGCGAGGAGTTCTTCAACCAGAAACGCATCCTTCCCCTCTGCTTCACCCAGTTTCCGGCTCCGTAGCGCGACAGTATCTCGTTCACCAGGCGCGCGTTCAATCTGTAAAGCGGGATACCGGCTCTTGTACAGCTTGACCATCTCCTCTTCTCCCCCATTGAAGGGAATACCTAGCAGGACCTTGAGATTCGCATACACATCGTCTGGGTACCTTGCAGCGAGAGCCAATGCGTCACCACCGTAGAATCGTTCTGGAAAGGGGGCGTTGCTTTCCCGAGAAGGCTTAAACGCCACAGCGGCGGACTCCTTGCGTTTTGAATCCTTTGTGAGGACAATCTCAAGTGGAATGCCAGGCTTCACAAGTGCAGCCTTCAGGTACTCGGTGCCCAGGTCGATGCCAAGGACGGCAGAGCCAGCGGCGGAGGCAGGTGCGGGAAGGCAGAAGAGGAAGAGAAGGAATGGTACGAGGACGAGGGTGAGGAACGGGGAAGATATCAGCCATGATGACTGTTTTCGCCGGCCGTGCGGAGCCATCATGCGCGTAGCGTTCTGCTGAGAATATACCTGCAGTACGATAATTCCTGGGCCGTGCTGATTCTGGCAGCTAATATTACCTCACTCTAGTTCTGATAAGAACGGCAGAAGCAAGCAGGTAAGAACTGCGACGCCGGTGAGCCAAGACGGTCAATCTGCCGTCCAAGGCCACGACAACCGCGTTGGAGCGGCGAGAAGCGAGATTAGATGGAGCTCAACTAGCGACAATAAAGGACAGCGTGATGCGAAACAAAAGGACGACAAAGGATTCTATACAATATATGCCATCCAGAGCCAGGGGCTAGAACTGGCCACGTGGAAGCAAAAGACCGCTGATGGCACGCCAGGGTATTGTCCGGGCGGAGAGAAGGCGCCTTATCGGGGAGAGGACACTTTGGCATCAGGATCCGGTGATCGTCCTCCGCCCGGCGGAATGATGCAAACTCGCCTAATCTGGATGTGTTTGCAGGAAGCTGGATAAGCTTATCGGGTTTGTCCTGTTTGCTTCGCCCGCCATCGACTCAGCGGAGTCTTTCTATTGTGTCCTTGGCACGTCGAATTGATCGTTTCCCATTATTTTATTTGTTTATTCATTTATTTATTTATATTGTCTCTTTGCGTGCAAAAAGACATAGAGATATGCAGAAGAGAACGGACCCTGATGTGCTTACGAATAACTGCAGGCTGCGGATCATAAGATTATATATTATCGAATAATTGCAATGCTAGGTCATCTACTTTGGTATGAGGGCAGCGGCACTGTGCAATAAAATATGCTGTCTTAATCACAAGAGTAACTAGGAAGTGGCCAACTTTGGCACCCAATATTCACAATAAGCATCATAAAGAGACTAGTTTTCGTATTCAACACTGCTTTCTATGAGTCCTTGGGCCGACTGGCAGCCTCAGCCTTAAATTCAGAGTCATAGACGTTTGATGTGCTGGTAAGCTCAAGTGGTCGCTTTGATCTGGTTCCTCAATAAGGCGTCACGAATGCAATACGTTTTATATCAATCGATAATATCAATAGTCGTCATCAGTGTCACTTATCCATCCTTTCTCGTAGGATTCGCGAAGCTCTCCCAAACCGTTGATCAATGCCTCCCTCTCATCCACCCCGATTGTCCTTCCGGCGATTGTCTGTAGTTCTTTCAGTTTATCTCCGATACGCGTAGTCGTTGAAAGAGCCGCATGGATTTCAACCGCAGTCTCTCCGTTCGAACGGGGAAGCAAATCCCGCGGGTAGCTGTCGAGTATTGGAAACCGTAATGTCGTATAATACCTATTATAAACAAAATCAGCCTTTGATTCCCCCAAAATGGCTGCGTAAACGTATTTGCACTCAGAGTAACTCAAAGCGTAGGATTACGCACCTTTCAACCATCGGTTGCGAGTCAAATAGACGCTGTTTACGGATCAGTCCCAGATCCTCCGCAGGAGGCTGCTCACTATCTGGCTCTCGACCACGGAGGACCTGAACTTGGTTAAACACAGTCAAGTTTTCCGTAGTCAAATCGTCATAAGTAAGATTTATATCGAAGTCAGTTTTCGCTTCCGCCTCTGTTTCCTGTTTGTTCTCATTTGTCGTAACCCACGGTGCACGATTTTCTGGAACCTGCGATATAATGCTGGACTGCAGTTCAAAGATCTTATGCGTTCCTCCACTTTGACCTGCTAGTGAAGCCTCAAAGTCACGATACGGCCGAAGGCGAGATGGTAAGGTGACAGTCTCAACCGCAGACGCAATCAAAGCCGAGGTATACCATTCGGATCCAGCATCAATAGACAGATAATTCGGCAGATTGCGTGGAGGATCAATTATGGGACAATATAATGTCGACTGTGGGGCCACTGCATAAAGAGTCCTTGTGGAATTAGACGTCTTGAGAATTTTCTTGTGCTGTGTGGCACCTTAGTCGCTATGTCTCCTAATAAGGTCATCTCAACACTTACCCGCGGCAGTCTCGCCCCATCTTCAATAGCCCATACCCATATGCCAGTCTTAGCATATTCGTCTCTTAGCCGGTCAACATATCTAGCGGCAAAGCCACCCCAAGCATCATCCGATCCGGTGAAAATCTGGAGTGCACGAAGCTGGTCACATTCCTCAGCAAACGGTCTAACATCTCGATCCAACAAGTCGTGCTCTTTGTCCAGATCTCCGAACAGTTCTTCTCCGACACCCCAATCTTCAAATGGCATCAAAGAAGAATTGAGCTCGTACTCATTGAGCTGGACTATTGAACGCGGGTGATAGAAAACACGGTTAAAATCAGACCAATAGCGAACTGATTCGGCCGTGAGAGGAGGCGGGGCTACGCCTGCATCGAGACTCTTCTGATATTCGTTCTGGGGTATTTCTGGCTGCTTTTGTACAACTTCATTGCCGTCCCTAGTACCAGAGTTCAGTCTCCTGTGTCTATAAGAGGGCTGACAAGTTACGGAGCATCACGCAATTGCACTCACCATAATGCTTTTGGGTGATCGGCTTCCTCCTGCAACTCATATAAGGCGTTGTATTTACGGAGAGTGCCAAACCCGCCTTTCAAGTCATAGATTATGGTCCTCGGCGTAAACGTTTCTGTTCCATCCACACCAATACCGGGACGAAAATGGATATCATGGTCTATTGGAGATTCTTCTTCCTCGTTATATGTAAAGTATGATTCCTATCGAAAAGTCAGATCATAACTTTCCACTAGCTGGCACGTCGATGACCACCTGAAGATTCCAGAAATGGGTGGCAAGATAGTTGCTCCGCTGTCCCAGCTGCAGGGTGATTATTTCATGCATTTTCGAGAGCGAGACATGTGTGATTAATAAAGTCGAGAAAACCCCAGATTATGATCTGTGTGAGTCGATAGTACGGTTGTGTGGATCTAGATGCGTCCGACTTGGTTCAATTCGGGTGGGGTATACATGTAGTGGACACGCATGTATGTACAAGTCTGTACGAATAATTTGAATAATTTGATGTAAGGTCGATACAACGACGTCGAAGGCCAAAGCCAAGCAGCGCACAGATCGGAGGACTGTGGGCGCAGATCGCGGACCCGATCCATATCTTTTTGCCTTTGACCTTTTCTAGAACACGGCGTGATGTCACATGACATGTCGCCGGCGGGAAGGCGGTGCGCTTTGCCAAATCGGGCTCGGGCGGGTGCGTTGCTCCGAGCAACGGCGAACAGCGCGCTTAGCGATAAACATGCCAGCCTAACAATCCTTGCCTGGCTGGGCCACTCGCGGAAACCGAGCCCAAACATTCGGTCGTCATAATTTATTATCCCACCAGCAAACGTCACCTACCGCTGAAAACATACGACCACCGATAGCCACCAGACCCGGAATTCTTGTGTCGACTCACCTTTGTCATGACCGGCGCACGAAGCATCTGAACGCGCAGTAACCATGGATTCCCCAACCGTCAAACCACTGTCCCCTTCCAAGGCGCCTCTCTTGCCTGCCTCGCCGGAACGCATCAACCAGCGAAAGGTGACGAACTCACCGTCGACGCCTGCTGATCTTTTGCATCTCCAGCAAAAGCCATCGGATGTCCAGGCCAAGATCGCTTTCATCAACAGCCTGTCGCGCGGAAACAGCCCAGAACGGCCGCAGCAACCTCCTCCATCTTCTTCAAACTCCGCTGCCCTTCAACGAGCAATACTGGGCCGCGAAGAAGCTGAATCAGCACTTGCCCGGGCTAATGCGCAATTGGCGGAAGCGCAATCAAGAGAAAAGCGACTAAGCGAAAGACTGGAGTCTCTGCTTGAGGAGCTCCAAGCTACAAAAGAACGCCAGGCTCACGAGCGATCACTTTTTGAGAAGGAAGTGAGGAAAGCGAGGAAGGAAGCCTTCCGCGCGAGTTCCAACCTGGTTAAAATTCAGGAAGAGTTGAAGCTTACGAAAGGAGAAGTGAAATCGCTGAAGGAGGAGGTCCGGTCCGAAAGAGAGGCAAAGGAGAAGGCTAAGCAGGAAGCGTTTGAGTGCGCCTACGCACTTGCCGGTCTCACCGAGGAGCTTCAGGTGCTGAAAGATCAGCTGCGATCCTACCAAACGGATAATCACTCTGATGCTCTCGAGGCTCGAGCGAAGGAGATGGGTGAGATGCACGAGAACAACGCCAGGGAATTACCGACCGAACAGGGTGGTGATTCTACGTCGGCTCCTGCGCCGCGAAGGCCAAAGAGGAGTGCCGATGAGTCTGAGCTTAGGCAATCGTCTGCTGGAGTGGACTCCGGCGCTCGCGATGAAGAAACGCCGTCGAAAAAGATTAGGTTGTCGCGCCGTACCTCGGATAAGGAGAACCAAGACCCCGAAGCTGTGGAGCCCGAAGGAGACTTGATCGAAGAACTCAAAGAAGAGATAAAGTGGGAACGACGCTTGCGGCAGAAGGCGGAAGACATGGTCCACTTCTTGAAGATGGAATGCCAGTTCAAACGATGTTCATGCCGAGTAGCGGAAAGTCAAGGCGTTCAATATATCCACGATAAGGAATGGGCCGACCTGCACAGTGAACAACAGCAAGAAGTGCAGCATACACATGAACCACAGCCTGTCGTTTCTGAGAACACGTTGACGTCCACACACTCCCCTCTGGGGAGGGCGAGCCCTGCACCTGCAATGACCCCATCTACGCCGAAAGAAAGAAGCGGGAACGAGATAGACAAGGACATGACTGCACCGGAAGAGCCACTCATAACCTTCTCCCCGACGACAGGAACCTTCCGCTCTATCCCATCTCCGCAACGCGGTAACCAGCATGCAGTCCACGAGGAGCCTTTGGTTCTTCCGCCCCCCGAACAAGACGCGCCTTCGCAACGGTCACAGTCGCCACTAAACGATTCGGAATCAAAAGTTGCAGTTGATTTCCACGGGTTTCAAGCTCAGTCTGAGATGGAGATGGAAGAGCCGGTCCAACCTCCACCAACGACACTAGCTCCTGCTCAGAATACGGTTGACAGCACACACGTCGGAGCCAACTCCTCGGAAGAAGCACTAATTACGCCGACAGAGGAGGCGCATACCGTCGTGGAGCATCATAGCATGAAGATTCCACTACGACCTGAAGACAACCAGACTCGACATCCCAATGACATAATACCGGGCACTCCCCTCACGCGGGAAGAGGCACTGGCACAGATCAGAGAGCGCAGGGGTCGAGCGCGGAGTATGATGAAGAGGTCAGCGAGCGCGAGTGAAGCTACGGTCCGTTCTGGCGGTATGGGGGTGACACCGATGCGAGGCAGCAAACGGATCCCGGGGCTGCACCACTCGGACACTCGAAGTGAGCCTGATGTAGGAGATCGAAGGGCCATAAGTGCACCCGTTCGACGATTTTAGAGAGAAAATTGTCCGTGCGATATGAATCTCATGAACGAATTTCGATTCGTGCTGCATAGAAAGTTGGAACTTGGAATCGTTTGACGAGTGTGTTCTTTTTTTCCTGTGGTCTTTTGAACGTCTGCCTACTCAGAGATACCCCCTTTTTTTTTGATTTGATTTGGATACGTTGCAATTGCTTTCTCTGCGTCAGTTTCTTTCTTTTCTTTTTTTTTTAAAGCATGGCGTTGGTGCATGATGGCATTGATGGCATTAACACCATGGGATTGATTGGCATTTATTTACTTTTTTTTTTCTCTTTTTTGTACAGTCTTTTCTCATTACATGCCTAGCATTTTTGCATTTTTGCATTTTTGATGTACATACATGCATACATACATACATTCATTAATCATCAGCCCTGAACTTCCTTCCTTTCCTCTTTCCTGCTACTTTTTTTTTTAATAAACTTTTTGATCTCCGGGTGTATGCATGCTAGCATTCCTTTTCTTCCTTTTTTTTTCCCTTTCCCCCTTGTCTTTCCTTTTAGAGATTGCATCTGTTCGAACTCGGTGGGCAAAAAAAGCGCAAGTTCGGAGTTTTTTTTCTTTTTGGGTGTACTTACATACATGCATACACGGATATATACACAATCTGATCTGTTTGCATTGATGTCTGAATGAGATTAAATGGAACGAATGAATATGATTATGATTTCACAAAAAGGACCTAACTGTCCAGGAAGGAAATTTTTTCCTGCTCTCTCTCTTTCTCTCTCTCTTCTTTTTTTTTTGGTCTTCGGTTGTTTGGTGCTTATTGATAAGCTAGCTGGATGAATGAAGAATGAATGAATGATTAATGGGAATATATACATACATATACATCCATACCTATAATTGTCAGGCACCTGCGTAAGAAAGAAAGAGAAAACAAAATCTAGGGATGTACCATGGTATATTGAAGTGAATAAAATAAAATATCCCGACGCGCGTGTCTGGATGGTGCGCGAAATAAAAAAAGAACTCCCACCAGCCAAGCAAGTAATACTGGCAGTTTTAGGTAAATAAAAGCAAATTATTTCCCTGTTGAAGAAAAAAAATCTTGGGCAAAGTCAAGCAAGCTGCAGGCTGAGGCTGGCTACAGAATAGGAATCCCACAGCATCGGATCCGCGTCCCGTCAACTCGCGCTTCCCGACCCCACCACAGACGCAGCAGTTCTTCGACAAAGACGCGGTCGGCCGTGCTCCAGGCATCCAGACCCATTTGTGTCATGTCGGATGCTGTGATCAAGACCGGTGCTTTTGATTCTTCACCTTCTTGGCGCTGTGAGTCTGCCGCGTTGCGACCTGATGATCCAAGTAGCGGCTCGTTCGCATCATCTTCCTGGTATGATGAGCCTGCTGGGGCTGTTTCTGCACCATCATCGTCATCTGCATCCGCATCTGCATCTGCATCATTATCATCAGGGTCATCTCGGTATGCTTCTGCCGAGTCGTTGCCGTCCTTAGCATCTTGGCGTGCCACAGCGTCAGAAAGTGTGGTGAAGATGAGCGTGGTCAGACGACGGAAATATGCTATTAAGGCTATTTCTTGTGGCTGATTGTTCTCTTCCGAATATACACTCTGATGAGATATGTTGCCTGTGGGCGAATCCACACTGGCTAGGAGGCTCGTGTCCTGCTCGGTCTGTTCCTCTTCTTCTTCCGAAATGCCGGTGCGCTTTTCTCCCGCTGATGCCCACCACATGAAGGATGTATAGGCCAGTCGGGGCCATGACACTGGTTCAACAATTGAAGCGGACGAGAAGGTAGACGCCGCATCCGTGTTATCGTCATGAGGTCCGGTTGGTGGGACATCGTTGCGGGGAAGTCGACGAAGGCCCTCTCTCAGCGTTACGAAGCGACGCGCATCTCGCTGCGTTGCCTTCAACGGCGTCTGTTTCGAGGGCTTCTGTGCCTCTGCAGGTGCATCCAAGACAGAAATCTTGGGATACACCTTCTGCGCCGCATTCTTAGAATACGAGGGAGGTAGAGTAATCAAAATATCGTAAAGTTCGGATTTCATGGTTAGAACATTGTCTGTCGTGCAAGCGATCCAGCTTGGCTGGACCTCTGATCCCGCTCCTTGTTTCGCAAAAGTGGAAAGGAAGGGTATATCATGGACACCGACATTGAAGAGAGGACGAGGTCGAAGAGGTGGAATTCCTTCCGGACGGAGCAGTGGAAGAAGTGACTGCGGTAATGAAGACAGCACAGAGAGATCATATACTTGGAATCGTCAGAACAACAGACACTGAGAAAATCAAGTCCATATCAATTCAAAAGGAAGAAAACATACCATAATCACAGCATGTCTGGACTGGAGCCTCGGTCACAAACAGAATCCGCTTGCGCAGCAAGGAGGCTCTGTATAATGGGAATACCAGAGGCCCAAAAGCATCTATAAAATCGGGAAGCGATAGAGCCGGATGGAATGGTGCCAGGACCGGCCTGGCAGTTTCCAATGCTGTCGCCTCACTGCTAGTACGGCCCCGTCGCTGGGTATCCGGACGATCTCCGTTTGATTTTGGTCGCAAGATTGCTGGAGAGTCGGGCGGAGATTCTGTGAGTGTTCTGGCTTCATCCTCCAGGATGTGGTGCTTCTCCCAGTAGTCGACCAGGGGCTGCGTATCGGACACATCCTCGGCACACTTCCTGCAAGCAAGACCTTATCAGCTCATAAACCTAGACTTCCATGCCTGGTATACCAACTTTGCTAGTTCCTTGAGGCCTGCTGCGTGTCTCCAGCTCTTGCCTAGTCTCCCGTAGCTCAAAGGCACCAGGACACCGACAGCCAGCATCAATGCATTGCGCTCTGCCTCCTCCGCCGGCTGATTGACGAATGCGCTGATCCCCGCATACTGTTCGTGAACGAAATACCTAGCAGCAGCATCGCTCTTAGCATCATTTTGAAAGAGTATTTTGGCCTACACGTACACAAGATCATCCGTCACATTGTGCAGTCCTGACGGGAGCGATTTGTATTCGACGGCGCCTTCGAGTTCCACTGCGCACCCCGCATATCAGCGCAACCGAAGAGAACGTAATCGCCAATCAACAATCACATACCTCCGGGCAGCGAATTTTTCCAAGCAATGACATATCTGTGTGAATTGGCACGGTCAGAGACGAGTACTTGTACGAGGCGAAAAGGGGCAGGATGACGAGGTAGTTGCTTACCCGGTCTTGATGTCGAAACGGATCAGGAACAGGGCCGCGATGCCCGGGGGCGACTCCAGCAGAGAGGCCTGGGACAGATCGAGCCTCAGAGAGGTCCTGCGGCTTGCTTGTGAAGCCATTGCCGATATCCAGGTGCGGCAGGGGAGCTGATGAGCTCCATGAAGTGCACTTGATAGCTGGGCGGTCCGATCTGATGGATCGGGTGATGCCATCATCGGCGGGCCTTTGCCTGGCCTGTGCCAAGCAATCCACTAAGGTAGTTCCCGCTAACCAACATGGAACTTCGATTGCCCACGAAGGTATGTAGATAGGCACTTTGTTTGTTGCTTTATTAACTTTGATAATACAGAAAATTCTACTCGATCTTATCTAGGGAAGATAACTGTTCACGTGGTACGTCTTGGATTCTCGCAGCAATTGCCGTATAATTTCCTGCAATCCAGTGTTCTGTTGATCAAAAGAATCAGATCTATGAAGATGAGCGCAGCAGATACACCTCAGCCTCATCCCTACTACCCAATTGGAGTAGAAATTGCCGGTTACATTGCCAATGAGAGCTCTGTCTTCGTCCTTGCTATCTGCTTCTCCTTGGGCTTAGCGGCTATTCTCGGCCTTATACTCGCCAGTGCCACGTACTTGCGCCCGTCAATGTCAAAAGCAGACAAGCTTGCCATACTGTGGTTTGCTCTATGTAAATATCTCGTGGATTTCCTCTTCCAGAAGAGTGTCTGTGCTGATAACCATGCGAATGCAGCGGGAACCCTCCATTGCTTTTTCGAAGCGTACTTTGTCTCCCATCACTCGGCCATGGGGCCTGCTCAGGATATCCTTGGGCAGTTGTGGAAGGAGTACGCGTTGTCTGATTCGCGATATCTCATTTCGGATCCATTCGTGGTGAGCATTGAAACCATAACTGTGGTGCGTTTGAAGACCCGTCTTTTCTCCTGTCGTAGACTCACGACTGGCTGGAGATCCGGCTAATAGATTTATGTCTTTGGAATGGCCAGACTGTTTGGGGGCCCCTGTGCTTCGTTCTGGCGTACATGATTGCTGCGCAACATCCTCTACGGCATGCTTTGCAAGTCATTATTTGCGTAGCCCATCTTTATGGGGATGCGTTGTACTACGCCACCAGTCTCTTCAACCATTACGTCAACGGTGTGTCGTACTGTCGGCCTGAGGCACTCTACTTCTGGGGATACTTCTTTTTCATGAATTTTATCTGGATTGTTGTGCCGGCATGTAAGTGTTTCCGAAGCCTTCGTCTTTATGTTTTAGCCTGCTAAGGTATGGGTTCTAGCCTATCTGTATGAGAGTCTCACCGCAATTTCGAACGCATTCCGTGCCCTAGACCGAACAGCGGGTCGACAGAAGTTTGAGTGAGCCCTTGAACAAACAGAGTCCGGCAGCAAGCTGTTTCACTCCCGGAGTGGAACTGTGTGTCGATATCCGTTATTGCTCTTATTTAATTGGGAAGAAGAAGTCGAATTCCTCTTCCATTGATCTTTTCTATTTTTTCTCTATCGATTTATAAATTTATTTGGGTATAGGCCTTTCAATATTGGAGTTGTGATGAACTTCAGGGCTTCAAATTATACAGGAAGCAGGAGCGTACTAAACTTCACGATGGATTGCTGGCAGGGAGCCTATGGCATACTTCTGATTGGAGATGGCATTCCATAAGGCAGTCCTGTGTCTTACCCAGATAGGCAACTGGCCTCATGCGGGCGACCGTTTTCTGGGATGACCTGAGCTGTCAGACCCTATTCTGGCCTCAGGAAGACAAACCTGATCATGATGACTGGGCGGAATGAGCGGCATACATCCGATGCTGCGATGGATAGCTTTTAGCGCCCACAAGAGCAAGAGCCTGTCTGCTTCTCTGTTTATTTCTTGCTAGAGAAGACCGAGCCAAGCGGCGGTTATTGGGCACGGGGACTGCATGCAGAGGACAGTGAAGCAGGGCAGAGGATGCCCAGTTCCACCGGCGACTCCACGTCGATGCGCAAGCGGACTGCCACCTCGCCAGGTCCACTCTGCAGTGGGACCTGTTCTCCACTGGGCGAAGTCATTGTCAAACATGCAGCAAGGAGAATCCGCGCTTCCTGGCCGCGATTGACTTACGACGTTGATATCTATTTTTTTTTCGCGCAGAATGGCGAACCAACACTCGTGCGGTAGTAATAAGTGCTTGTCGATGTAACGAAAGATCGGGAGCGCGGCGATATGATAGCTATAACCAGACGATCCTGACGGGGCTCTGATCGGTTACCCGGGCAGCCGCCGGGTCGGGCCCGATTCCGCTGGCGATCCTGTTATTCGCCGCCCAGCTCGCTCGGCGGGCCGCTGCCCTGTGCCGCATCATTAATATGCACTGCATGCTGGCCGCCGCATTCATCGTGTTTTCTTCAGGACGAGATCTCCAGTTGTCTGCGGTCGGACTCGGATGTCTTCACAGCGTGACAATTCGTGTCGCCTCTCCAGAGTAGGCATGTTTTGTACAGGGCGCACTCGGTGGTGAGTTCATCGCGATACTCAGCTGACATAAGTGGCCCCTCCAGAAGTAAACACATGACGAAACACATGACAAGGCCACGCTCTCTTGCTTACGCCACGCTGTCCCCTCAAAACCACTTCCCAGGTCCCAGCATGTTTTTGGTGGTGGATAAATCTCTCTAACGACTCTGACTACAGATCCCAATGTCCTCTCCTGCGAGCCCGCGTCGAAATCCTCCTGCTCGGGGATCCACCAAGTCCACCCCGGCGAAGACGAAGCCCCTAGACATTGGGAAGCCCCTTGGCATCTATGATACCGCCTCTGTTCGCGAGAAGGTCCGGCTATGGCAACAGAAGGGAGGCGGTGTAGTCACCGCCAACGACATATATGTCGAGGATGATGGAGATGAGGGGAACTCATCCTCCCATGACAAGTCCGGAAAGGATCCCGAACCCCGCCGACAGGCCACGCATGTTGAGGGTACCAACACGCGGAAAAGAAGCAGCAGCACCCCGAGGAAGCGCGTGGTGAGTGACGAGCATTGGCGAAAAGAGCGCAGTCCGCCCAGGACTCCCCCGGCCAAGGTCCCTCCACCGAAGCGCATCACCGTCTACAAGGTCAATGATCACTTCAACAACACCTCTTCTTCTACCTCCTCCGCTGCCGAGAAGAAGGACGCCAGAAAAGATGAAGGACCCCGTCCAGCCATATTCTCCCAACTTGCAGAGGATGGAATCAATGTCTATCCCACACCGTCGGCTCGGAGGCGGCCGAGAACCCCAAAGACCGCAAAGGAGAAAGCCAGTCCTAATGAGAATTCCAACGTCGAAAGAGATAATAAAAAGAATGGATCGGCATCGGTAGCCTCATCATCCTCACCGCCTTCTAAGGCAGCTTCTGCCAAGCAGCCCGAAGAGAGTCAAGCCGATGTGACAGGGGGTATGAGGCGCGCAACTCCACCACCGAAAGATGATGACGGCTGGGCAGCGAGTGAGGCGGACTTCTCGGAGCTGTCTCGAAGGAGACGGCGGGGACACACTGAGTCGCGGAGTGTTCGAAAGCCTCCCAAGGGAGGCATTTTTGGGCATATGCTGGATGAGTCCAAAAAGATGTTCGCGAAGCCTGCTCCTCCCCCTGCTCCAGCCGACCGTGGCGATAAGATCACGGCTTGGTTGTCTTCCACTCCCGATCCTTTTATGGAGAACAATGATGACACATCTACCGTCGAGACGCCTGCACCCTTGAGCTCGAGATCGAAGACAACACGGCATTCTCCCCGACATTCGCCTCGACATTCGCCCCGACATTCATCGGGATCCAGAGCTGCAGAAGATCTCAGCGAACACTCAGATGGTTGGCACGGCAGCGGCCCTCAAAGGAGGAAAAGCGTTAGAGACAGCACTGCAAGGCGTCGATCACATGATTCTGCTGCAGCTGGTGATAGAAGACTGTCGCGGTCTCCATCTCCCTTATCGGAGGAGGGTGCCAAATCCAGCGACAATAGAAAGGACAAGGAGCAGGAGCAGCCTTCACAATCCCATTTGAAAAGAACAGGAACACATAAGCGTGCCAAATCGTCCCCAGAGAAACAGCCCCTTACGCCAACTAGACATCGAGTGGAGGAAATCCTAGTATCAGAGTGCGAGTTCCCTCCCCCCTCCTCCGAGGGTTCAGAGGTCTCTGCCAGTGACGCGTCTTTCCCACTAAGGCTGAAACGGCCTTTCCCAAGCACTGGAATGCATCGACTCTCTACTATCGCATCGGAGGAAACGCTGAGTACAAAGGATGAGAAACAGTCATTAAGCAGCAAACGAGAGGAATCATCCAATATTCAAGCTTCCACCTCCAAGCCTGATGATGGGGCGCCTTCCGAAGCAGAAGAGCGAGATCGGGTTGATCCCAACTCGCTTCCTGGCGAGGCTCCTGGACTCAAGCGGCGATTGACGAAACACTCCGATCTGATGTCGGCTTTATCCAACCCTAATTCTGGCAGAAAAAGCATCCGGTCAGCCAGGAGAGTCAGAAGTAATAGAAGTCGTTTAGAAAGTGCAACAATTAGCGACTTGATGCAGCAACTCTCCGCTGATGAGACGAAATACATGCGTGAACTCAGAACTTTAGTCGGAGGTGTTATCCCCGTGCTGCTGACCTGCGTTCTTTCCCGATCTGATTCTGCTATTGCTGCAGGCCTCTTTCGGCCCTCATTGGATCCTAAAGATGATATCAACTTTACCAGACCCATTGTGGACATGGGCGTTGCCCTCGAGCGTCTCAAAACGCTGCATAAGCGAATCCCCTTGGATGACTCGGATGCCCTGCTAACCTGGGCCCAAGGGGCGCTGAGAGTCTATCGAGACTATCTTAAGGCCTGGAGAATGGGCTTCCAAGATGTGGTTGTCAACCTAGCTCCTCCAGATGAAAGTGAGACAGCGGCTGCTGAGACGCAAAGTCTGGACCAAGGGATGGCGAGAGACGAAAACGGGGACATCGTCGACAGTAACGGCGAAAAGGTGGACGTCGCATACCTGCTCAAGAGACCTCTGGTCCGCTTGAAATACCTTTCAAGGACCTTTAAAGGACTGGACATGTTGGCACATTCCCCGAAGACAGAGGAAATTGCGGTCGCCTACCAAGAACTGGTAGAGCAAGCCCGCCGTCGTGCACGTGAGGAACGAGCGAGGCTCGAGGACGAGGCGGCTGCGCGTATCGATCCCACGCGTGCTCGGGACCCAGCGACGCTGGCTGTGCTCACCGGTGTGTCAATCGACCAGACCCGACGGGTGCTTGCTCGTGACTTTTTCAATCTGTCGTTGTACCATTCGAGCGGCCAGATGGTCGACTGTCGAGCAGAGCTACTACTCAGAGATAATGCCCCTGGTGCAGGGCCCGGCGGTGATCTTTTGATCTGTGAAATCGACAAGGTAGATCGCTGGCTGCTATTCCCGCCAATAGAAACCGACTCTGTGTCCGCACGAAGCGGCGATGAGAAGGGAGAAATAGTGGTTATGATACGTGGCCAGTCCGGGGAGGATAGAAAATGGCAGGAATTGCTGTCGCTCAAAATCGACGATGAAGCCATCGCGCTTGAATGGGTGCAAATGCTGGGACAGGACCCTATTCCACCGGCTATAAACAGAACACAAAGCTTCATCAATCGTTTGAAGGACCACCAAAGAGAATCCATTGGTCAAAAGGACACCGTGCAGTCATCAGCGTCAAATAAGCCTCAAGAACCGAGCCCCAATGAGGTTGATGTACCTATAGGAGAGCAGGCAAGCGTAGTCAGTCGTGCTGGGAGAAGCTCCACGTCACACGAGGGGCAAAGTTCTGGACCAAGCATGCTAAGCCTGTCTTCTGCTGGCGCGTCTCGCAGTTCCTTGGTTTCTGCCATCACAAGGGAGTCCGACTATGCCTCAATCGGGCCAGAATCGTCTGCTAAGTCTCCGTCCCATGCTTGTACTTCTGGACCACCTCCCAGAGAGCCTGACGACGACGTGATTATACCGCTTGGTGAAAAGGCTTCGCCGGGCCTGAAGAGATCTAAGGCCAAGAGACGCTCCCGACATGCAGGAGACCTTTCTCCTGTTGGCAGTCAAACAAAGAGTTCCCCTATTCCTGATCGAGAGGCTCCATCGCCGACAACTCCAAGGTCTGATCGCGACCATGATGAAACGAAGCGGATACCTCAGTCCCAGCATGGGCGATCTCCAAACAATCGTCCTCCAAGAGATCAGACCCCTGAGGAGGCACAGGAGAAGCCCGGCTACCACCAGCGTGTGTCTTCTGTCCCCTCAATGGACCTGCCAACTATCAAAAAGATCAGAAAAGGTAGCCAGAACAATGCGCCTCTACATACTGATGCCGATGAAGAGGATTGGCCGGATTCCAAGTCGCCATCTGGTCACTCAAAAGAGGAGGATGGGCCAGAAACTCCTCCAGTCCCACCTCCCCATCGATCTCCCAGCCCAGCATACTTGAAGCAGCAGAACATTCCAATTCTCAGTCCAACTTTTGGTCGACTGAAGAGGAGATCTTCGTCTCCGTTGAAACACGAATATGAACCTTCGACCCCCTCCGAGTCGTCTTCCGACTCCGATACGTCTACTGTGCGCCATTATGACATGGAGTCGTCGTCGTCTTCGGAAACATCTGAAGACGAATTGGGGGAGGAGGATGATGTGCCAACGCCCCTTCCTTCCGCTGAGACCGACCAGCTTCCAAAGCCTTCCCCGCCGGCTTCTCTCCCGACTCTCGATAGTGACTCCTTGTCTCCATCAAATTCCGTGTCTCAAGGGCCTTATCGTACTGTTCCTCCCCAGCCGTCGAAGTCGTCCAAGGCTATTGCTTCGATATTTTCATGGTCTGAAAAAGGAAACTGGGAGAGCCTCTATCCGGATGAGTGCAGAATCGTCGTCAGCCCTGGACTCATTGAGGCGTATGAGATGACTGCTGGGTCGCAGTCGTCTGGGCAGCAAGCGGATGGCAATGACGATGACGGTGATGATGCGCGCAAAGAGCAGCCTCTTATCGCTCTGGAACTTACGCCATTGGTCCCAATTCGGCGGGGAACGGCGATCGATATCAGCATCCGTTCACCTCCAACCGAAAGATCGAAGATCAAGTCAAGCAACAATATTATGTTTCGATCGCGCAATATGGAAGAGTGCGAGGTTTTGTACGGTCTAATCAACCAGGCACGCATCAACAACCCGACATACATCGCTCTCCAAAACGCCCGAGGACCATATGCAGGCCAACCACCGTCGCTTGAGCGGCACAATTCAACGCATTCTGAGAAGAGAACTAGCTGGTTTGGCTTTCCTAGACGGAAAAACAGTTACCGAGCACCCAGCAAGCGTGAACAGTCGGTAGGAGTTGCATCGGAGAGTAGTGTGGGGACCATGAGCAGTGCATTTTCGGCCCTGAAACGGTTTGGCGCTGGCAAGATGTTCAGCATTGCCCGATCTACCATCACGTCTCGGACAGGGGGAAGTCGTGATGGGAGCCTTTATTCGAGTTCTCTCGGTTCTGGGTCCCGTTCTGTCGGAGGAGCCTTTGCGGAAGCTATCAAGGGTGCGGACGGGATTGGCTTGTCCAATGCGAAGATCCGGCTTTATGTCCGTGAAAGTGTGTCGAAATGGCGTGATCTGGGAGCAGCTCGATTGACCATCATGCCTGCGACGCCAAGATCCTCTCGCCCTGGCACAGCGGGGAGCGTTGCTGCTCCTGCTGATGCCAATGCCAATGCCGCAGCAGGTGAAACAGGGGAGGGTGATGCACCAGTGGCAGAGGCCGCCGCTACTCCGGCCGCTGCATCACCACGTCGTGTCGCTATACCACAGGAAAAACGGATTCTGATCCGGGGAAAGACGCGGGGAGAGGTCTTGCTCGATGCTACTCTGGGCGAGAGCTCATTTGAGCGCGTGGCCAGAACGGGCATTGCAGTCTCGGTCTGGGAAGAGAATGAAGGCGGTGCAGTCAGCAAGGAGGGCGGTGTCACCGGCGGCTCGTTCCGAGTATATATGATCCAGATGAAGAGCGAGGCCGAGGCAGCTTATACGTTTTCACTGGTAGGAAAGCTGCGGTATTAACTTGCCTATCATGTTGGAATGTAATCCACTGCATTGGTGGTGTTTTGCAATATATCTAGTCTACATTTTCGATGATTGTGGAGACTTCTCTATTTGCCTTTTTTTGTTCATTTTTTGGAACTATTTCCCCCCCCCCCCAACTATCCCCTCATGCCTTCATGCCTTCATGTCTTCATGTCCTCATGTTATGTCTCATGTCATGTCTTTATGTCATGTCTCATGCCCTGTCTACGACATTTGACGTACGTATGTATGTAGTTTTGGCCGCTCAAGTCTCCCCTTCACCCTTCATACTTCAAGCTTTATACCAATTTTATACCAATTTACGTGTTGATAGATGGAGGAGGTAGGTAGAAGAAGATTGCATTGTTGAGTTGAGTTGCATTTTCCATTTTTCCATTTTCCAGTTCATTTCCATCCATCCCTCTCTCATCGTATCTATCTATCTATCCGTCATCGTCATCCATGGTCACGACTTGTCTAGCTTGTGTAGTTAGCTAGCTAGCTAGCTGGTGCAGTTCGTTCGTATTTATGTCTAAATATTAAATATATGTATATGTAAGGGTAAGAAAGAAGGTGGTAAAGAATAAATAGATAGTACTGGAGTGTTTCAGGAATTAATCAGTTCAACTGATTGACTAGTCAGTCAGTCAGTCAGTTAGTCAGTCGTTCGTTAATGCTCATTGTATTCATTGCTGTATACCTATCTATCTGTCTATCGAGTAGCCGTAGAGAAATGTTAAATGAATCCATCCATGCAATTACTTCCTGACGAACCCTGTCCCTGTCCCTGACCCTGACCCTGACCCTGATCATGGCTATGCTATAACCGTACGAGATCGATAGTATCATATGGATATATGCAGTGGTTATTATCATGATTATAGTGTATACACATAAATGCAAAAAAAAAGGATGGTGAGGATCTAGTCTGTTCCTACTACCTTGCGTAAGTAGGAAGGCGGGTAGAGATTTCTTATTTCTTCTCAGCAGGAGCATCAGCATCAGCAGCAGGAAACGCCGTCTTCTCAAAGATGAACCCCACGCCATGATCCTCCTCCCTCAAGAGAGAAAGGAGCACCGGATCGCGGATCTGGCTGGCTAGATCCGTGCCCTCCTCCCCATGGTCGTCTGCACCAAAGGCGGAAGGGTCGATGTGCGAGTATTCGGAGAGGAATTGCTGCATCCTGGCTTGGTCGCTGTTCTTCTTCTTCCTCCCACGCGGGTTCTTTGTGTCTTTTTTCTTGTTCTTGTCCTTGGTCTTGTTGCTCTGACGTCGCTGGAGAGGATGGGAGCCTCGTCGGATTTGGGCCTCTTGCGCGTCGATGTCTAGTTGTGATACTTTGATGAGAGTTGGGAGGTCTGGTAGATCGATGTCTTCTTCATCGTCTTCATCATCAGTCTCCTCCTCGTCTTCTGCTGAAGAACAGCTGCTGCTGGATTTATCGTCGGAATCTGTGGAGACTGGACGATCACCTCCGTCGGTGGATGGTGTCCCCCGCCCGCCGCAGTTACAGCACAGAAGATCATGTGTCTGGCATCCTTCGCCCTCATACAGTCGAAATAGGTCCTTGAGCTCCTCCCGCGAGAACTGTGCCATGCCGCCTTTCTGTTCCATGACGCTGTCCGCCAGCCCGATTTTGGTCACTTGTCTCTGCCAGATCTTCTCCTCCAGCCCGCCTTTCAGCATGATGCGATATATCCAGCAGTGGCGTGTTTGTCCGTCTCGATGGATCCGCGCCATGGCCTGCATGTCCGTCGCCGGATTCCAATCGACGTCGAAAAGGACGAGGCGGCTGGCCCCAATCAGATTCAGGCCTGTGCCTCCGGCCTTTGCGGAGAGTAGAAACGCAAAGCAGGTACTCGCGGGACTGCGATTGAAGTCGTCAACGAGCGACTGCCGTTTCGAGGACGGCGTGGTGCCGTCCAGACGCAGGAACGGGAGCGAAAGCGACGTGAGCAGCGTGGCGAGAAGGTTCAATGTCGAGGTATAGTTGGAGACCAGCACGATCTTTTCCGACGTGGTTGTGCGCAGATTATGGAGGAGTTGGTCGAGTACCCTCAATTTCCCGCTCGAGGAAGGGGAGAAATGACGCAGAAGATTCGGTGGCAGCGTAGACAGCAGCGCGGAAACCGTAGCATTCGGTGTTTCGTCTTCCGTCTTCGCAGTGAGCAACGATGGGCTGTTACATAATTTCTTGAGAATAGTAATGAGATGGAATGCACCCTCGGTGTTACCAAGAGCGCTTTGAAAGATGGGCGACGCGAGGACGTGACGGTAGATGCTTGCTTGTATCGCCGTAGGTTCGCACAGGAGCACATACTCCGTTTTTGGCGGCAGGTATTTGGACAGGATATCCGCCGTCCTGCGTAGCATGAACATGGACGTGAGATTTCTGAGCTCCTCACTCCTCGCCTCTCCTTTCTCAATCTCTCTTTTTGTTGCCTCGGGCTGCCTACTCCTCATAATAGGCCCCTCGAATTCTTTCATGAAGTTCTTGTATGTACCCAGAATCCCAGGATTGACCAGGTCGACCGCCGCGAAGAATTCACTCAGATCATTCTGAATCGGAGTGCCAGAGAGGATGATCCTCTTCGTGGTGTTGAGCGCTTGAATGGCCTGGCCGCTCTTGTTCTGTAGTGTCTTTAGTCTGTGGCCTTCATCTGCAATGACGATATCGACCCCGGCACCTTTGATGAGCCCTTCCTGGACGGTTCGCAGCTTTTCGTACCCGACGATCATAACATTATAGGCTTTGCCCATAGTAAAGTCCGTCAGTCGTTTCCTCTTGTCATCGAAGACGAACACGCCTATCCGTTCATTTCCCAGCCATTTGCGGAATTCTTTTCTCCAGTTGTTGATGAGGGTTACTGGGCAAACAATCAACGCCTTCTTGACGACTGGGGGCTCTTCGTAGATCGGATTTTGTTTGAGCAATGTCCACAAGAGTGTGATTGTTTGCAGGGTCTTCCCCAGACCCATCTCGTCCGCTAGGATTGCTCCTTCACCATTGTAATCCCTTAACCCCATGACACACTCGTAAAGAAATTTGACACCCTCCCGTTGGTGTTCGCGGAGGTGTTTGGTAAGGATGGGGTCCACGACGACATCAACAATCGTCTTTCCCTTTGGAACGACATCCGGCCGTTTCATGACCAAGGCGCCCGGCGCATTTGGATCATGACGGGGAATAGGCTGTGCTGCCGGTTTTGCGGAAGAAACTGTGCTCTCTTTCACCGGGTTCTTGAAAGCGTTGCCCAATGCTGCGCTTCTTGGAGCGGCAACATTGAGATTTTTCACGAAGGCATCTTTTTCACTGTCATTCCGAGAGCTTGTCCGACTCAATGGCTTCTTTGCGCCTTCAGTTAGCGTCGCGGAGACTTTCGGCAGCTTTGATGCTTGAGTAGGGACAACAGAGGCTTGTGTCTTCTCACGAGACGCGAGAGGAGACGTCAGGGTTTTCTTTGCCCCTCCCAGAAAAGATCGACCAGACAAGTACTCTTCTTTCGACATGGCGGATTGCACCTCGACATCTTTTCCCCCAATCGTCAAAGTTGCTCCAGGTTCCAGAGTCGAGTTGATCATTATGCGCCCCATGTCTCGGCCTGATACATCCTGAAGATAGCCGTATCCTCCACGGATGGAGAGAATGCCATCGCCATCCCAGGTTTTGTGTTTCTTAGTCGTGAATTTTCGCCTAAGATACGGTAGAAGGGGAATGGTTAATGTCTGAGTAAAGGCATCGAATAGAAAAGGCAACTAACCAGAGAACATTATAATAAGCCTCCACTTCCTGAGTAGAGCCATTATTATTTTCCGTGTTCGCAGAGTTGCTGGCATCGTCTACGGACGGAGCCGCCTTTCCAGTCAAGTTCTTCACCTGGATCAACGGCTTGCGGTACGCAAGCTGTGGCTTCGGCTTATCCTTAGTGCTCTTGCTCTCGACCACAGAAGTGGATGTCTTCTCATCTTTTGCGGACTGATCGTCGTCCTCACTCAACCGCGGTCGTTTCGACGGGTGAGGGTTTCCACTATCTCCAGTTATCGGTGTTGAAGATTCCGCTGGAGGAGGGGGCTTTCTTATCAGCGGAGGACGAAAAGGCTTGAAAACCATGGCGGCCAGCCGATGATTTTCAATAATGCCTCGTTATGGACCGGAGACACTTCGACTGTTCCATCCTGTTGAGATAAGCTGACACGTGCTCTTTGCCAAGGCCATCCGCGACGCGAGGGAAACGCGAACCCACGTGATCACGCTTGATTATTACCGACTTCGAACGAACATCTGGTGTTTCTGTGATTTTTATTGCATTGTACATACAATTGAATTGAACAGCAAGAATGAGTGTTGTATCTACGAAAGAATGTAAACAGAGTGTGTTTCCAGATCAGTCAGCTGAGATTGTGGCGCATTAAAATCCCATTACAATTAGGATCATGTATCGAGGCTGTTACCCCATGTTGACAACAGATATACTACATGTGCATATATATCCAAGAAATGAAACATATTTGAACATGACGAAAACATGGGGAACTCCAGTCTCTTTATAGACCTCACAAGCCTTTAACGACTCGCTCCGCTCGTCTAGGCTTGAAGGGGAAGACTATCTAGGCTTACTAATGCCTATAATGCTCGGGACCTTCGGCCCTCCGCCAGCCTATAATATATGTAAGCCTTTATAAAACCTCTGAGGAAGCCCATAAGAGAGCCATTATGAAGCCCATATAAGCTAATATGAAGCCTAGTATACTTAAGTGCTTATACCTAAATGCTCCGGACCTTCGGCCCTCCGCATACCTTTAATGCAAGCCTATATAAAGCCTCTAGGGGTGCCAGCGTGAGGCCTCTAAGGGTGCCAATATGAAGCCCATAGGCCTATAGGGAGTCCCAGGGCCGTAGCCAACTGTAAGCAGACAGATGCTTACGTAAAAGTTTCAGGCACGTGATTTTTAAGCGGTTTTAACCAATCATGCAGCCGGAAATGTCTTAGTAAGCAACATTATCCGCGAATTCAACCAATCACACGTGCAGAAATTATTAGTAAGCAAAATTGTCCGCGAATTTACAATGTGGGGGATACACAAAGGTGGTAAAATATTGACATAACGATTGTCATTTCCAGTCACAGTGGTCGCCAAAACCAATGTTGGATTTACAACGAGATTCACTTTGCGTCTTCAGCGATTTTCCGATCGGTCAGTGGGATGACTTGCGGTCCTTGGTAGTGGCGCTGCCGGACGAACCACCAGGCGGCGATGAAAATGGTGAAACCGCCAGTGATCAAACTCGCGTAGTTCATGGATTGCGCATTGGTAGGAAGGGAAGCAGGGAAGCAGAAAATGACAATGAAAGCTAAGATGTAGATGCAACTCAGAATGTTAACGATGTAGCCGATTGGACCCTTCATCCAGAAGTATCCCGGTGTGATGAGCGAACGACGGTTCAGGACGTGAGGGAAGATGGCCGCAAAGTAAGAGAGGGTCGAGAGTTGGACATAGGAGCCAACGAAGGCGTTGAAAGCAGTGGTCGAGCCGACATAGATGCATGCAAGGACCGTGATGAGCAGGCCGCAGACCAGCGTTGCATTGAACGGATTGTGCATCTTGCTGTTGATGCGGCCAAGCCAGCCGCTGAAGGGGGTGGCATTGTCCCGCGCAAGCGTCCAGAGAGTTCGGCCGGCGGTGATGTAGCAGCCGATGCAGGTGATCAGAGTGGGCAGAAACGCAACGATCAACAAGCCGAGAGCACCCCCTCTCGTCCCGGTTGCTTGGCGGTAGATTTCAGCCAGAGGAAAACTAAACACACTGTTGACAACCTTATCGAGGTCCTGGATTGAGTAGAAGAGGGCGATCATGTAGAGGAAGCCCGTGATGAAACCGACAGTCATCTGAGCCAGTACAGCCTTAGGGATGTTCTTGCTGGGTCTACAGTTCAATTAGCCACCCCTACTTTCTTTCCTTTGCCAATAAATCGAAGTAAGGAGAGGTAAGTAGCTTACCTTGGGATTTCCTCTGCCAGATGAGAGGTCACATCCGGAGTGCCTACGCTATAGGCACCGTTGAGCATACCAGCGACAAACACAAAGCCCTGACTCGAATAGCCGGTGCTGTTGGACCAACTGCGCCAGACAAATTCATTCGAGGCATAGCCAACGCCATTGACATGGGGCATCACGGCGCAAACGATAATGGAGACGAACACACCGGCCAGAATGAGCACCATGCCCAGGTTCCCGATGTGCGGGAGGGCCCGGTTGGCAAAGAGAACGGTCGCGCAGCAGATCCACGTGCAGATGATGAAGCTCACGAACACGTGCCATGGATGGGGGGTGAAGTCGGGATGGAACAGAGCATACATGGAAACCGTTTGGTTTCCCAAGATTGCCGACATGGAGGCGGCCCCAAAGATCCACGCCAGGGTATTCCAGTACCCGGCAAACCATCCGCAGACCCGACCATACTTGCCCGCAGTGACAGTGGCCCAATGGTAGACTGGTGATAACTTAGTCCCCTTACGTTGAACGAGAGCGCGGAGCTTGAGACATACCACCACTAGCTGACGGGATGGCAGATGCCAGTTCAGCAATCGACGCGGCTACTAACCAGTAACAAACCGATACCGCGATGCTGGATTGACTGTGAGAGGAGGATTATGACTTGCAGTCAGGAGCAGGGAACATACAACTCGTAGATCACTCCCGCGGGTCCTCCATTGGCAATGCTGACCGTCTGAACCAGTTATCAGGGACCGAATTGCACACGAGCAAACGTCTCACGATGTATCGGGGCTGAACCTACCACACTGCCTCCTTGAGCGATCCAGGTGTTTCCCGTCGTGACTGCAATGGCACAGATGCTCAAGAGACTGAAGTTGCGCTCGAGCTCCTGGCGGTGACCTGAAGCGTTCACCAGCTCCCCCGAGGCCTTATCATCATCAAGCCCCGTTATTGCTTCTATTTTGTCCGCAGGAATATCCTCCGCCATCCTGGACCAGATCTCCAGCAGCCGCGCTCGGGATCCAAGGAGTAGCGACTGGTAAGGCCGGGAAAGAAGGGAACGGAAAAGGGAAAAAGAAGGAACAAACGTCAGAAAGGAATGAAGCCCGGGTCGGTCGACAGAAGCTATTAAAGAGCGTGAGAAAGCGTACGCCCTAAAGAAAGCGCCCACGAGGCGTAGCTGGTGCAACGTTAATAGTGACCCAGTCCTATCTCCTCCGTACCGTCACGTCAACCGGGGCACCAGATAGCAAGACGTAACGGCCGGGGCTATCTATGTCTGCACATACATGTCCCAGGCTTTTCCTGGGGTGGACGGAGGCGCATTGGGCAGGCTTGCCCTTATCAGAGGGGTTGCACTTTGGCCATGTCGATTGGCAGAGTCATGGTCGATGTTGTGGAGAGGCCCCGGAAACCATATCCCAGAGAAGCAACTGCAGCAGACACCAAACTCTCTCCCTCGGGGATCAGCCCGGGTGCATGCTGATGACAACGTCGCTCCAGCAGAGTCTACAGTCTAAATTCAAGAATCTTCCAAGGCGACGTTGATAACTACACCTCCCTAACAAGGCATGAGTCGGTGCGACAGACTGGCAGATTGACAGACAGCAGAGACCACCTATCGCCACTCACGTGACAGCGCACCGGGACAGCGAATATCCCCCGAATCTTATTACCTGCAACTATGACAAACCATGCTCAACAGGGTCAAAGGTCAGCTTCACGCAGCTTATCGAGGGGCTCCACCCCATCTGGCTCGGGGCTCTTCTGGGCTCATGCTGCCAAGAGGGTTTTGTTTGGCATTCTCCAGGACCAGTGCCACCGGGCGAGACCAATTGAAAGAACTCCGTACCACTGAACAGCAAGAAGCGACAAGAAGGGACATGCCCACCGTCTACATGTAGCGTTTGATCGCCCAGGAGGTCCTTACTCCGTCTTAGCGAGTTTGACGGCTAATTCATCACCCATCCTCTCAGGCATCCCACTTCGGTGGACCCCTCCAGTCGATCTGAATCTGATAATGGCCAGCCACATCAGGGTTGATCAGCCTCCAGGGCCTTGCTAAACCATGGCTCACATCAAATGTCCCACATAGTGATTTCCAACATTTCAGACCTGATGAGGACCTCTGCTACAGTCTCCAAGCTTCCTCTGGCCATGATTGGCGTTCACTAAAGCACACGCGACTCGAATGGGAAATGCTCTTCCCTTGGGCTTCCAGTCTTGGCAGAAATGGCATAGTGGGTTTTTCTCTCCAGAGCTTCTTGGGGTAGCGCTGATTAAGGTTTGCCCTAGCGAGCCGCGCTACCGATTGACGGCGGAGTATCAGACAAATGCCTCAATGTTAGATGGCTCCATACTACCTAACGAAATTATTGTCTCCATCTTTCAGCAGCAGTTGGCGTCGTTTCTGTTGACTGGCTGAGACTGGCAGCCAATCCATCTTTTCGAGCTCGTATACGGAGGATGAACTACGTCGAAATTGTTCATTGGTAGGACGAGTTATAGATCGGCTCAAGAATCCGGTCTGCTATTCTTGGATGACAGCACGTTATACCATAAATGTCGGCCCCAACAGCCGTATGGGATCCGTTGCTGTTCGATATTCTTTGGCTATACCAGACCGAATGGCGTCACGGAGTTTAATACTGGCATAAGTGGCGTGGCTTAGGAACCAGCAGAGGTCGGCGATTCTCCCGTGTCTAGGCATTTTAATGCCCAGTATTTTTGTGAAGAATTTGCTGCCGGCATCGGTAGGAGGTTTTTGAGTTCTTCGTTCCGCGGGACTACTGTGTGGATGGCAGTGCTAGCAAGGTTCGACTGCAAATAGTCGCCGGGAAGATCCCCGATATCGACACACCATTCATTGATTGATTGGCGTGCCGAGATCCTCTCCGGGGCACCTCGATATGAGGTATCGCGTGTGCTGGTCAGGGGCACGCGCATATACACTCAGAGCATGGACCAGTAACTTGAAATTATTCTTCCACTCACAGGCGATAGCCATGCTGCCACCCAAACCCTGCTGGGCAATTTTTAACCTTTGCCCTAAGATCAGTCCCATCAAGCCGACGAACCCGATAGATCGGCAAATAACTTCCTACCATGCTTGATGACGACACTCTGCACATAGACTGATATGTAACTATGTATACTTCCTTCTTCTCCTCTGTTTAGTTTCCCCCCATCCCGGACAGTCGAAGCAGACGTCGCCGAGCACTGTCTCAGGCGGTGAAATTGGCCGTCTGTCTGACTGCCGTTGATACCTGATTGATCGGAAGAAAAGATCAGCATCCCTGTTGGTGCACAAGACAAGTCACGATGGTGTTGAGCCCGGCTTTTGCGGAGAGTTTCAAGCGAGAGACATGGGCTTTGTACAGTATTGGAATTCTAGGAGCCGTGCTTCGATTGTGAGACAACCAATGCACCCGGTGTTTTCGAGCCGTGTTGACAAAGGGGAATTACAGTGTTGCAAGAATTCGACGACTCGGCATACGAAACCTCCAGACGGATGATTACTTGATGTGTTTCGGTGTGGTGTGGTACACGATCTTATGTGTCGCCCTCAATGAGGTCGCATCCGGAGGAGGATCGAATTTGATGACGCCCCAGGATATTGCGGCCTTGACGCCAGCAATCCACGCAGAGAGAGTGCGAGGGAGTAAATGGGTGTTCGTCTCCGAGCACGCCTTTATCCTGACCATCTGGAGTTTTAAGGCCTGCATGCTTGTGATCTATGCCCGCATCACGTAGGCTCCCCTCCTTCTCGTCAGCTTGGTTTCCCATAGAACGCTGACGTCTTTCATGCTTATGATGCAGAGATGGACTCCGGCAAAAACGTCTGGTCAATTATTGTGCTATCTACGTCGGCCTCGGGTTCGTCGGCACTGAGCTCGGCTTGTTCCTCACCTGCCTTCCGCTGTCCAACTACTGGGCTGTTCCAACTCCGAATCGTGAGTCGATCTGTCCAATTTGTTGCTCGCCTTCCTAGCTGACATCGGGCTTTCTTTCTTCATTCTTCAGCGCAATGCTCCACTTATCAACACTATGAGATCATCCAGGCCTGTTTCGCGATTACGGCCGATATCTTCATGTTGCTCGTCTCAATTCCGCTCATTCTCAAGATCCGCGTTCCTCTGAAGCAGAAATTGATATTAGTTCTTCTGTTCGGCATGGGGATCTTCGTCATCGTGGCCGCCGTGTTGACCAAGATTTACTGTCTCGTCCCGAGTCTGATTTCATACATCTACATGAACTGGTACTTCCGAGAGGCGACCGTTGCCATTCTGGTCACCAACCTGCCGCTGGTCTGGTCGCTCCTCCGCGACGTCTTCCCCGGTCTGAAGAGCTGGACGGGCGGTTCGAAAAAGACGTCTGATCGGTACCATACATACGGTGCCTGGAGTACTAAAGGGACCGGCCCTCGTAGTCAATACGGGCCAGGGAGCCGAGTGCGATCCACCTACGATATGCAGGACTTGGAGCAGATGCCTCAAAAGGAGTCGGGTTCCGTCAGTATGCGTCAGAGTGATGAACGCGGGGACATGAGCAGCGACGAGGGTTCTGCTCGCGCCCTCCGCATCCGACAAGAGATTACAGTGACGGTGGAACATGATAACCGAGAGTCGGGGGTGCCTTCACAACTGTGGGTATCGGAGGGGCACGCCACGCCTCGATCCAAGACGCCTTAGTAATGTGTTTATGCGTTATGTCTGTATAGTCATTTGCATGATTGTCTCTGACCCACAAAAGTTGTCTACGTGATGGATTAACGAGATGGATTTGCTGGTCCAAAAAATTCGCTGCTTACATTGTCTTCCGGTTTCTTTTCCTCCTTTGCCTTGTTGCTCGGCGTCGGCTGAACGGATGATGCGAAATCGGCGCGCAGATCTGAATGATGTGGACCTGACAGGGGCCCACAGCGTCTAGCGTCGCGCCATCGATTAGCCTCTCAGGGGTTAGGGCCGTAGGATCATTAGGATGGATCTTCAGACTCGGCTGATCCTACCTCCGTACAGACGTCGACTCGGCAAGGTTTGCCAAATGCCATCGTGGACATTGCGTCAACAGTGATGTTATCAATAAGAATTCAGATCTCAGGCCCTTCGAAATAAGAATATGATCTTGGCGCTGGTTTTAGGCTTTACTGGAAAGGTTCCGCATCCTCCCGATGGATGAGTTCTTCCAATCGACGATGGACAGTATGCCTACGTAGGCAACTAGTCACAGACTTACAGCGCGCCCTGCAAGGGACCGGGAAACTGTGGGGAGCTGGCCCCATCTCCACAAGTGCTGACATTATTACGGAGTAGGCCACAAATCGGCTCGTCTGGCGGTAAGCACTAGGCACCACGGAGAGGAACCGAGGCCGGGCTGAGGACCGGGGGATAAGGGATTGCGAGTTTGCCGGGGAAGATGGCCGAAACAAAACAAGCACAAAAGGAGATCAGAAGCATAGCTGCTTACGCAATTACTCGGTAGCGAGCCTACGATCCACCCGGCCAAAGTTCAATAGACCGATCACCAAAATCAGAAATGGTTAGTGCAACATTAGTGAGGATGGCATTGATTGACGATCTTTGTCAATTATCAGCCACTGGCCTCTCGAAATGCAGTCATGCCCTGCCCGATGGCTGCAGGGATCTGCAATCTTCTTCACGGAGGGCACCGGGACGATCATATCGCCATGTGTGAGGTAGATCTGGGACAGGGTCCATTCTAGAAGACATGCATGACCCAGATGACGTCGATGACTCTATACAGTACTCTATACTCCGTATACAGGATTCATCTTCCGCACCTGTCAAAGCGCATCCTACTCTGACGTCTCCGTCTTCCGCGCGGAGTACTCCGTGTTCCAACTTCCGGGGGGATATTGTCCTCGACTTGCATGGAGTACGGAGTGCTCATTCCACGGGACGGAACCGGTCTTCCTGAGCCGATGCGAATGTCTGGCCTTCATCGAGAGGACCTGGAGTAGCAAAGACCATGGATGCAAGTGGGCCTGTACCGGAGTCGGTACCGCAGAAGCAGGTCTGGATCAGGGACCACGGGCATCCTAAGATACCCAATCACGTTGACTACGAGTGATGTTGGAGTCGACAGCGTAAAGTCTAGATCTGTTGTCGTACCGAGTATTCTAGGAGTATTTTGAGTTTACGATATATTCCGGTCCACTTCGCCTACACAAGTGACAAGGGTATCCTCTCCGAAGAATCTTAAGCGTTTTATCTGTACACCACAGTAACTAAAACAAACTTTAGAAATTTCTTGCATCCTCTGTTCTAATTTTAGGTTTCATCATCTTAAGATGTCTTGTCGCATCTAACTAAGTGGAGAGAGGTTGCAATGTTATTCATAGCGTCCGTAGAAAAGAGAGACACCTTGCCTCAAGATACCCATCGCAAGATAGAGAGGAATTTTCTTCGCTTGAAAGCAACTACCTGTAGAGTCTTTTTCTTGTTTTTCTAACCACCTTCCCGATACAGATGTAGTGATGTTATCATGTTATCAACACTGCTCTGTATCTGTTATCGCCAAGAATATCAATTAATTATTACCCCGCAGTAAAGACCCCTCCAAGTTAGCCTAGGTAATAATACCTTCAACATCGACCTTTTTGGCAAGTAATATGTAATTCCATATCCTGTGTACTTGCTCAATCTTCATACTTCTCATCACATCAGACGTGTCACGTGAGTTTTGAATTGGTTCAATTCAATTCAATTCCAATAGAAAAAAAATATAAAGATGCCGTCTTCCTTTCTCGGCCTGGAGGGCCTGCATGTCTTTATCACTGGCGCGGCTGGGGGGATTGGCAGCCAGGCGGTGCGGGAGTTCCTAGGTTCGTTTGTTCGTTCGTTCCATTCCATTCTATTTCTTCTGCATACCTAATTAAATCGTCTTCGTTGGATTGAGTAATCTACGAGAATGAATTTACATAAATGCGTTTTTTTCGACCAAGTTTTTTTTTTCCCCATTTGTCTTGGTCTAAATCGCCAAATCGTGTTGACTAGACTGTACCTTAATAATCTCTCGTGTTTCGACTATCTTCTCACTGTCTATTATTGATGATCTCTCGAACAGCTCCTGACAACCCCAGACCAAGGATGCAAGGTCACCGCCCATGACCTCCGTCCCATCCAGCTGCAGGCCTCCTCCGATCCAGCCCGCCTGTACACCCTCACGGGCGACATCTCGGACGAAGAGTCGATCCAGTCCTGCATGGAACAGGCCCGGAAGCGGTTCGGGCCGATCAACATCCTCATCGCCAACGCTGGCATCACGGACGAGAGCAACGCCTACCCCATCTGGGACCTGCCGCTGGACGTGTGGGAGAAGACGTACCGCACCAACATCCGCGGCACTTTCCTGACCATCAAACACTTCCTGCGGTGTGCGCGCGCCGCGCAGGAGGCGCAAGGCGGGGCGGAGCTGGAGAACTTGGCCATCGTCGTGACCGGCAGCGAGACGGGCAAGTTCGGCCAGGCAGGCCATGCCGAATACGCGTCCGGCAAGGCCGGGCTGCAGTATGGGCTGGTGCGAGGGCTGAAGAATGAGATTGTGCGGTTGAACCGCAACGCGCGCATCAACGCTGTTGCGCCCGGATGGGTTGATACGCCGATGATTGAGGGCCGGTTGGACGATCCTAGAGAACTATGGGCCGAAGCGCAGGCTACGTAAGTGCTCCTATCAGAGGTTGTTTGTCTGTATGTATGTACTGACTGATATGCAGTGTCCCTCTCAGAAAGATCGCCAAACCAGAGGATGTCGCCCGTGCGATGGCCTTTTTGGCTTCTCACCGTGCGGCGGGCCATATCTCGGGGGAATGCCTCAGCGTGGACGGCGGCATGGAGGGCCGTTTGATCTGGAGAGAGAACGAAGTTGTCAAGACCTCTCCTGACAATGCCAGTAACAAGGACACATTGTCTGGAGGGCGCCCAGAGACCGGCTTGCAGACTATCCCCCGGTCAGTTCCCAGACCGACACGGAACAAGATCCGGGTGGCTATATCTATCGATTTGGACGCTGTTTCAGGATGGCTGGGGACGGGTAGGCTGCTATGTCACCTACTACAAGGATGCTTTTTCCTTGTCAATTAATTCATGCTGATCTGGATAATACAGGATACTCCCCCGAAAACATCCTCGCCGACTACTCCGCCGGGTTCTTCGCTGCCCGCGTCGGCGTCCCACGACTGCTGAAGATGCTGAAGAAAGTCGGCCTCGCCGACCGTGTAACCTGGTTCATCCCTGGCCACTCTGCGGAAAGCTTCCCCGACGAAGTGCGACAGGTGGTCGAGTCCGGGTGCGAGATCGGCCTGCACGGGTATGCCCACGAGGGGGCATACTCACTCACGGTCCAGCAGGAGCGCGACGTCTTGGAGAAGTGCATCGAGATCGCGACCCGACTCACGGGTAAAAAGCCGGTGGGATATCGGGCGCCGCTGTATCAGGTCCGGGAGTCGACGTTGGACTTGCTGGAGGAGTATGGGTTTGAGTATGGTGCGTCTGTCTACACTTCTCCAATAGGTATGACATTATTCTAATGTTGATGACATAGATGCGTCTCTCACCGACCACGACTGCCATCCCTTCTTCGCCCCGCGCCGCCCACCTCTACAGCCGATAGACTACAGCAAACCGGCCTCTAGCTGGATGCACCCGGTTCCCAGCAGCAGTAGCAGCAGCAGCAATCAGCACGACCGGCGCCCGCTAGTCGAAGTACCCTGCAACTGGTACATGGAAGACATGACACCAATGCAGTTCCTGCCGCACGTGCCCAACTCGCACGGGTACGTGGACGTGCGCGTGGTCGAGCAGCTCTGGCGCGACCGCTTCCTATGGATCCGCGACAACGAGACGGACGAAGAAGACGCCGTGTTTCCGATGCTCATGCACCCGGACACGTCCGGGATGGCGCACATCATCGGCATGGTAGAGCGCATGATCCGCTGGTTGCAGGAGTGGGAGGCGGCCGGTGAAGTGGTGTTTGCCAGACGGGCGAGATTGCAAGGTGGTGGAGGGAGAGGCATAGATAAGACGTAGACGAGCGGAGCGAGTCGTTGAAGGGTTGTATGTAAGTAAGTATTTACCTATATACTGTACATGTACTGTATGTACGTACCTCAGATTGACCGATAGAGATACGATCAGTAGATAGATAGATGTCCTTGATATGAATGAAAGATGAAAGAATGAATCAAAGTCTAGATATCAATCCTGTATATTTATATATACGCTAGTAACATTACTACAAGACCATATATACATATTCTTAGGTAGAGAAGGGGAAAATAAAGTGACTTGAATAAAAGAAAAACACTGTATAATCTTGTGAACTGTATATCTGTATGTATGTCTATATTACATGAATGCATGTGTACATAACATCATCAATCATCAATCAATAAACAAGCACAAGCAATAACAATCAATACAATCCCACCCAAACGCCATGCGTGCCATGCCATGCAAAAACAAAACCAAAACAAGAAAAGAGAACAAACAAAAGGCTTGTCTTTTCATAACTTCATCATATCAACAATCCTGGCCGCCAGTTTATATTTACTCGTATAGATCCATGTCGCCGTTATTCTCCTCAATCTCGGCGACTGCCTCCTCCGAATCGACCATGTCTTCGTCGTCCTCCATCTCGCTGTCCGTGTGGTTGGGCAGCACGTCGATCCGGCCGTCCTTCATGACGACCTTGGCCGTCTCGCCTTCCTTGATGGCTCCGCGCAGCAGCAGCACAGCCAGCCGGTTGAGCACCTCGCGCTCGATCAGCCGCGACAGTGGACGCGCGCCGTATGCGGGCGAGTAGCCGGCGTCGCCGAGGTAGTCTTTCACTTCGTCCGTGCATTCGATCTTGACGTCCTTGCCGTTCTGCTCCAGACGCCGCTGGATCTCGCCCAGCCGCAGGTCCACGATCTGCCGGATCTCGCGTTTCGTGAGCCGGTTGAAGATGACGATGCTCGAGATCCGGTTCAGGAACTCGGGCAGGAAGTAGTCGCGCAGCGCGCCCATGACCAGCTCGCGCGTCTGCGGCTCGATCCGGCCGTCCTTGGCCGTCGGGCGCGACAGGTATTCCGCGCCCAGGTTGGACGTCATGACCACGATGCAGTTCTTGGCGTCGACGATCCGGCCTTGGCCGTCGGTGATGCGTCCGTCGTCCATCAGCTGCAGCAACACCGTCAGCACCTCCTTCGCCGCCTTCTCGACTTCGTCAAACAGCAGGATCGAGAAGGGACGCCGCCGCAGGTTCTCTGTCAGCTGTCCACCGGCGTCGTGTCCAACGTAGCCTGGAGGAGCGCCGATCATGCGGCTCAGAGAGTGCCGCTCCTGGTATTCGGACATGTCGAACCGGATCATCGCCTTGGGGTCGTCGAACAGGAATTCCGCCAGCGCCTTGGTCAGCAGCGTCTTACCCGTGCCCGACGGCCCACAGAAGAGGAAGCTGGGAGGCGAGTTGGGGTTGGCCAGCCCGGAGCGTTGCAACCGGATCGCATTCGACACCGACTGCACAGCTTCCTTCTGACCCACGACGATCTTGCCCAGGTGCCTCTCCATGTGCAGGAGCTTGTCTTTCTCCGTGGTCTTGAGTCTCGTGACCGGGATACCGGTCCATCGGGCGACGATTTCGTTGATCTGGTCGGGGCCGACAGCATCCGCCAGGAGCGTCTCACCGTTGGGGCCCATACGAGCCCGTTCTTCGGCATCGGCCCGCGCTCTTTCTTCTTCGAGCTTCTGGATGTGGGACTGGGTCTCAGGAATAGCGTAGTATTCAAGATCGGCAGCGGTCTGGGTGTCGCCCGAACGCATAGCCTCGTCTCGCTTGACCTTGAGCGTGTCGAGCTTCATCTTGGCGTCCTGGATATCCTTGCTGCGTTTCTTCTCCCGCTCGTATTTCTCGCGCAGTGGCCGCAGCTCTTCAGACACATTGGCAGCTTCTTGCCTGGCCGCCTCCAGGCGTGCTTTCGAGGCCGGATCCTGCTCGCGCTCCAGGGCGTGGATTTCAATCTGCAGCTGACGCAGCTTTCTCTCCAGGTTGTCGAGCGCTTCTGGTTCAGACTCGCGCGTGACGCGGACTGCAGCTGCGGCTTCATCGATCAGGTCCACTGCCGAGTCAGGCAGTCGTCGAGCGGTGAGATAACGAGCTGCCAGCGTCGCGGCCGTCACGATAGCACCGTCCAGAATGTTGACACCGTGGTGAACTTCGTATTTCTCTTTGAGACCTCGGAGGATGGAAATGGTCTCATTCACCGAAGGCTCCTTGACCAGGACCTGCTGGAATCGTCGTTCGAAGGCCTGGTCCTTTTCGATGTACTTGCGGTATTCACCCAGAGTCGTGGCACCGATGCAGTGCAGCTGGCCTCGGGCCAACATGGGTTTCAGAAGGTTGGCGGCGTCCATGCCTCCCTCGCCGCTGGAGCCAGCGCCCATGAGCAGGTGGATCTCGTCGACGAAGAGGATGATCATTTCGCGCGACTCCTCGATCTCTTTGAGGACGCCCTTCATGCGCTCTTCGAATTCACCACGGTATTTGCTGCCAGCGACGAGCGATCCGACGTCGAGGGAGAGCAGCTTGCAGTGGGCCAGATTGGCGGGCACATCAGCGTTCACGATCCGGCGAGCAAGTCCTTCCACGATGGTGGTCTTTCCAACACCGGGCTCTCCAATGAGAACCGGGTTGTTCTTCGTTCGTCGGGTCAAGATGCGAATGACTCGTCGGATCTCTTCTTCACGGCCAATGACGGGATCGATCTTCCCCTCGCGCGCCAGAGCCGTCATGTCGACGGTGAATTTCTTGAGGTGCTCCTGCTCCTCTTCTGCGTCGGCGGTTTTCGAGTCGACCCTCCGGTTGCCGCGAATCTGCTGCACAGCGTTCTCAATGAGCTTGACGTTCGGGATGTTGGCGTCGGCCAGGGCGCGCTGGATCTGGCCGTCCTGGGCGAGCGCCATGATCAAGTGGTCGACGGCGACATAGCTGTCTTTCTGGGTCTTGGACAAGTCGGTCGCGGATCGAATCACCTTGGCGAGAGCAGGGGAGAGGGCGACGGTTTCTGGCGGAGGATCTTGGCTGGGTTGGCGGACCAGCTGCTTCATCAGAGCGCGCTCCAAGAGCTGAGGGTCGCCATGGGCGCGCTCGACGACTTGTTTGAAGAGAGGCACACTCGGGGCTTCGGACGGTCCTGAGGGTTGCTTCGCCTCCTCGTCTGGAGGCGGGTTGAGCAAGGACACAGCGAGATGGAGGGGAAGGAGCTGGGAGTGGGCATATTGTTCGGCGAGGTTTTTCGAGTCGAGCAGGGCTTTATTCGCCCTGTCTGTAAATTGCGCACCGTTCATGGTGAGAGGAGTAAGCGAGAGTGTTGACTAGGAGGAACAAGTTCAAACCGTCATATGTCGTTCGCCCTAGACGGGACGAAGAGAGGTAGGGAAACCTCAAGCAAAGTCGAATGGCGCGTGTCAAACGAGATGTCAAGAAACTGTGAGGAGGAAAGAAAGACAGCACGAGGACGGGGGCGAGCGCTGGAGGGTAATATAGGCCGTCGTGGGCATTGGAAGACGCTTCCGGCATGCTCTGGACGGGCCCCGCGGGTGCGCGCCGCTTCGCCCGCCTTCCACATTGTTCTCGCACCCGCTGGCACCATCGACGTCACGTCACGTGCCGAGTCATGATCTCACCCGGAGGCGCAGCTCTGGCTCAGCCCATGAACTGGCATGAAGCAGCCTCCCTAACCGTTTGGATTTAGGTTGCTTCCGCAGCGGCAGCGGGCAGCTCGCATCTGGAATCCTGCCCGATGCAGTTTAGAACAAGGCATTCAGGCATGCACGCGGTTTCGAGAGCGCTTCTTCGCCACGTTGCCCCTGGACGCCCGACTGTTTCTCCCTGGTTCGATGCTTCGCCACAGACACCGCGGACCGCATTGCTTCGACCATGCAATCCTACATGTGCGACGATTGCCCGACAGATCAGAATACAGTCGACGATGATGCTGGAGCTCTCTGGAGTCGTCTGTAGATTTGCGCTTTGGGAATAGCGCCATGTCACGTTCTATCTCAGCCGCTATACTCGATCCGGTTTAAGTCACGTGATAATAACGTGACGATACTTTATGGTCACGTGACTTAGCAGCAGGTCGTCGATTTCGTATTCTTGTCACGAGCCTAGAAAAGCTCACAAGACGAACTAGTATAAGTCGATATACGCCCAGCCAATTGTTCGATAAGAGNGTTTAGTGCCGCTCTCAGACCAACAGGGCTGCCTCGTGGCGGCAGGAATGGTCGAGCGGGCCGTCCGAGCAGAGCGCGGCAGCGGGTCTGCCTAACTGCCTACCTAACATGACGATCGCGATTTTACTACTCCGTAAGTACTTCGTAGTAGTGCTTTGTTGCGGATGGACTTGTACTGTTTACTCCATAGCCATCATGGCAACACACTGACTTGGACGGATCCAGACGCAACATTCCAGTCAACCATGGACACTTGCCTGCCTAGGTCGCCGGCTGATGACGTCAAGAAGGGAGGGGTTCCGTTTGTGAGATCTGCCTGATGCGGCAACCGTGCCATGCGATCTGTGGCATACCACTAGAAAATAATAAACTTACGAGATACTTTGCTTGTCGCGACTCAGAAAGCAACAAAAGAGACCTTGGATTGCTGCGTGGGGGAACACTGCAACAGCATCCCACCTGTCGAGTGACATGGTCACTGGACCTCGTCCTGCGGAAAGACTGCAAGTTACCTGCCTAGACGAGTCAAAGCTGTGCGAAACACGACGTTATTATATAATTTCCGCGACGGTTAGAGCGCTTGCCACCTGCCAACCAAGGACGATGATTGCCTCGTCCATCGTGCAGGCTCCCCCTTGCTCGCGACGCAAGGTCCCCTACGGGCTCTACCGAGGAGCGTGCCTGAGCCTCCGACCACCCCTTCGCTCGTGGCTCTGCCTTGGCTCGCGCAGGGATACTAAGTTTTCCGATCCAGGTAAATCTCTGAACTGGTGGTTTTTAAGCCGTTCTCTGGAAGCCAGAGTCGTGTTTACTTTTGCACCCCTTGCCTTTTGCCTATTGTCTTTCTGACACCGTTCGAGTGCAGTTCCTGGCAGCCGGTTTAAATAGTCCTGATAGTCGCTTGCGTGATCCGACGCATCTCTTGTGTGCTTGCCCGATCGACCACTACGATTGGATCAGCCCCGATTAAGATGTCCAACAAGCCTATTTTCGTCGCGACCCATCCCCGGGCGTGCTCCACTGCGTTTGAAAGGGTGCTGTATCTCTTTATTTCTTCTTTCCTTCCCCGCTGACTGTCTCACCAGGTCTTTATGCCCGCCGTGAGACTCTGCGATGCATCCACGAGCCGTTTGGCGATGCGTTCTACTACGGTCCGGAGCGCCTCAGTGAGAGATACGAGGAGGATGAGCAGGCGAGGGTCGCCAGTGGCTTTAGCCGCTCGACTTTCAAGACCGTCTTTGATCGGATTGAGAGGGAGTGCGCTGAGGCTGAGGCTGAGGTCCGATCTTTCTGATATTTTCTGTCTGATAGCTATTCCCCTTGCCACTGGTTTTCTTTGAACTCCAGCATCTGGCTGGAGAGACTTGACTGCCTATCCATCATCTCTGGCCAGGGTGTCCATATTACCACCGTCCTTCCACCGGAGCCACTCTTCACCTCGTGCGATCGATACTTACCGTGACAACAGGGAAAGCGCATCTTCATCAAAGACATTGTCCATTACCTGGTCCCTCCGGACGGCAAACCCGCCAGCATCGCCCCGTCTCTGCTGAAGGTGAAACGCGGCATAGGCACAAATGGCGAAGTCAACGGGCATAGCGACAGTCACGCCAACGGAGTGAATGGCGTGACTGTCAACGGGAATGGGCTTGTTTCTTCTAGCAAGCCCTACCCGTACGGGACGGAGGCGGAACCGGGCAACCCGACCGTCGTGCCCACCGAGCTCTTCTCCCGATTTCACTTCGCCTTCCTCATCCGCGATCCGCACTACAGCATCCCGTCGTACTACCGGTGCACCATCCCGCCGCTGGACGAGGTGACGGGCTTCTACGAGTTCTACCCGTCGGAAGCGGGCTACGACGAGGTGCGGCGTGTGTTTGACTACCTGCGCAAGGTCGGCCTCATCGGACCGAAGATCGCGACTGACGATGCTCCCTACCAGAACGGCGTGAACGGGACCGCGAATGGTACTGGCCACGGAAAAACCCAGGGCGTCGAGATCTGCGTGGTAGACGCGGACGACCTGCTGGAAAACCCAGCTGGGGTACTCGAGGCGTTCTGCAAGAGCGTTGGCCTGAAGTTCGAGCCGGAGATGCTGAGCTGGGACACGGAGGAAGACCACGCGAGAGCCAAAGAAGCGTTCGCGAAGTGGAAGGGGTTCCACGAGGATGCGATCCATTCGACTGGACTGACAGGACGTTGTCAGGTGAGGCGTCCTTTCTCCGAGAACGATCCCCCAGACTAACACAAAGTCCCCTCACTGATCCACAGAAAAAGAACTTCAAATCCGAGGAAGAGTTCGACGCCGAATGGCGCGCGAAATACGGCGAAAAGGGCGCGCGCATCATCCGCGAGACGGTCAACCGCAACATGCCGGATTACCTGTACCTGAAGCAGTTTGCGCTGAAGGTGTAGGTAGGCAGGTAGCCGATCTTGTCAACAAACGAGCGGAACACGACGACGACGACGATGATAAAGGATGAATAAATGAGTCGTTCTCTTTCCCCCCCCCCTTCACCCTCTTTTTTGCTGATTATCACCGATCCTCATCCTTTCTTTGTGAAGGATGACATTTTTTTTAAAAAAAAAACAAAGAAAGAAAGAAAGAAGGTTAACAAACCTATACTGTTATAACCTATTGCTTAAAAAAATCGCTTGCTCAGTCTTGACTTGACCTGACTACAGTAGCTAGTTAGCTACCTAGCTACCTAGTTTACAGCTACTGTAGTTAGATTACTTGCTTACTTACTTGCTCGATTACTTGCTTAAAGAATGAAGAATGATTTTTATTTCTAGCTACTCCGTAAGCCTTTTCTCTTCATTTCATTGCTTTTCTTCCTCCCGTTGTACAGTACAGTACATAGATACACATAATTGACCCTCGAAGTAAGTAAGTACTCCGATATCTAGATCTAACGCTTAAGTCAGGGCAGTAAGTAAGCAAACAAACAAGCAAACAAGAAAAAACCATAGATATACCTAGCCATACAGGATAGATAACGAAACGAATAAATAATTTTTTTTAAAAAAGTAATGTATCTATACATATATTGTGTACACAAGCCTATATTATATGAATGACATGCCCGACATGACATGATATCAATTGCATTGCATTGCATTTTGCTCTTTGCTTGTTCATGCAATGTCGTCGTATCAGTTAGTCAGTCAGGTCACATAAAGCGAAAGTTGAAGCGAAAGCAAGAAAAAAAAGGCAAATAGAAAGTAGTCCTGCCTGGGTCGAAGTGAAAAAAATAAATAGAATTGAAATGATATGATATGATAGTAGTAGTATGATTGGATAGGATAGGTAGGATAGGATATCCTGATCCTAGCAAAAAAAAAAAGAAAAAAAGATGAATATGTCCCATACATAACATAACACCGCATAACATCCCATCAACATGAAAGCGAGGAATAAGCGAGCCCGAACTGATCTGATCAGATTGATAGATAGATAGTAGATAATAGTAGATAAGATAACGTTGCGTAGTCCTCCGTAGTAATAAGACACAACACATCAATCAAACCATATCAAACGAATCAATATTTTCCTCTTTCTTTTCTTTCGAAGGAAACAAAAAAGATCGATTGCTTGCTTGCTTGCTTTCATACTATACAGCACTGTATCCCCCTCTCGCACCAGGCCCCTGTAACGTGTTGATGACTCGGCGGACCCAGTCCTGGAAAATATACGGAATGTCTCGGATCGTGTCGCCGTGCGGCAGGAGATCCCAGCCCCGGGCCCCGTAACGATTGTAGTTGAGCCAGGATCCGAAGATGAGGTAGGCGGCTGCGCAGAGGAAGCCACTGCAGCAACGTCAGCATGAAAACTGACGAATAAAAAAAAATATCTGGGCACTCACATAATGATAATCCACGTAAAGAATCCCCAATGACCGCCAGACTTGGGATTGTCTCGCACGTAGTTTTCGCACGCGTACTTGGTCCTCCAGTCCAGTCTGAGGATGTACGTGTCGTCGACGAGCTTGAAGCTCCTGAACTTTAGACTTCGGCCGGCATTCTCCTTGTCCGTGTCATCCTCGTCCTCATCCTCATCGCCTTTGTCCCGACGTCTCTTCTCTTCGCCGTCATCTTCCGTCTCGGCGACGTCTTCCAGGCCCTCCAGCCCCGTCCGGTCAGGATCGCACTGGAACTCAATCACGGCCGCCGTTTCCTTGGGCTCGGATTTCGGGGTTTCTCTGTATTCGCCCCCGGTCAGCTTCACCAGCAGCCCGTCGGCGTCCGGGTCATTTTTCTTCAGGCGGGTGACCTCGGGGTCCTTTTTGCCGTGACCGAGATGGTCGAATCCGACGATGGGGAACGCTCGTTTGACAATGTTTCCATCCTCGTCGCTGTCCTTGGGTATTATCGTTTCGAAGCCGCAGACTGCAAAAATCATGGTCAGATTGAAGATCAGCAAACAAGCGGATCGGATACGGCAAGCGTACTGTTCTTCGAAGTCCCGCATTTCAAGCCATCCCGGATCGAGGCCCCCTTCAGGATGTTGCAGATGTTCAGCACGTACGTCGTGTTGACGATGTAGTCGTCGAAACGGTCGACGTGGTAGAGCGAATGCACGCCGCCCAGCGGACTGAGGTCGAACTTGACGCCCTCGACGCTGACGCGCGCGCAGTCGAAGCCCACGGCAGAAGCCAGGCCGGGAAGGAGAGAGAACAGCGCAAGCGAAGTCGGCGTCTGTATTCGCATGGCGGCGGCAGCAGACAGGTTGACAGGCTGACAGACAGACGTCGTAGCCAGGGAGCGCAGCCGACGACGGAAACGGAGGAGCTAGCTCAGAGCCACCGCACCGCGAAGCGAGAATTTCGTCAGGGCAGTCGCACGGGCAAAAGAACAGGCAAGGATAAGAATATCAACAACGTCAGGACGCGACAGGTCGTGATAGACGGTGAGATGGACGGGTCAGGGTGTTGCTAGTTGCGGCGGTGATGGCGATGCGAAGGCCAACCGCCAAATAAGAGGAAGAAGCGGGACTGCCCGAACGGGAGCTGCAATCGGCTGCCTTGAGATCCGCAGCCAGGCTGCCAGTCCCCGAGGGCATGATGTCACGCGACAACCTCAAGGACTCTGAATAGGCGATTTCGGGAGATATAACACTGAATCGATCTACTGTCAGGATGATGCAGGGTGTTGCAGGTGAACTGCTTATACCAGGCACTGTTTACAGCATCTCAGCGAATGGCAGGATCCATAGGAGAAATCCTGATAGAAGCGCGTACCTTACTTAGCCACGGACAATACATACTATTTACATGAATTGTAGCTTCGTAACAAATACAAGCATCTTTATATTATGTCTTTCAAGTACTCTATTAAGTATGTACAAGTACTGTACTCTACGAGTAGTAAATCACTTGTCCGCCGACGCACGGACCACTCCGGCGTGGAGCAATTCCAATCGCCTGCACCACAGCACTATCAATCAGTCAATCAGTCAGTCATAAACCTCATTCAACAGCTATACACAAAACAGACAGAACATACAGAACAAATCCCAACCAAAAATGCTATCTCATCATCGCATGGTGAGTTCCACCCTTTCTACGTAGCCTAGCCTCTCCATTTCCTAGGACCCTCTCTCGATCATCCACGTACCTATATATGGCACATCACCCCGCAAAAAAACGACGAGTGAAGAAAAGAACACACTATCAACAGAGAACACCACTCAAGGACTGACATGACTACAGCTCTCAAAAGAAGACGAAGCCTCTGCAGGCGACGACACCGAGGTGCGCCGCGAGGACCAGGACAAGATCAACCGGTTCAGCAGATTGCATCAGCGGGAGTCGATGCTGGAGGAGCAGTTGAAGGCGAAGAGGGTGAGTAGCACCCTTTATTCTCTTGTCTTGTGATTCTTTCCTTTTTTTTTTCGAAGGAAAAGAAAAGAAGGAAGAATCTTCGAAAATTGAATTGTGCAGAATGCCGCGCACTCTATCCATATCTACTATTTGATATCATTTACACCTCCAACATTAACTGAAGACTAACCCTGCCACGAAATAAAAAGAAAGACAAAGAAGACCTCGAAGAAGTATCCACCGAACTAGAACTCGCCGATGAAGACGAATTAGTACCGTACGCAAAAACCCCTCCCCCCCCCCATCCCCCGCCCCCTTTTATACAATCTCCTAAAAATGGTTTATAGGTACAAAATCGGCGACTCCTTCATCCATCTCCCTCTCTCGGAAGCCCAGGCCCTCCTTGCCTCTTCGACGGAGGAGCTTGATGGCGAGGTGTCTCGTCTGGAAGAATCCCTGGCGGATCTGCGAGAGGAGATGCAGCAGCTTAAAGTTGCGCTGTATGCGCGGTTTGGGAGGAGTATTAATTTGGAGACTTAATTTGAATTCTAGTCTCTTCGACTTTTTCGAACTTTGTTTTTTTGTCTTGTTTGATTTAGGCTTATGGCTAGGTGATGACTACCTACCTGGATCTACACAATTGCATTTGCATGATTGCATTACATTCCAAGGCTATCATGTCCAGCTCTCTAGAGATGAGAAGTGGTATTAAATAGGAATGACCTTTGTACATACATACAAATACAGGGTTCACCTCCCTGCTTCAACCCCCAGCGACATCGAATCGAATCAAATTCATCATATCGTGCCTGTCATGTCATAGAGAAGATGAGAATGGCCATGGATTAGTCTGATTAAATATTGGGCATGATATAAACTGAATCTTTGCAAGTATGCACGCTGCTCCGCCGTATCGATGATGCACCGGTGAGGTATCTCTCCTCGTCCCTGAACCAGGGAATGATGAATGATGAATGACGACACCACGCCAGCCTTGAATCATAACCCTAAGTGTTGAAACAAAACAAGAATATCCTCATCATCATGATCGAAACATAGCCCCTGGGTATTGCTCGGTGACTCCACTGGCACAACGCCGTATAAACTCATCATCAAAAAAAAAATTTCACCTTCACAGGTCAACCTCTACACCCGTCCGGGCCCTCTTCTCGACTGGAAAGACATTATTGGCGAAGACAAAGTCATGACGACGTTTTCAAGGACACCTTGCGCCCTCTGATCTCATCGCAGATGAAGAGAACACGCAAACCATGCGAAACTCTCGATGTAGAACTATGATAGCAGACAGACCGGCTGACTAGTCGGGCTAAATGATATTGGCGATCGTCATGCGCGAATTGGCTGGACTGGACCGTTGCAGCGTGGGGTTGCTCTCGGCGCTCAGTTTGGCAGGTTCAGGAGGCCTCGACGCCGGCGCAGGCGGTGCCTCCCTTCGCTCAAACGCCCGGTGGCCACGCTGCAGCTGTTCATTTGCGAGATACTGAACCGTCCGCTCGATCCAATCCCAGCCTTCCCATTCGGCTTGTTGCTCGTCCGCGGAGACGTCGGGACCCCTGCGCACGGCATCGCGAAACCCGGGGGCATACGCTCCCTGACTAGACACCGTCTCCAGCTGGGTGCCCGTCTCGCTGCCTTGCCAGATCCAGCTCCCATCCGTCGTTCCCTGCATGTCTCCCGAGACATAGGCGATGATTTCCTCATCGCGGTCGAGCGGTCGCGTGTCATTCACCCGCAATCGATCCAAGAGGCGTCGCAGGAAAAACGCAACATACCGCCCGCAGGACACGTTCACGCTGCGAGCGTCGCCGATCGTCTTACTGGCCTGGACACACACCAGAGCTGCGGAGAACTCTTCGCGGAAGAGGAGCACGAGCAGACAGCGCCAGATGTGCGTACAGAGCATCGTCGTGGCCGAGGATGTCAGGAGCGTCTGCCAGTCGCCGTGGGCACTCACATATCCATGCATCGTCGAGGGGGGAGGCGGGTGCATGCATCGGGAGAGAACCCGGGTGGTATCCAGCGCGATGGATAGGCATTGATCAAAGGCCGGATATCGCACCTCAGGCGGACACAGAGGGGAGATGTTGTGACGGTGGAGGATGAATCGCGCGTTTTGGAGGTAGATAATGGGAGCCAGAGAACGGGGATCGAGGTAATGGTCCGACTTGGGGTGATACTGGATGGGGAAGGTCGCGAGGCAAGCATTGAAATGGCGCTCGAAGATTTCCAACGTGGCCGAACTGATCACCGGCGATCTCAGCGTCTTGGTCAATTGACCGAGCGACCGAACAACATGAATGGTGGCCAGCAGCGGTGTCGTCTGATGGCCTTCGGGCACCCGTCCACCTTCCGAGATGAACTGCTCGTCCACCGGGCACGGAAGGTCCACGTCGCAGTCTTGGTCGTTGATGGAGATGGGCTTGCCCAATTCCAGGGGAGAGGAGCCTGTCCCAAGCATAGATCCCCCACCACAATCGTTTCCTCATCTCCCCTTCGACAGCTGGCCATGGACCGGATTCAATGTGCAAGCCCAGGTCTTGAGCCAACCTCACCGCCGAACCCAGCCACACCCAGCTGGCCGATTTCGAGTTCATTTCGTACAGGCAGATGCTCATGAGTAGCGTCACGCGAGCCTGGTCGAGAGTGAAGTCGTCCCGCCAGACGTCGACCATACTGTTGACCACGAGCAAATATTCCCGGGCATCCCGCTCTTTGTTGCGTTCCAGCGTGTGCATGGACCCGCAGGCGAAGACCCCGAACAAGACCGCCGTCCACTCTCGAAACGCTCCGCGCAGGGAGCCCGTTTGATAGACCTTCTCGTATTCGGCGACGAAACTGGGCCAATGAATGATGGGGAGAACGGAGTGAATGCACGTGTAGTACTGCCCCAGCAGCCGATCGGCGACGGCCTTGGGCGGGAGGGACGGCGCCGCTTCTGCCGAGAGCACGGAGGGAGGGCACAGTTGGCGATATGGAGGGGGTACTTTCATAATCCCCCTGCCGTAGTTGCGAACATGGGCTCGCACTTCGGAGAGATCCTGCATGACCGGAGGCCGGGTCCGTCGCGGGGGACGACAACCGACGTCCGGCAGCTTCAACACGGGCTGGCCGCTCGAGTCAGAATCGATATCCATGACATTGTCTGCTCGCAGCATGCCCGATCGAAGTTGCTGCAGTTGCTGCTTGGTGGTGTTCAGTTGCTTCTCCAGATCTTGCACTTGCCTGGTCACACCTCATTATTAGAAGCTGAACGACGAAGGAAGCGGAAGGGGTCGAACGAACTTGATGGAAGACATGCGCCGGTTCGTTTCCTTGGTGAACTGGCAACGCACTTTGCGATTCGAGCATTCCGTACAGCTGGTCGACTCGGATGCATCGCACTGGGGTCTCCACAGATTAACTTCCCATGACTTGGAAGATTGGGGAGGTAGCAGTTGCTGACCTTGACTTTGCGCTCACGACAAGCATCGCAGCTGGGGTCTTTTCTCCTCTGTCGGTAGGCTCTCTTCTGCGGCGGCTGCCCTGCAGCGGCGCCCATCTGAGCCTGCACCAGGCCCGCGCTCTCAGGAAGCGATCCATTGACTGGAGGCGCGTCCGTCAAGATGGACGAACGCTCCGCGGGAGACCCGGATCCTGAATCGTAAGAATGCGAGTAGGGAGGAGCAGTCGTCATTGGCATACCGGGGCCCTGCTGGGCGGGAGGATGAAGCAGATGAGCCATTTGCAGCCCGCTGTTGGGTCTGCTCGGAGGAGCGGATGTGAAGGCGGGAGCGGGAGGGAAAGCAGCCTTGGAGGACGCAAGCGACGACGACGACGACAACGACAACGACGATGAATCATAGGCGACGCCTGGCTGGCTGTGATTAGGCGCCTGGGAGTGGAATGAATTCATCATCGTAGAGACGGCCGTCCAACGTCCTCATGGGGGCACAGAAAGCAGAAAACCGGATCTGGGGGACACGATCATGCGATGGCCGGAGAAGCCGAACCCCACAATGCCAATAAAGCGCTGACAGGCCGACCACGCACCAAGAAGGGAAGGTGGAAAACGGCAGAGAGGGGATTAAGCAATCCAAGACGTCCTCCAGATCTCGAAGACGCTGGAGGAAACCGATTGGAAGGCGCACAGAATCCAGGCGTCCGGAAGGTGGCGAGGCGGAGGGCAGGCAGTCGGCTGTCAGTACTGACAGGCTACAGGCCCTTCGGAAGCCAATGCTAGCGTGACGGGGCCTGGAGCGCGCCCTGATATTCGAGAGTCTTGTCGTGGCGTTCTCGCGGCCAGCAGCGAAGGATTGTCGATCCGTGCGAGTCGGCAGGCGCAGCAATGGCAACCATCAGGCGGCCATGGCGGTGCTCCTCCGCACGCCCACCGTGTAGCCCGGGATGCCAGTAGGAAGCGGACGCGCGCTGGGGGGATCGACCATGATGGGGGGAATAGAGAAGAGGAGGAGGGGGGCCCGACAGCAGCAGGACTGGAACGTAGAAGTAGATGCGCAGGGCTTAACCGTGGACGATGGTTAGCCTCCCAGTCGGCTGGGGAAGTTTCGGATGGCAGAGCAGCTGAAACAGGCCGGCGCGCGCCAGACGGCAGCAGCGCGGGGTCTGCTTGCTTTGGTGCACAAGCAGCACGCATATCATCTCCCAGATGGCCTCCCGAGCCCGAGATTCGCCAGTGCCGCCATCACAGGGGCCCGTTCCCCGCCTCGCATGCTTAGAGGTAGCCTAAGTAGGGGACCATGCGCTCCCCAGCCGATGGATCGCCCGCCAGCGCAGCGTCAATTCAGTCAAGCAACGCAACTCGGATTATTTCCATCCTATGACTTGGCTCGACGAGCCCTGCTGGGTCCCGCACTGCTGGCGATGGGCCCTGCAGGCTGGACGGCGGAAATCATAAGTTCATAACCACGGACAGAGAGCCTGACCGCTGCTGTGGCCAGGGTGCTGCCCTAGGCAGGGACGCTGCCCATCTTAAAAAAAACAAATAAAAAAAAACACGCGTGGCTACGAGGGCGAATTCGGAAATCAGATCTCCCTTTGGCTGCTGGAAGATGCTTCCCGAGATCGCCGAAAACCTTGACCAGACTAGTACGGAGTCACTGTAAGCAAAAAGGCTGCGAGCTTAGGCCTGCGATCGCCTGTCGTGGCTCAAGTCCGGTGGGTTCGCTGAAGATCACCTCCAGCCGGCGCTGCCACCGGCAACGGCGCCCGGAACGAACGACGCCTGTGAGTGAGAAGGCTGGCAGCTCTTGGCCGCCTATCCCTTCCCTGCCCGGCAACCCACCGCAGCCACGGCGACAGGATGCCTTCCGTGTGTGATCTGGCCCGGCGCGCTTCCGTCCCTGGGCCCTGGCCACATGGAACACCAGGTCGAAGCCGTGTCGAACAGCGCGGTGGAGTGATCTACGACGTGTTCTCCGGTCTGCGTCCTCCGTGTGGACGAATCATCGCGCGTCGTGATCGACGATCTTTTTCTCCTCTCCTCCCGTCATTGGCGGTCCACGGCGTCGAGACCAGCAGAATCCTCCAAGGCGCTGCTCCGTCATCTCCCTGAGCCGAGCGCGAGTCCGGAACAGGAGACGACAAAACTTTGCCAGCAATGGTTCGGGGTTGTTCGTTACAACGGTCAGCATGGACAGAGGGACCACCAGGTGGACCCTGCTCGAGATGACTTCCGGAGCGTCTTTCCGGATGGCCACATCCCCGTCGCTCCGCTCGTCTTTCGCCACGCGGGATGTAATGCACAGTACGGAGTACATACAGATACGGAGCATATATATGACAAACTGAGCAGAAAGGTGAGTATGCGAGTGCGCATCGTCCTGTGTAAGGGATCGTCTGTTATTCTGTCGAATGGCCAACAAGACTGCCACGGTAAAAGCTAACAGTCGTGCGTTTTAGAATAAGCTCCCGCCTCGGATACTGTCACTGCTAACCTTGGACGGAAATCCTATCCTATCGGCTTCTCAAGGAGCATTCATTTCCACGGGCCTAATAATGGATCGATACCGGATCCTGCAGGGCCATGGGGCTCCGGACCGAGTACACTGTACGCAGCATGCAGCTTGCAGAGCACGGAGTACTTCCGTGCCGTATCACACATCGACAGATTACTAACTACTTAGCGGTTTGCAGTCAATCTTGTTAGTCTGCTTGGCTGCTATGCGAACTCCACCACCTCGTGTTCCGTGACTGTCGCATGAAAATCCATTCTTCTGGTCCATCTTTCGAGTTGATCTCTTCCACCGCCGTTTAAGCCACGCGCTCGACGAAAAGGAGTAAAGATGGGCAAAAAAAAAAGACAAAAAAAAAAGAAAAGAGAAACTGAAAAAAAGGCATCTCCATAACGGCCCCTGGCACTGGCAGGCTGACTCCACCGTCTTAGCGATATCCGGACTGCCGAGGTCGGAAGGAAGCTCCGTAACCAATGATGTCGAGTTTGAAAGCACAACAATATAACTTACTCGACGCGTTGCTACCACACGAAGCCTGCAGGAGCGGATGGTACATATCGTCAACGATGCACAAGATTACCATCCCGTCTGTCAGTCTTCTACCATTTCTCCCGCCGGTCCTCCGGACTGGGAAACCAGCTACAAGGATGGGTATCACTGAGCAGGGACAACCCGGACTGTCCTCACCCCTAAGCGGATGCCTGCAGGGTAGCACAGCCCCGGATGAGCAGGAGGGATCTACCTAGGACCTAGGTGGTATTAATTTAGACGGTTCGACTCTTCGAGGCATCGCTGAGACTCCGTGACCACTGACAGGCGTGGGACCATGGGGCCATGGCCAGCTGACGGCTATATTATATGCCCTGGCGGCTGGGCTGTATCTGTCATGGCGTACTCTGTACGGAGCAAATAGTCTCAAGCGGCGCTCCGCCAGCTTTTGTCAGTGTCCAGCAGACCGGAGCACGGTCGTCGGCTGGCAGCAGGCCTAATTACCAACTAATCTTTCCCCCGCACCGCAACCCAACCCCGATCTCCCCCGGCGGGTGATTGTGAAGCCTGTGACTGGCTGAAGGTCCATCGACCGCAGCCTAGGAAGGAAGGTTGCTTCAGATGGCAGACTCCCAGGATATATTCTGTACCACCAAGGCGGATATGATCTTTCCCCGGGATTGCGCGTGCGGGGAATATCGTTTCTCCTCACATCTACACCGTACACATCTAAGGCGATAAAAAAAAAACAGAACGAGGAAGGATTCCTCGGCACGAGAGCTTGCCGCCTACCTAGCCTTGGAGCTCGGGTGGTCTCCCATTGGCGGACGCTAGCGAGCCGCCTCCCACTGCAGCCAGCAGTCCAAAGCGTTGCTTTACTCCAGCAGGTGACAGGTGAAAAGACCACCGACTGGCTGCACCGGCCGGAAATAACACCCTGCCAACTGCCTGGTCTTGAGCGGAGCACTGGTGGTGTCAACCTAAATCGCCAGACATGACGCTATCAGAAGGTTAACTTAGGCAAGGCCGGAAAAAATGCCCCTTGGGCCCGTCACCGGACCCCGTGACACCTCACCCATGCCGTCGCGACTCGTGGCTCGGTCGGATCCGGCTCAGGCACGATGGATCAGTTTACATTCAACGATACGTCTTCCTGCAGATGTGGCGTCGTCCCCAGACCCTGTCTCCATCACCATTGTGATCAGTCGTTTTCGATACAAGTGCCTGCGATTGTCTACAGAGTAATACCGTGAATCCCATTCCTCAATTTCCTCGGGTTTGCCGCGGCTAATTCTTCCTAGGGCGGTTAGGCCCGCCGAGTCCACGTGCGGTTGACCTGGAAATGACGGGGTCACGTGGCTGGCAGGATCAGGCGGAATGCTGGACGTGGCTGACAGCATTTAATTAGGGTCCAAACTCTGCCACGGAGCAGTTACCACGATTGGAACTGGCCATTTTTCCTGCCGTCTGAGTTTATAAATTAATTTACCGGGCGGACGCCGATGCATCGGGAACCATCAACCATCAGCGTGCGAGCCACACCAATCAACGATGACGTCAGGGATTTTCATGCTTTAGAATTTGGCCCCCTCATCATTCATGCAAGTAAAAGGCGTCTGGAATCCAACGCAGGACAGCCCTCGCACTTTGCCAAATTTAGCCTTGAACGCCGATGGCTGGCAGACTGCTCTGGGCTTCTCCACTGGGGTGCCAAAACGTCGGGCCAGAGCGTCATCGGGATATGCTGAAGCAGACAGACGTGAAGCAGACGTGCAAAGGATGCGAGCGCGTGCGGATGGCCGGACCGAGGGCGAAGATCGGTTGAATCAGGAGGGGTAATCATGGAGCAGACACGACCACCCACACACAAACATGGCGACTGACTCCTGAGTCGATCAGATACACGTCTCTTGGACTTTCTCTTGTGGGTGATGATACTGTCAACACTGGGGTCTCCACGTCGACGGCGTATTGCCGATTCCTTGATGCCACCAAGCCTCTCACGCAAAAACTGACAGATAATAGCTAATTCTAGCTAATTCCCCCTACATACAGATTACAGATGATCACGCCGATCAATACTACGGAGTAATACTGCCGGAGCGGTACATCTCCGGGCCGTATCTTACCGGTTGTACGGAGTACGTACGTTAACATCACATTTTAACCACCACAATACCAATGACATATCCAAAGGGAAAAAAATTTGGTCGTAATTAAAATTATAAGGTTAAGAAAGAACGCCGCCGAGATAGTGCACAGACCGTGGCGAAATAATAATAATTACGGAGCACTGCCGAAATTACACCAATTTCATTTCACTAACCAGAGAAAAAAAAAGGCTTGACACAGCACGGAGTACTTACATACGAGGGAGACCAAGTTTATTTATTTATGACTTGTCACAAATATATCGAACATCCTTCTAGCTACAGATAATTAAATTAAATTAATTAATTAATTAACTTGGAATCTAGGGACCCTAATTCAACATGCCTGCTTGCCTTCAGACAGGATCTATCTGGCCAGATTTTCTTCTCTTTTTTTCTTTTTTTTTCCCTATTATTAACCAAGTTCGACTTGAAGTGCTGAACTTGTTTTCCTTCCCAAGCCTTTTTTCCTTTTTTCTCTTTCCGCCTCCACAGGTAACTACTTACAGTACATACATAGGCTAGCTAGCTAGCTACACGTACAGTACAACAAGCTAAATATATCATCGAATGGGAATTGTTATTATTAGTATTTGATTGAATTATTCGATTGAAATGAATTATAATTATTACCCGAAAGTTTCTTTTTTTTTTCTACTCCTCCTGATATTATTTTTATTATTTTCGTCATGTCGGTATGTACAGTACAGTATGTATGTGTTAGTATCTGAGTTTACGTGCACTTACTCCGTATGTACTCGTTGCATACAGTAGTCAGTCATACAGTAGATATCCATATGAGGTCTATAGACTCCAAGGTCCCTCCCTCCCTCGGGCTCCTCGAGTCAAGTCAAGTCAGATCAAGTAAGCGACTCGAATTAACTATCAATTAATTAATCAGTCAGTGAGTTCATCAATCAATCAATCAGCCTGAACGAACAGCATGTACTATTCTATGCTTAATTAGGCAGGCAACAGGCAACAGGCAGGTATATAGTAGTGAAGCAGGTAGACAGCGAGGCAAGCGGGGAACGGACGCAAGGGTAAAAATAAAGAAAGAGAAAACAACCATCTATCTATCCCATTTGGAAAGGAATTTGCGGAGAACAGTAGAAAAACAAACAAAACACACACACAAAAAACTATTACATGCCTGCCTGACTACTCTGAAGTGGTAGGTTAGTTAGATACCGTACAGTATGTACAATAACACGACATTGCGCACAGTAATAATAATAATAATAATAATAATAATAATAATAATAATAATAATAATAATAATAATAATAATAATAATAATAATAATAATAATAATAATAATAATAATAATAATAATAATAATAATAATAATAATAATAATAATAATAATAATAATAATAATAATAATAATAATAATAATAATAATAATAATAATAATAATAATAATAATAATAATAATAATAATAATAATAATAATAATAATAATAATAATAATAATAATGCACATTATATTTGCATATGCCTATATAATAGAGGAGCAGAGGGAAATACATAGGGAGATTATTATTAAAGCTTTGTAAAGCTTTGGATTTTGGATTCTGTGCAGTATTGTATAACAACATGAGTCTCAAAAATACTTTTTTTTGAGTCTAACTTTTCATTCTATAGAATCTCTTAATGCTAAGATAATAGAGTAAGTAAAGTAGTAACTAACTAGTCCAGGAAATAAATCTATTCTATTCTCTCATCACTAACGAGCGAGTCGTGTGCCTTGTAGAAGATCTCGTGTAGTTACGTAGTTCTCTGTTATGAACGTAGAAATCTTCTCTTTATCATTATTATTCTTGTAGTAATATACTATTAGGTAGTAGATGCTGGCTATAGTTGTGGAATTGGATTTCTACAGTGATGTTTATAATTAAGGTATATTGTTGGACCTGATGTGACGTGCTTGACTTGTCCTTTTGTGATGTCATGACCGAATATTCACTCATCTTCTTCCTTTTACGACATAAACTGTTTTATCCTGGAAGTTAGTTCTCTCCTATGCTCTACATCTTTTATGATATCTTTACTATATATACTATATCTCTCCTAGTATAGACCATAAGTCTTAATATGACCGATAAAATCTTCTTCAGCAAGAGTTTTCAAGGAAAAAAAGATCGACTTTACCAATTCCCAATCCTCCTGGATTCTAGAAGAGAAGCTCCTCGAAAGGAACGTTCAAGATAATGAGGCTAGTTATAGGATCCATCAAGCTGCCTCTGCAGCTTGGGCAATTTATGTCTGCAAAAATGTCGACAATCCTGCCCAAGAAGCGATTATGAAAATATACATGCAGTAAGTAACATTTTCCTACATATCACGAAAATTTTGATTTTCTCATTCTTCTACAGAATCCCCTACGCAGGCTCAGAATTCGACCCACCAGAACATAGACAATCTCAAGCAACAGCAACAGGACACCTCACCGGCTTCGCAGCCTCAGAACTCAGCGCTCTCAAACTCCTCACAGAGAAAGCATGCCCGTCGACCCCAACGCTTCTGGATTACAAACACGATATTCAAGGTCCAGAGGGCTTGGTTCCAGGCGGGTTTGTGTTCTATCTGTTGATGAATAAGTTACCGGGGCGGCGGCTTCGAGGGGATTTTTTCTGGCGGGTACTGGATGAGTCTGGAGAGAGAGGAGATTCGTTGGGCGTTTAGGGAGGCGTGGGTGTATGTCTTCTTCCTTCCTCTTTCTCTTATTTGTATTTTACCTCTTTTTTTTTTTAAGAGGTTGTGTATGCACACAGCTAACTTTACACATCTTTGTTGTATATATAGAAACGGTTTCAACGCAGGTCTTGTTCTTTCCTTGGGCACCTACGATAATCTCATGTGGGATGATGCGTCAAAGAAAATGTAAGTTGTTTCTTATTTTTTTTTCGTAACACACCCTGGTGTAGTTGTCCACAGCTAATTTATTTATTCGTATGATAGCTACTTCACAGGTTTCCAATACACTCATTCCCCAGAACCAGATGAAGGATGGGACGACGAGGAGTGGGATATATGGGGTTTACGAACGCCGCCTACTACAGGCTTTCGCCCAAGTAGTCGACCTGCTGCTGATGCTGGTGAGGGAAACATACAATTATTGCTGAAAACAAGATTCGATTAGTTTTGCTTATTCATAAATAGTCGATGTTTTCTTGAGATATCCTTTCTGGCCTCTTTTTTTTATTTTAATTTTTTTTAGTCCTAAGTTTGTCTTGTCTGTAGTGTGTATTAGTTAACTATCCATGGAACAAAACTTGATCTTGCTGCCATTTATGTCATGTCATATGAACCCCTCAAATAATAAATAATTTCAACTTGGTATCCTATCTATCCTTTTGCTATGTAATGTAGCTGGAGCACGCTCACATTATTCTAAGCTGTATACGGAGTATACCCTTTTTTCCAACATTGTCTAAGCAATTGGTCGATTGAAGCCAAAGGCCCAAAGGCTCAAAAATCTGCCGGTTGAATGAACAGGATCAGTTTAGGATAATCGCAGCATTCCAAAAAAAAAAAACAAAGCAGGCTAAACTGATGAATTCAGAAAGATCGAAGATTGGAAATCGAAAGGAAGAAGAAGATGTTGAAGATGAAGAAAAAGAAGAAGATGATGATGATGATCACAAGGGAATAATAAGCTGATTATTACATGTCCCCAAAAAAAAACGCCAAAAAAAAATTAAACTCAAGGTTCAAGAAAGTACACAGCCTCTCTGGTATGATTATCTAGCTTTTCACCACCATCGCTGTCCTTTCCATGTAGGCGCTGCTGTCACGCTATGCTGTTTATTCTATCCATTTACCTATTCTTGTCCATTCCTCAGAGAACTCAGAGTTGATCATGAGCTTTCTACACGTAGATGGTAGATAGATAGATAGATAGATAAACAGGTATAGGTATGTATAATTGATCTTATTCTGATTCTGATATGATATGATACTCTTCTCTACTATCTCGCTCAATATAGATTGTAGATTCTGTATGCCTGCATGACCTGGTGCTCTTTCATTGACAGATAGCTAGCTAGCTAGATAGATAGTTATAGCTGGCCTGCTCCGTCTATGATTGTCCTCATACTAGGTCTACAGTATGATTGCCACATGATGAGGACTGTTGATGCTTGATTTCCTGATTCATGATTTCATTAGATTATATTAAAATATAATATCATATCAATTTTGAACCCCTTAAAGAAAAAGAAATTTCACTTATCATCTTCTCTTCTATCCTCTATTTCGTCCCTCCCACCTCTCCATAATAACATCCACAATCTTCGAAAACCCCTCCATCTCCTCCTCCGCAACCGTCCCCATCGCCGCCGGGTCCAGGTTGCACCCGACGTACACGGGGACGCCCATCCTGCGCGCGAGGATCTTGGCCGTGCGTGTCGCGTAGTCGATGCTGCCGGGGGAGGTGTACAGGGCGGTGGAGATGGTGGAGGTGGGGTTTGTGCGCTGCGCTGCGTTAGCAGATTTCTTTTTTTCTTGGATGTTGGAACATGATTTGGGAAATAAGTGAAATGGTAGGTAATTTCAGGTCGACCAGAAGGAGAGATTGATTATTATAGCAAGACAAGGGAGAAAACAGGTATGACATTCCAGCGAGAATCAGACCAAGAAAAAAAAAAGAAACAAGCAAAAGAGACTAAAAAAAACAATCGTGATTTTTTGGCTTACATCAGGCATAGCATACACAAAACTCCCCATCGGCTTCAACGTCCCCCCCTCCCCACCAGACTCGCCCGTCGTCGTCGTGGACAAAAAGACCATCGTCGAGGTCGCCAGGAAGGTCAGGTGGATGTGCAGGGTGGTGTAGGGGGTTTTTGGGAGCGGAAACGAGATCTCGAGGGGGTGGAGGGATGGTGTTGCGGGTTCCACGTGAGGGACGGTGGGTGTTGGCGATTCGGTTTCCATTTTCCCGACTCTGTCTCTCTCTCTCTGTGTGTGTGTCTGAGTATGGGTGTATTTTTGACTAAATTTGTCAAAAATGGATGCTTGCTTGCTTGCTATTAGGTATGGATAGTGATTTTTATATTGAATCCTCGCTGGTCTGGCTTGACCGGGTAGGTAGGATTCTGGACTGTAATCTTGATTGGAGATAAATAACCGATAAATGACAACTGATCGTGTCCTCTCCTGCTGTCGTTTCGAATTAATTGACCAGCTCTGAAGGAAAAAGATCTGTTCCCTCAACACGTGCTGTGCTGTTATGGAGGGATGATGCCGTGCAGTCGGGACGCTGCAATCTCCGCCCGAGCCTGCGGGTCCCGAGCGGCCGGAAGAGTGCCGGTTGGATCAGCTTCGGTCACAACCCCTCCGATGGACTAATTCAATACTATTGCAATATTCAATAATATCGGCTATTATTAACTATTGACCTCGTATATTGGACAACGCCTCTGCTTCACTATCTAATCTAATCTAATCTCCACGCTGATCGGATTGATCCGTTGGTTGATCTCCTCCTCGGATTGTTTCTTGACGACTACTACGGACTATATTATATCCTGCGGATTACCCCGCGAACCTGCAAGTCTGTCGATTTGTTAACAGTTTATCATATCGCGTCCTGATGGATGCCACCAAGCAAGATGACCATGACCATGACCATGACCATGACCAGGACAATGATGAGACGCGCAGCTGGGCAGGGGACTTTGATCCCTTTGCCGAGACTGAGGAGCGCAGAGTGCTCTTTGCTGCCTTTGATTCATTCCGGTATGACTGTCGTGCACTGGACTGCTGCAACTTTCTTTAGTTTTGCTTGTTGCTTGTTTAGTTTTGTTCAGTTAGTTTTGTTTATTTTGGATTACAGCAGTTTAGTTGGTTGTCATTGTCACGTTGATTCAGGGTGGAATAACAAGTCTGTTTTGAGGTCTCTGAATCTATTGCTGTTCTTCATGGACGCGCCACTCTTCTTTGCCTTGTCTTTTGCTTTCTCCCTCTAGTGGCATACTGAGTCCTAACTCTCGAATAGGCAGTATCGAAGCACAGCCCATCTAAACACCACCCATCGTCGCCGGCAAGCCTTCTATGCCCTGCCATCCTCTCACTGGCAAATGCTGGCAGAACCGCCCTTCTCGATCCTCGACACCTTCAACCGCGTGGACGACGCCATCGATGCCAACGCTGACATCGCTGACGCAATCCTCCAGGCGGGTTTGCAATCCTTTGGCCTCCCCGCCAACCCGGACCCGGACGATGCACGCCAGAACTGGCACGGCACCGCAACCCAGTCTGATATCAGCAAAGCTCATTCGACGATTCGGCAATTCTACCGAGACTGGAGCGCCGAGGGCAAACGAGAGCGCGAGGTCTGCTACGACCCGGTGATCAAGATCCTGCACGAGAATTTCGACAACCAGCCTCGCCCCAAATCCGACGTCCGCGTGCTGGTCCCCGGAGCGGGATTGGGCAGGCTGGTTTTCGACATCTGCCAGGCTGGGTATGCCGCGGAGGGAAATGAGATCTCCTACCATCAATTGTTGGCCAGCAGCTGGATGTTGAACCACTCGCGGGGCGCCCAGCAGCATGCTCTGTACCCCTTTGCCCTCCATTTCTCGAATCTCCTCTCCCGCGAACAGCAGCTGCAGAAGGTCATGATCCCGGACGTCCACCCTGGTTCTGCCATGCTGGCTGCTCAAGCGCAAGAGGGATCCTCCTTCGGGACGATGAGCATGTCTGCCGCCGACTTTGTCGTGCTGTACAGCGGCGAGTCGCAGCAGAACGCCTTCGACGCGGTCGCGACGGTGTTCTTTCTCGACACGGCCCCGAATCCGATCCGGTATGTCGAGGCCATCCGCAACTGCCTCAAACCGGGCGGAATCTGGATCAATGTCGGCCCATTACTGTGGCATTTTGAGAACGACGACCAGAGATCATCCAACAACAAAAACAACAACCAACTTGACGCTGAACATCCAACATCGCGGCGAGACGAGGCCATTGGAGAACCTGGCAGCGTGGAGCTGACCGAGGAAGAAGTGTTTTACCTGGTGGAGCGAATGGGATTCCGCATCGAGCGACGGCAGGCACCGGCAGAGCGACCGTACTGTGGCTACATCCAGGATCCGGACAACATGCTCCAGAATCTGTACCGACCGTCGTTATGGGTGGCGCGCAAGAATGGTTGACAGTAGAGTACGTGGTAATGTAATTATACGAAATGCGCTTATAATCCTCACCATCTCTCTATCCAAGAGCGTAGATAACTTGGCCAGTAAGACTGCGCCAGAATTCTTGGGTTTTCGTAGTATTGTTGGCACGATAGTTTCTTCCCTTGGTCTACTCCGTACCTTAGGTAAATATCTGGACGCCTAAACAAGCTCGTCCGTTAGTCAGCCAGACCAACCATCGCCCAGTTGTACGCGCAGTGCCGGATCCCGAAGCATCTTGCAGCAGCCTCGGCCAGGGAGCGATGAGCCCCTGTCCTGCCATGCTGATTGGCCAGTGGTCTTGCGCAGGGCTGAATTCGATCAGCAGGCTTAGTATCCATGGCTGCTGGAGAATCCTGCGCCATGGATTTGATCCCTGCTGACAGGGTGCTTTTGGTTCGATTCGTTCGGAATATTACCGAGGATGAGTGCTGAGAACGGTGTACTCCGGAGTATAGTATAGAGCTGTGGGATAGACAGAGAGCAGTTGCAAGATGACGATGATGACTAGTCTCTTGTTTCTTTGTTCCGTGCATCAATTCACCTGGCTGAAACACTGATCGCGGCCAGAATTAACCTGAGTCGAGGCTATCAGCCGGTAGCTGCCGTCAAGGGCAAAGATGGAATCTCCGGGCGAGTGGGGCACGGAACCATGGAGCAGGACGAGATCGTGCATCAGCTGTCCTGAGAAGCAATGAAACAAGAGACGTCCTGTGTCGATGATTCTGTCGAAGGCCACAAAGACATCAAACTGGACGCATTGACAGGCGAGATGGCCGAAACACGTGCTCACCGCCAATCAAGGCGTTTGCTGGCCGAAGCAATCGCCGCAGGATCGTGCTCTGCTCAGCTTGTCTCGCGGTTAATAATATCATCTCAGCGACGGATTTCGATCAAAGAGACCAGCCACATCCGAGCTGACAATCGCTCAGCATCGATTTCATTCACGATTCCTGGCCTCTTTCCCCCACTCCCTCCACCTGTGCTCTCCAGGTCCGTGGAGCCGCGTCCGTCTGGTTCGGGGCCGAGTCACCTCTTTGGAGCCGCTCAGCCTCAGCGCCCAACCAACACTGCTGAGGCCGCTTGTTAGCTGCTGTTAGCCGCAGACTGTGCCCCTCCAGCCGTTTACTGCTGTTGTTAGTGAGCTAACCTGGCCCGACTGACCCTCAGGCACCATCATTCGTCCCCCTCTGCCCCCTCGCCTGTTCCCCAATTCGGCCTGCCCTCGCTCGTGTCGTGTCGTCCTGTCTCAGCAGTCGCCCCCAGCAAAGAGAACAGCAGGGAAGAGAACAGAAAATCGACAGAAAATTGTACAACTCCCTTTCTCTCTTGTGCTCCATACTCCGTACTGTACTGCGCATCCCTTGTCGCTGTCGCTGGCCCCCCCGCCCTGGCTCGCATCCTTCCGGGCTCACCCCCAACCGTGGCTTAGGCGTGCTGGCAGTCTGTGAATTGATTAATCAGTGATACAACCTCGTTCGCGACTGGGCCCTCACCACCCCTGCTGCTGACTACGATCGCCTTTCTTCCTGCGATTCTCATCCCACTCTCTCCCCTTTGTCGCCTCTCTCGTCTCTCTTCCTCGTCATCCGCCCCTTTGTCTCCCCCACTCTCGCCCTCCTCCCCTCCTCCTCCTCCTCCGCCGTCCTCCGGTTTCTATCGACCTGATGAGTTCCCGTTTGAAGTCTCTCGGTTTCTCCAAGCGCAAGAACAGCAACAACAACCTCCCACCGGCCCAGGTCCCCAGCCCGCCCAAGAGCGGCGCCTACATCGCCCCGCCGTCGAGCACCGCCTCGACCAGTTCGCCGCCGCCTGACGGGCAGAACAACTCATCTTCCAACACCAGCCTTGTCATGACCAGCCAGAACCACCCGGGGCGGCCTCCAAGCTACTCATATAATCCCGCTGGGAGACCGACGAGTCCGGTGCCGCCGGGCGGCTCGCAGCAACTCACCCATCACCATCCTCCTCCTCCGCATCCTTCCATCAATCCCGCCGCCCTTCAATACATACAGCCAGGGCCTCCTCCCCCGCTGGCGCCGCCGCCGGGATACGGATACCACCAGCCCATGCATAACCTTCCCCCGACTCTGGCGCCTCACCAGCCGCCGCCGCCCCGCAATCCCGCCGCCGAGGTCGAGGGATCGAACCGAAATAAGGCGCAGCTGATTGTTGGAATCGACTTTGGCACCACGTTTTCGGGCGTTGCGTTCGCCTTTGCGACCAACAATGAGGCGCGAGAAGACATCATCACCGAGTGGCCCGGGGCGGGCACCCACACGAAACAAAAGATCCCCACGGTGCTCTACTACGACCAGTACCAGAAGGTGGTAGGATGGGGTCCTGATATCGCCGACGCCCTGGCCCCGACGGGGTACCCGAAGCCCGGTGTGCAAAAGGTGGAATGGTTCAAGCTGCAGCTGATGACCTCGGGCAACACGTACGTCGATCCGATCAACCTGCCCCCATTGCCGCCCGGCAAGTCGGAGATCGACGTCGCGGCCGATTATCTGTTCAAACTGCGACAAGCGATGCGCGCACAGCTGCAGAAGACGCTGGGAGAGGTCTTCACCCGTGAAGAGCGCAACATCCGCTACTTCCTGACCGTGCCGGCCATCTGGAACGATGCGGCCAAGGCGGCCACCCGGCAGGCGGCTCTCCAGGCGGGCTTTTTGCGGGACGAGAACGACAATCGACTGACCCTGATCACCGAGCCCGAGGCGGCGGCCATGTTCTGCGCCAAGACGGGACTGCTCAACCTGAAGGTCGGAGACGCCATTTTGATCGTCGACTGCGGCGGTGGTACCGTGGATCTGATCGCGTATGAGGTCGAGGACGAGAACCCGTTCACGGTGTCCGAGTGCACGGCAGGATCGGGCGACTCGTGCGGGTCGACGGCGCTGAATCGCAACTTTAGCAACATTCTGCGGGCCAAGATCCGCAAGATGAAGCTGCCGGACGGCTCGCGGACGGCGGGGAAGGTCTACGCCAAGTGTATCATGGACTTTGAGAACCGGATCAAGGCGGATTTCCGCAACAACGGCCAGAAATGGGCGGTCGACGTGGGCATTGAGGCGGATTTCCCGGAGGCGGGAATCGAGGAGGGGTACATGACGTTTACGAACGAGGAGATTCTGCAGTGTTTCGAGCCGGTGGTCAACCGCATTCTGGAGCTGGTGCGCAATCAGATCATTGCCATCCAGGCGCAGAACCGATCGTTGCAGGTAAGTACCTAACAAGTGACCTAACAACTGTTGATTCTGGTTGACGCTGACTGGTGTAGAATGTGCTGGTCGTGGGTGGATTTGGTGCGTCTGAATATCTCTTCCAGCAGATCAAGCTGCACGTGCCGCCGCAGTACCAATCCAAGGTGGTGCGACCGATGGACTCGGTTGCGGCGATCGTGAAGGGAGCCGTGACGGCCGGTATCTCGGAGCGGGTGATCACGCACCGTGTGGCGCGTCGACACTACCTGATGGCGACCCTGCAGCCGTTCAAGGAGGGATACCATCCGGAGCAGTACCGGGTGCCGAGTCTGGACGGCAAGGACCGGTGCAAGTACACGCGACAGATTTTTGTGCAGAAGGGAGAGCGGGTGAAGATTGGCGAGCCGGTCAAGGTCAGCTTTTTCCGGCAGGTCGCGCCGGGGGCGACCCTGATGTACGAGGACGTTCTATACGCGTGTGACGAGGATGTGTGTCCAGAATATGTGAAAGATCCACGTACGCCTGTCGTTTCTTATTTGTCTTTTCTCTGTCGGATCGCTAATGTCTTGCAGGCATCAAAGAAGTGGTCACCCTTACATCAGACCTGTCCCGGAAAAACCTGGAAAAGGACTTTGAGCGGATGGACACGCCCAACGGCACGTTCTACCGGGTGTATTTCGATATCTATCTGACGCTCGACGGCAGCGAGTTCAGCGCCGAGTTGGTGTGTCAGGGCGAGGTGATGGGACGGTGTACGGCGAAGTTCAAGTGATGAGATGAGACGAGCTGCTTAATGAGTGACGAGCCATTCAACGAACGTCGACTGTCGACTGTCGTTTTTAATAGATAGTGATATGCACGCGAACAGCCGACAGCGTAGTCACCATACGACTGACATCTACGGTCAAAAGATGAGGGGTGTTCATTCTCGATTCTCGATCATCTATCTGTTCATACGACTGACTAACTGGCCTGGCGTGTGGTTTGTTTGCATTTCGATGATTTTTTTTTCCTTTAAATTTACTTATTATACCTTTGTTTGTTTCTGTTTCTGTTGTTATTCCTGCATTGCAAACGTCTGCAAACTGATGTCATGTCATGTCCTTGTTTGATATTTATTGAATTGATATCCAATCAATCAATCATTTCTTTCAGCAGTGTTTGTTGTGTTTGTATCTTCTCGACGAAATGGATTGAATTCATCAATTCTCAAGAATTGCAGTCTGTGAGTTCACAATGTCAGAATAAATTAAGATCGTTTTCCCCCCCCCCTCCCTCCTGTTTTGATTTTTTTTTAATTTAGTTGGATTGAATGAATTGAGCTGAGCTGAGCTGAGCACAGCTAGCTAGTTGTACTCGTGATGGACAGAAAGAAAGAAAGAAAGAAAGAAAGAAAGAAAGAAAGAAAGAAAGAAAGAAAGATATGTAGGTAGGTAGATAGATAAAAAAAAGACTCTATCTATCCCTCTTGATTGATCTGCTGATTGTATCTTGCTCGATTGGATTTTGATCTTTTTTTGGTCAATTTTGTCTTTGGCCTTTCGCCTTGTTTTCACTCACTCATTCGCTCATTCATTCATTCTTTTTTTTTCTTTTTTTTTGCAAAAAAAAAGGAGATTTTATTTTTGACTGACTTGACTTGACCGACTGATTTGACTTTTTCTTTCTTCCTCTTCGTTCATAATGATTAAACCAAACTCGAAACCAAATAGAAATTGAATTCGAACAACCACACCACATACACCACACCTTACTCATTCATCCCCCCCTATCTATCCCCATAGTATACTATCCACCCGCTATGAATGAATGAATCCATCATGCCATGCCATGCCATGCCATACCATAACATAACATAACATAGGTTACTTAGGTAACATCTCCCTCCACCGCATCCAAACCAAACCCAACCTCTCTCCCTGAAAATCTCCTTCCCTTTCATTCTCTTATACTGTTCAATTCGAAGCAGAAGACTTCTTTCCCCCCTCCGTGCCGAAATTCCCCAGCGTTTCGATCACAGGGATCTTGTGGACCGAGTTCATGATGTTGCCTTGTGGAGCGAGATTGCCTAGGGCGCCGACGGCGGGGTTTCCTTGTGTCTGTTGTCGTTTTGCTCTGTTAGTATTTTTTTTTCTTTTTGGGATTGGTTTGGGTTGGTTTTTGTGTGATGGGTGTGATGGGTGAAGATTGGGGGCACTTACGCCAGCGAGGTAGTCGAGGGTTCCGAGCTGGATTGTTTTTTTTTCCATGTGAGAAGTTGTTTTTTTCTTTCATGTGTATTGTATGTATGTACAGTGCATAGCTTGATGGATAGATGGTTGATTTGACTTACCTGACGTTTATCATTATCATTATCATTCTTCATATTATCACCGACTGGCGCAGCGATGGCCAGGTTGAGCATCATCATCATCGTCGATAAGATGATGAGGAAGGAGGAGATGCTGAATGGTCTCATTTTTTTCGTTATATGGTATCTGTTATGGATGGTGGATAGATAGATTGAATCCAACTGGATTGGATCGTCGTGGGTATACTATGACAGAGAAATAGATAGATAGATAGATAGATAGATACCTAGTCAAGAGTGTGTTGTGTATGTGTATGTGTATAAAAGGAAAGAGAGGAAAGAGAGAGAGAGGAGGGAGGAATGTCGTCGACAGAGGAAAGGAAGGGGAGGGAAGAGATGGATCTACCGTACTACTGTATCCTAGGTATGTACCTAGGTATGTAGGTACCTGGGAAGCACTGCTAGGGTTAAGTTAATAATAATTATTGCATATCGAGGAAATTAAGGTAGTATCACATTTTTCTCTTTACTTCAATTCAATTTAATTTGAATTAATTTAATTAAACTCAGCAAGAACAGTTATGTTATGCTACAGACCTTACTTACGGTACTCACTCGCAATATTAATTCCAGTATCGTGTCGTGTCTACAGCATACATCCTTCCTTCTTCTTGCCTTGTTGTGCCTTGATACTTTCTTCTTCTTCTTCTTTTTTTTGGCTCCTACATTCCAGTGAAAAAATAAGAAATTTTCGTATTTTCGTTTTGTTACTGTAGAGCTAGCTACTACTAGAGGAATGAGGAATGTAGGACCATAGTTACTGTATGTACATATTTCCCATCCCTTCGATTGATCCCTTCCTTCCTTCCTTCCTTTCTTACCTAATAGGGTAGGTATTTAATTTTTTTTCTTCAAGGTTGTTTGGGTTGAGAGCATGTCTTTCTTTTTCTTCTCTTTTTGAATAAAGGATATTATTTATTTTTTGTTTGTTTGTTTAGTGGCAAATTCAACAGTTGCTTTTTTTTGTTGGTATGTATGCTACGTGATAGTTAATTATGAACTAATTACTTATTGGTATGCATCTATGTACTGTACAGTACATACCTAGATCATTTTCTTTTCTTTTCTTTTCTTTTCTTTCTTTTTTTTCTTTTTTTTTTGTTTGGTAAAAAAAGTGTCCTGAGAAAGGAATAGAAAATACTTTTTTTAAAAAAAAAACAGAAGAAGAAGAAGAAAGAAGAAACGAGAGGGGGGGGGGGGAAGATAAGAAAAACCAAGTATATTACCACGTTCAAAAAAAAAAAGACAGTTCTCCCTCTAAATCTTCCATAAAAGGATATATATGTCTTGTCTGCATTGCGCGCCATATATATAGTACTCCTGGAGTACACTATGCTGCAGCCTGCTTTGCTGTGTTCCATGCAGCTCACTCACGGCTAGGAGAGAGATCTTGCTATGATGTATTGTCCTCAGCGTATTTATTATTCTATCGACCTTCGCATGGACATATAGCTATGAATATGTAGCAGAAATTGATTCCCAATCCTGATATACGAATGGCGCAGACTACTTGCAAGTTTGCGCCGCAGATTTGATTGATAAGACGATGAACATGCTCCTAGCTGATTGGCGAATATTCAATCGAATCAATGTGAGCTGAACGAAAGTTTTCCAAGGAACAGCATGATGCTGTGGGGATGCGTGGTCATCGAAAGCCTAAAATTAGCTGTTGACTCATTGAATCGCTCTTTCGTTATCGTACAGAGATGAGGTTTGCACTGGAGATAAGTTTCCAGCAAGGAACAAGCTTGGCACCGTCAGTAAAGGTGACGCTCTTGAATATGCCCTGCAAATAGCTAGTCAAATACATTCAAAGCGAGATGGAGCAACGTAGAATCAGCTAATCTATCAAATTGCTGCACCACGTAACCATGTTGAGAATTGAAGTTGAGAATTGAAGCAGATGTGGCTGTTGAGTCCATGTCTCTGAGAGTGTGTCATCCGGGGTTACTTACGGAGTACTCCGTACAGTGTGGAGTCGGCGGGTCTACCCCAGCTAAACGACAGGTCAATTGGACACAACAACTGGTCTAGACTTAGCTGCTTCTCCCATCAGTGCCAGTGCTGGCAGACCACTGATGGATAACATATCCGTTGCGGGAATCATTTGCAGATAATCTTCGGACTGTTCTCCGCATGGTTCCCGACTAGGCATCTGCAAACGATGTCATAGAAATTATGAGGTATGAGGCATTTTCGGCCGTCGCTCTCAGTAATATGTGGCAGTTGATTGGCAATTGCGATGGACAGACTGAAGACGTGGTGATATTGACGTGGAGAACAAACTGGGAGCGACCAGTACAGGCCAGTACAGAGCCAGTGATGATGCTGACCGATCAGTATGGGTAGACTAGGTGACTGGGTGACTTGATCAAATCCGACATGATGTCGACTCGTAGAAGAGGATCAGGTGTAGTTAAGTCTGTCAGATTAGTAAGACTGGATGAGTTAACCATCTATAGATCGATCTGATGAGATGAGACTTTACATTTCCCCTAAGATTGCTCTCTCTTTTTTTTCTTGTGTCACCTCCTTTTTTCTTTCCTCTCTTCTTTTTTTTTTAAAAAAAATTCTGCCTCCCCTCCAAACTACTCCGTACTCCGTACTCCATGTGGAGGATCTGCCAAGTGACGTATCTCCTCCATAGCTGCCGCCTGTGTGCTGGACAACAGCACGAGACCACTGACGCAGTTGGGTTTGAAATCATCGCTAGTAGGGCTTCGAGCTCGGCAATGGCAGTCCCTGAAGCTGAGCAAGACTAGCGCGTCGATCGGCTAGCACTCAGCGGAGTGGTCTCGCCGTCTCGGCCTCACCCGGATCGTCGAGTTACGACTGAAGCACCTGACCAGAGACGATGACTGTACTGTACAACCGGGGCTGATGATGCCTGTGGCGATGCAGACGTCCAGCGTGTGGTTGGCCGCCAGCAAGCCCCCGCCTGAAGCCTGCAGCGTGGAGAGAACAGGCCCAGCCACTAACGACCCTGCCGGATTGGTGCGTCAGAAACATGAGGGAAAAAAACTGGGGATGCCGGGATTGCAGGCCTGAGGCGACGGGCGGCAAGCGCGCTTTGCGCGGAAAAGACGGTGTCGCACAGAATGGAGAAACGCGCCCTCAAGATTGTCGACAGGACGATTATCAGCTCGTCCGGGGAAGAGCGTCGTGCTTCCACGAGGCACGGCGCCGTGGGACGCGATGGAGCAGCAGCGGATGTGGCCCCGTGACTGCCCCGTGACTGGCAGCAAGCGGCAGGGGCGACGCCCGCTAGCCCGCCCGGGCAAGAACGCCTGGGTCACGCCCCACGGCGCCGGATCGCGGCCGATCGCCTCTCCGGATTAATCTCCAAAACTCCATCCTCGCCTCGCCGCAGAGAGTCTTTCGGCCAGGGCAGTGTTTCTGTTCTGTCTGCCAGTCAAAGCTCGACGCCAGCGTGCACGGACGCCATCACACGCGCATCGCTTCCATAATCCCGCTGAGCTCACTCCGCCTGCTGTCAGCCTCCGCCCTGCTCTCCGCTGCCCATTGCAATTGGGGCGGCCACGCTCCAACGCGTTACAACGATCGATCATGTGGTTGCTGCAATGCAATGCCGTCAGCGCTGGCGCTCCACTGCGTTTTGTGGGGAAGGCCTGCCTCGACACGTATCGGACAGGAAGGCACGTGTTGGCCATGTCGCTTGCAGTCCTTAAAATGAGAAGCCAGGAACGCTCGGCTTCAGCCCGTCTGGTGACCTCTCGTTTAGAGTTTCTTCGCTAGCCTCCTTTTCGTCTTTCTCGGTATATAATTTTCTGGGTGTTGGGCAGTTTGGGCGTGCCATTGAGTCCGGTCATTCTCCCCTGTCAATGATGGTGCACTCCTTACCCTTGACCGGCTTTGTCGTCATCGTCTTGGTGATCAAATGGCTATGGAAGTGGTTCTCCTCGCAGGCTTCGACGACTCGCTCCAAGGGCGATGAATATGATGCCACGCGCATGCCACCGTATCCCAGTGAGCCGATCAAGGGTCGGGAAAAGTTCCACATCACCATGGGGCTGCGGAAGCTCGACGAATGGAATTGGTTGACCGTCGACAAGAACTACATGAAGGAGCACGAGGTCCGGGATGCCCTCCTTCGAGACGAGCGGGAGAACGTCTTCCAATGCCTTCCAGAGTCAAAGGAAGCCTGTGCAGAGGCCTTGGAAGACGTGGTCAACTTCCTCTGCAAGCGTTTCCCGGGCATGTTTGAGCAGAAGAAGCGTGGCTCCGACACGGAGATCCACAATAAGAAGACCGGGGAAAAGTTTGTCTTCGGGTCGAACAACACGATGGAGCCGCTGGAGATTGCGGTGCGGCTGACCATGGAAGACCTGAGCATTTTGATGAAGAATGACGAGGGCGAGTACTATCTGTACGGATGCTCTCGATAGATATAGATAGTGAGACGCTGACAAATGACAGGGCAGCGAGCGCCAGTCTGTTTCCTGTGGGCTGGAGGGTGCAGGACCGGATTGGATGGACGATCTCCCGCCTGCATGGGCCTGTACCGCAATGGCGCGAAAAGATTGGCCATTCAGTGAACAAGTAAGCCGCTCTGTCGATGTTGACGGCTCGCGCTGACCGTGTAGATTCATGTGCCGTTTGACGCCAGAATCGCCGATGGAGCGCTCCAACTACTTTCTGGAGATCCGCCAGCCGGGCGAGGACTTGTCGTCGACGCTCTTCCGGCCGGACGGACTGATGGAGCAGGAGCTCAGCCCGTGGCCGGACGACATTCTCATCCGACGGGAGCGACAGACGTTTCGGCGGCTGCCCCGGACGGGAGCGCTGCTATTCAGTGTCAAGACGACACTGACGACGCTGAGCGAGCTGCCGCTGCAAGAGGTGCAGAATCTGGCGACGGAGATTAGCAACTGGCCGGAAGACATGGCGGCCTACAAAGGACGCAACATCTGGGGGAAGAAAGTGCTGGACTATTGTAATCAGCGGGTGAGCGCGGGGAGGTGAAGCGACCTTATTTATCATCATCATAATCATACCATGATTGTTATAATGCTGGATGACGACAAAAGTTTGGGTGGCTGTCTGAATAGTTGCATTTTGCATATGGACTGCTTTCTGCACAACACGTTGGTTCGGCAGGATTCCGTATGGAGGATCGGCGGCTAACGCAGCTGCACCCCGCAAGCGGCGCTTAGCAGCGATCTGTCGTCCAGTCGTTTAGTTGGCGATGCTTGTGCTTGATACAGCCATGTCGCAGTCATGTTTCGTTTGGTGTCTGTCAAGAGTCATTGTTGACTCGATGTCTTTGCATCATGTAGCATACGAATACGAACTGTACTGAGGTAAAGCATTTTGTTCGCTGTCTATAACTGCTGCTTATAACTTATGCTTATAACTTGCGGTTTTTCTACTGTACTGTACTTCCAGTCGAAAGTAACTATAATATAAACACTTCGCCATGCTAAGCCAGTCGTTACTGTACACCTCTTTCCTGTTGTACCTCTACCTAATCACGCCCATCCGCGCAATCCACCACATGAAACTCCCACCCAACCCAAACCCCAACCTCGACAAACGCGACTCTTCTTTCGTGCAGTTCCGCATCACAAACTCCTGCCCCGACGACATCTACCCAGCCATCTTCACCCAGGCCGGCACGGGCCCCGGATTCGGCGGCTTCCACGCCGCGCCAGGGAACACGACCACCTTCAGCGTGAGCGCAGACTGGCAGGGGCGGATCTGGGGGCGGACGAACTGCAGTTTTAATCCTGAGGGGACGGGGCCGGCGCAGCAGAATAGTACTACGACAGGAAAGGCATGCTTGACGGGTGATTGTGGGGGTGTAGTTGATTGCAAGGGGACTGTTAGTCATGCCGATGCCTACCTCTACCTACCTATCTATATACTTTATTTTTGTGTATGCTAACTGACTATTTGCTGTCAGGGCGACCCCGCCACGCTGGCAGAATTCACCCTCTCGACAACCATGAACCTCTCCTTTTACGACATCTCCCTCGTCGACGGCTACAACCTCCCCGTGGGGATTGTCTCACTGCACACGGAGTCGAAGGACCCAGCACTAGCATCGATTCCATCAAATACCACGAACCCGGTGTGTATCGGGAGTGTGGATTTTTTCGTCAGCGACGACAATAGCAGCAGCGCAATCCATGCAATATCGCGCTGGTGCCCCTGGCCCTTACAGCTGCAAGCAGTGGCACCACCCAAACCCGGCGCGGGGGTGTACCCTTACCCAGACGACGATATCCCGCGCCCGCGATTCGACCCGTGCATCTCGAGCTGCGCCAAATACGGTAATCCGGAGGACTGCTGCGCGGGGGCCTTTAACAGTCCTGAGACGTGTACACCGAATGAATACAGTCGTAAGGCGAAGAGCGTGTGTCCGGATGCGTATAGCTACGGTACGTACAGTACATACCTATGCCACTTGGGCATGTTTAAGTTGGTTGTGTTGACGATTTGTGGATTATAGCCTACGACGATAAAACGTCCACGTTTACGATTAAGGCTGGAGCGGGGTTTGAGGTTGTGTTTTGTCCGGATGCGGGGAGGTCGACGGATATTATGAGATATAAGGATCAGGATCAGGATCAGGGTTAGATTGGATTATATTAGATCAGATCAGATCAGATTGGATTTGGATTGGATCAGATTGGATTAAATTAGGATTAGGAAGGGTTAGATTAGGGATCTGATTTTTTTTTATTTTTTTCATTTTCAATTCTAGATTTAGGGCTAGCTAGGACTAGGCCTAGGACTAGGACTAGGACGAGGGCCAGTGCTTTTCTTCCTTTCTTTCTTTTCTTTCTATGATTGTGAGATTGGGTTGGTCAGTTGACTGACTATAAATCTGACTGCATTTTATTGTGTTTCATTTATGCCATCATCTATATCTATCTATCTGTCCTGTGTATTATTCTATTCCAGCTTTATTTATCATATGTATACACTTTGCTATCTGCGTGCATATACGGAGTTTGAATGTGACTTGGTGTTGTTATTGTATTCATTCGTTTGGTTGGTTATGTTATTTACTATTTGGTTGTTTGGTTATCTATCTATCTATCTATTTATTTTCCCTGTACGAAGTAATAGTAATGTCTATGAGTGTATGTACATCCATCCATCCATTCATCTATCTATCTATCCATCTACCAGTACATATTATACTCCGTATATACGTGTTATGCCAATAGTCACCTCTATCGAATCCAGAACAATAATGAAAAGGGAAAAAAAAAAAGACAGTACCTAGATCTAGACTAGGTACGAACGAATGAAAGAAAGATCTGCCAAGGTACTGACTGTACCGTACAGTATAGTATAGTAAAAAGGAGGTAGGGAGGTAGAGAATCGGGTATACATATAATCCTCCGGAAGCAAATATCATCTGAATAGGTAATCGAAAGAATGAAGAAAATGACAGCTGACGAAAGCGACTGCTACAGCTTCGTCTCGCGAGCTGGCTTGTTATTGTTGCTGTCCTCGTCTTGCTTCAGTCGGACGACGCCCTGAGATAACGTCAGTACGGTACATACGGTACGTCTGGCAAAAAACTGCGACTCACCTCCTGCACACACGTCGCGATGAGTACACCATCCCTAGACCACAGCTTCTGCATCACCAACCCCCTCCCCTCCCCCGCCCACGGGCTCTCCATCTCCGACAGCATCCACTCGTCCGCCCGGAAGGCGCGCGGGTTGTGGAAGTAGATCGTGTGGTCCAGACTGACCATCATGCCGATCTCGCGGTTGTCGCGACGGTGGTGCTTGATGATGGACGACAGCTTCGTCGCGTCCAGCGTGCCGTCCTGCCGGCTCTTGCGCAGCTCCGCCTGCTGCTCCTCCGCCAGGTCCTTCAGATACCGCGCGATCGTGTCGCTGTCCAGGTCCGACGGGTTCTTCAGCGACTGCAGCGCCCGCTGCAGCGCCGCCGGCGACGCGAACCGCGGTATGTCGTGAACCCGCGACACCGTCCCGATGAAGTAGCTGTCGGTCATGTACGCGAGCGCCGACAGATGGGCCTGGTGGCCTCCGGCAGCAGAGATCCGGCCTCGCGCGCGGATCCACTGTCTGATGCGTTTGTCTTCGGGGTGACTCGATCCTGCGTCAGTCAGCGCATTTCGTTCACAGCATCTGAGTTATAATGCAGACTATGAGGGTTCTGCCTACCATTCACGATTCCCACCTTCTGCGACTCAAACGGACTGCGGTGTTCCCGTCCCGGCGTGGGAGGCGTCTCCTGCGGAGGAGGAACAGTCGGCATGCGCGCGGCATGCTCGAGTTTCTTCTTCCCCCCACTGTCCTCGCGACTGAAGCTGAGCGTAGTGGTGAAGATGGGCCGGCCGCGCTGCCGGGCCTGAACGGTGCGGGTCGCAAAGCTCCTGCCGTCGCGCACGCGCTCGACATGATAGACGATGGGGATCTCCGAGTCGCCGGCGAGGACGAAGTAGCAGTGCATGCTATGGACGGTGAAATCGCTGGGCACGGTGCGCTGGGCGGCGGACAGGGACTGGGCGATGGCGGCGCCGCCGTAGATGCCGCGCGCGCCGGGGGGATGCCAGAGGGGGCGCGTATTCGTGAAGACGTCCTGTGAGTCAGTCAGTACGAGTACGGAGGACATCCAGTCCAGGCAGAAGTTTTTACTCACCGGCCCAATGTCCAACACGGGCGTCAGCTCGAGGACATTCTCAATCGGCGCCTTGGAGGCGTCCAGCGGCGGGGGCTCGAAGAGGGTGACTCTCTTCGCCATGGTGTCGCAGTAGACGGAATAAGGCAGTCGCGAATCAATCACGGTGACATGGGTTGTAGCAGGATAATAAATTGGCAATAGTTATAACGAGAAAAAGAGGAGCCATGTGATGACAGCATTGGCAGCGGCGATCTGATGGATCTCCGACGGGCCACTGCCGAGGCTCATTATCCGAATCGGGCCGAACGATCGACTAATCAGTAATCCAGGATTATTCAGAGCTTAAAATAATGCATGCTGTGCCAGGAGCCCAGGACTCTATATGGTAGTTATCTACTTCCCAGGCGGGCCTCATACCTATATTCCTCAGCATATCTTACAACAGTACTGTAGTGTACATCTACTTCTTAGGCGGGTTTCACACCCGCATCCACATTTATGTGCATTGTAATGTAGTGCGTATTATCTACTTCCCAGGCGTGCTCCACACCCATATTATCCCTCACTATATATATATTCTTTCCAAAGTGTTGTAGTGTGCTATTTCCTCCCCAGACAAGCTTCCGCACCACATTCCTGCACCAGCTACAACCATGTTGTCCCTATTATCTACTCTCTAGGCGGGCCTCCAAAGCATATTCTTCCTTTACCCCCCTTACTTAGGTACAGTACATGTAGGATGCTTTGCAAAAACACGTGCCAACAACAGTAACAGTAACAAGTTTCTGTAGTATTAGACGTGATTTCTAGTGAAAGTAATATTACTACGCGGAGCATGTTAGAGTCAGCTCCTTATAATGTAAGTTATGTATTTACCAGTCATTATTTCATGTCATTTCACTTCATTTTATTCTCATCTCTACCAGAAACTTTTTGTTTTTAAAGAAAAGAAAAAAGACAAAATTTACTGGTATCATTCCAACCAACCAACTAACTCATCTCCTAACCTAAACCTATGCTCTCTCCGCGTTGGACGCCGTCGCCGCAGTCTCCGGACTGCCAGCGCTGCTGCCGCCGGCAGGGACGACAGCGTTCCGATTCTGGTCTTCCTCCGGAAGCTCGATGCGAAACGTATCCCGGACAAGCTGTCTGTTGGGGACATTTCCGGTGTTCGTGTGGAGTAGTCGCAGAAGTTGCCGGTCTGTCTCGTCTGTCAACTCAGACGTTTGAGCCGAAGGATTAGGGAAATAGCGCGACCACTGCTGCTGCTGCGGATGCTGATACGGCCGAGGCTGCAGCTGCGGAATAGGCGGAGGATCAGGGAGAGATTCTGGCTCTGGAGACAGCGGCGCAAGCCTAGGCGACTTGTTACGTCGAGAAACGTTGACGCGGACCTTCCAATGCGAATGGAACGCTGCGATGGCGTAGCCAGCTGTCGAAACGGACGCGAGGATGATATACGCGAGTCCGATACGACTCAGGGGCAGCAGACGTCGACAAAAGACGTGCAGGGCGGCATTGAAAGTCCCGAGGAGACTAGATCCGAAGTAGGGGCTGAAGCAGCAGCGATACACGGGTCAGACAGAGATTGATGGACGTGGATGGTGGTGGACTCACATGTAGACCTTGTTCAGAAGGAAATCATGCCGATCCTTAAACATAAGAACAAGCGCAACGGAGGCAAAGTGAGGCGGGATAACCATCACGAGTCCGATGATATCCAGAACGCGGTTACTAGCCCGAAGCTTCTCGTAACGAGTCTCCAGCGCGACGGTGAAAAGGAGGAAGCTGAGGAATTGACAATGTTAGCCAAGAATCCACATACAATCGAGGATTGCAACTGCAAATGCAAATGCAACAGATAAAGCTGACTCACCCCGCGAGAAGCACCCAAGAAGAGATCGTCGCCACAATGTGCCAATACACAGTGAGAAGAGGCCTTCTAGACGGACGCGGGTAATCGTCTGGCAGTGCCATGGCAGCTGGATTCGACGATAGATAGGTAGATATCAGGAATGGATGTCTCGATCTGCCAACGCGTCACCAGACTGGTGAACCCTCGACTGGTCAAAAGGCGACTGCCCAAGAAGGATGTCTTGTCTTCGACCAAAGAGGAAGAAGACTACACCAATACCCCTTCAGGGAAATCGAAATTAGAATCAAGAAAAGGAGAGCTGAGCTGAGCTGTATCCAGACGAAGAACAAGCTTGACTAGACTTGACAAGAAGAAGGTGTGTTCACGTCATGTCAGAAGGAAGAAAGAAACAAGTGAATGAAAACAGGGTAGGACCAGCGTGTGAACGATCACACAGCCAGAGTTCCTGACAGTGAACGACTGCAGAAACGAGGGAATGGACAGAGTCCGGACCACAGGCAGACGTGCACTGTATCACCGTAGCAACATACAGTAGATAGATAGACAGATTAGGTATGTATACATGAGGAGGAGCTCAGGGCTGGGTAGTCTGGGTAGATAGGTAAACAGTCACTGGGTTGTGCATTCTCGGCGAGAAGGACTGTTAGGGTTAGTGATAGTACCTATACCGACGGATACTCAGGCAGTAGAGCAGATTCTATGTTTTGTGAGAGGATATCATTATCATTAGTAGACACGAATGATGTAGGGATATGCAGCCCTACTAAGGGCGCAGCATCTACACATGATGACAGGATCAGTATCTGCAGTTGAAGTCAAAAAATACTTAGATCAGCCAGGCCAGAAGTAACATTAGCTGTCTGTCTAAAAAGAAAGAGAAAAAAAAAATGAAGACTTCAGACAAGAAGAAGCTGTTCATTAATAATAAAAAAAAACCTTCTTGCAGGAAGTTTACCAGCATCACTTCCTTAGAATTATATTAGAGAGTCTGTCTGTCCTTAATATTAAAAGCCCTAAAACACAGAGAAAGAGAATCAACTTTTTAGATCATGAAGCAAGCATGCTTCCTGTAGGATACACAGTCTTCCCATGCATATGTATGTACTGTATGTATGTAGTCCATCCTAGGCTCAAGTTCAGTTCAGTTCGTCATCTCTCATTCATTAATATCACTAACTAATTAGCTATCTAGCTATCTAGCTAGGCAGGTATCTACCTATATACTATCAATATCATACCATACCATACATATGTATGATGTATGATGTATGTATGTATGTACCTGCATCATTAATCCAATTCAATCCCCACAACAAACAACAAACAACAATCTGATCTGAGGAGGAGGATCAACTCACTCTCTTCCTGCCTGCCTGCCTGCCAGGACTCCATTCCATGCCATGCCATGCCAGTATATTATCAATTAAAAAAAAACTCGAGAACTTTTTCAGGGTGAAGAAAAAAAAATACTCACTCGTTTCACGTTATGCCCGTTCATCCCAAAAAAAAAACCTGATCATGCGCCTGTATGCGATGCGATGCCATCGATGCGTGAGTACGTACTGTACCCGAATACTGTACCATACTCCCCTCCTTTTAAAACTTTTTTTTTGTTGATCAGCCCGCTGTGCATAAATGCAGGCAATTCAATCCAACCAGAAAAAGGGAAATCGGAATGGGAAGAGAAGGAGGGAGTAAGTGTCTCCCCACTGAGGTTTCATCTCTCTCTCTCTCTCGCTTTTCTTTTTTTTTGATATTGGCTGTTCGTTTCGTTTCCTTGCTTTTCGTCTTCATTTTTCTTCTTCTTCTTCTTTTTCTTCTGTCTGCTACCCCATCTGCTTTTCAAGGCCCCGTTCAAGGTCCTTCTCCGCGGGCATCGACGATGGCACCTTTTCCGGGTCGCCAGACGTATCCTGCCCGTAGGCTGCCGCCTGCTCCGCCCGCTGCTCCGCCTCCTTCAGCTCCTTCAGATGCTGGCAAAACTTGCTGTTCCGGCGGATGTAGTCGCCCCAGCGGATAAAGGCGAACGGGATGACGGACACGCCCAGGCTCAGAAACGCGATCAGACTGCACCCCCAGTCGACGCCGAGGCGGTGGAACATGGGCTTCGCCGCCAGCGGCAGCACGGCGCCGCAGATGCTCCGGCAGCAGCTCGACGCCGACTGCGCGCTGGCCGCGAACGTCTCGTACGCATCGGACAGGTAGTTCAGCATCGCCATGAAGATCAGCATGTAGCCCAGTCCGAAGCACACGCCCGACACCAGCGGCACCGCCCAGTGGATGTGCGGAGAGGCCGTCCAGCCCAGCCAGAACAGGGAAACGACGTACAACGGCCCTCCGACGCAGGCCAGCGGCAAACGACGGTATTCTTCGATTTGCGACCATTTCGCGCCGCGAGCTTTCGCCCGGGCCAGGAAGCCGTCGTACCAGATGAAAATGGGGCATGCGATGCAAGCGCCTAACCCGACTATTGCGTTTCAGCAGATCCAATCCGACGAATGCACGGTATTATACTTACTCGGCAGGTAGCACAACCCGGCAATACCGGTGCTCATTCCATAAATCCCTATATCGAATTAGCCGCAGTCAACGGACGATGTGACGGAGTATGACCTTGAAAGACGACAGGGTATGCTTGGAAATAGAGGTAAAAGATGGCATACGCCAAAGCTAGATACAAACAGGTGAATGAGACGATGGATTCATGAATAATCATCCGGATCGGCCGGGTCAGCGTCACCGTGAGGGTTGCTCGGAGGTCGTGCGGGGCGAGATCGAATGGGGCGACGATACTGGCGTTGCCAGTCTCTTTTCGCAGGCGCGCTGCTCTACGTTGCAGCAGGACGGGCGCATAGGTCTCTGGCAAGAAGATGACCAGGGGCAGAGTGAGCAAGGCGATGATGAGGCCGAGCCAGAATGCCCACCGCCAGCTCACGGGCGCGATGAATCCCGAGGCCCACGGGGAGATGATGGGGCCAAACGTGGTACACTGCCATGTGAGCGACGAAATGCAGGGAAAGGGAAGGGACGCTTACAGCCATGAAATAAGCCATGGCCCGGCCACGCTGCGTTGGATCGTCGTAGATATCGGCGAACACGCCGCTCGCGATGGCAATGGGAGCAGCAGCCGCCATGCCATTGAGGAGTCGGAACACCAGCAGCGCCGTATACGATCTCGCCAGGGCGCAGGCCATGGAGAAGATGTTGAACAGGATGAAGCCGATGAGCAGGGGCTTTTTGCGGCCATACTCCTCGGAGACTGGACCGCAGAAGAGCGGGCCGATGACGTAGCCGACGAGGAAGACGGAGATGGGCAGGACGAGCTGTGCCTGGTTCGTGACGTGGAAATCGTCGGCGATGTACTCGATGGCGCCGCTGGGCAGCGACGACCCGATGGTGCTGTTCATGACCTGCATCATGCCGGCCATGAGGGCGAAGAACTTTTTGCCCTGCCAGAAGTCAGTGGAGGGAATAATAGGAGATGAATTTCTCTCAAGCTTACCCGGCTCCAATTGACCGGATTCTCAGGATCGTCCGGCCCAAACGAGACGACCGTCTTGGAAGCGACTCGACGGAATCGGTAGGACGAGGGATTGTCGTATCGTTGCTGGATGGGTTCGTGGGCAGGCGCATCGTCGTGCTGGTCAGCAGCATCGTGCAGCGTGTTCTGGGAGATGGTCCGGGACAGAAAGATCTCCGGCGTCATCTGGGAGGGCAATGACAGAGACGAGTTGGCAGCCATGGTTGCTTTGGACAGATATCCTGAATTGATCCATCCAGGACGCGGTCAGTGCGTCTGCAAGAGGACGTTAGAATAAAAGAAGAAGAAAACAATGAAATAACTAACTTAATTATCAGAGGATCCTTCTACCGGATAACTGGGTGGGCGAGATACAGCAATATATTTATTGATGGCCACCACGGAGTACCGGCTACCAAACCCAGGGCGAGCAAGCGCCGTCCGGTCTGGACTGCAAAGGATCTGCACTTGGAGCTGCAGGTTGGGCATTCATTGAATCATGATTGAATTCATCAGCGTGAGCTTAGATCGGGCAAGAATGCGATGGAGCGGAGTCGAATCCACTCGGTTTCGGTTAACACGGCCCGAGTGCTGGCTTGGGGCCACCACCATGTGGACCTGGTTCCTTCGAGAAAGTCATAGTTTAGTAGTAAGACAGTAATACTCCGGTATATACAGAGGATGGAGTTGAGCTGGAATAGCCTGCTGAAGAAAGCATCTACAGGTACGTCTGTACAGTACAATCCACAGTTCATAGTCTAGATGTCGAGTCGAGTAGAAATGCCATCTACTTCTCCAGACATTGACTCCAGCTATCTACGACGTAGATACGACATGCTTCAAGATGTGGCGGTGTGGAGGATCCTATGTGACAGGATGCTGGGACTAGCCGTGCACGCTTGCATTGCAGCCGAGTGGGGATGCTGCCATCATTCTGACCTAGCACGCACAAAGCGCTGTCATGTTGACATGGCATAGATAAAAAATCTCGATGGTCACCATCAACCTGACAACCACTGGTGGCATCTGCTGTATACAATAGAATAAGAATAAGAATGATATCAGGTATATCTGTCTTATATAAATCAGTAAGCGAAATAGTACGGAGTATATATCCTTGAATTCAAGGTCTACAACCATCACGAACGAAAAAGGTAAAAAAAATGAGAAGAGAAAAACGACGATGACTCAGACTCAGACACTCAGATCACAAAACGGCCTGCCCTGCCAATACAACAGTAGTATTTAGTTTAGTATTAATTAATTTGTCGTCGAAACAAAGGAAGAAAGGGGGGGGGGG